TCGGCGATTGCTCTGTGACGTGCAACCGAGCTAGCGTTCGGCTTCATTCAAACTGGTTTGTATGACTTTAGTACTTGATTCGGCAAGAGTTTCTGTGTCCGCACTGTGCAGATATGGGCGTGGAAGATAGTTCAAAGCGTAAGAATTCAAGTGAAGGCAAATTAGACATCTGTAATAGCATGGCTACCTCGAAATTTCTCCAGTGCTCACTGATCTTAAATGAGACCGGCGATGCAACGCATTACGATGCATCTCCTGATTTTGCAGAAAACACGACATCACATACAAAAGGGCACTGGGTTATGATAGAGACATCTTGGACTGTTCGGATGAATTGACGGTGAGGATTGGTATTGAGTGTCACCAATTTCGGGGTAGCAACTAGATATATTGGAATGTTTCGTTGCTGACCCCACATCCGAGTCAGGTAAGAGACGTCAGATTGGGAAACAGAAAGTGAGGGAGAGAGGGATGGGTGGCTGATGATATGCCAAAGTTCGGTACCGACAGTCACATCGTAGGTCATGGCTCTTTGAAAGTCCTGTTAACAGTGAGTACGAACGCAAGGCAGAGTGTGACTTACCGGTTTTTGGTTATCCCGATTCCACAAGCTTTGTGGGAGATATCGGATTAGCGGCACAAGGTCATGCAGGCTCCGGTGCAAGATCCGTAAATGACCTGCATGTCAATGCAAGCATCAGGAGTGTCTGTTTTTTTGAGAACTTAGTATTGCTATCATCGACCAACCAGAAGATGTTCCACTGAGGCTCTGACACCATATAATCACACAATGAGCGGTACGGGCAACAGAGGATTGACGGTTCTATCGCCGAACTGTCGGCCGTGGGCCTCTTGACGTGTGTAGGTGTCTTGCATTTATCCTGGATGGTTTTTACAAAAGTACTCCTCCATACGGTGTGGGTGTAGATCTAGTAAAGGTTCCGTGAGCATATTTTGTACAAGTTTGGTGGTCTTATTAATAGCAATTGGCTTTCCAATAGCACTAAGCACGCATTGGTTGTTCAATGCGCCCATCGCCGCCTGGTCAAGCTGAGCAGGAATTGTAGTCGTCACCTGCTGTCGCTCGGTAGCGCAGCGACCTAGAAATGTTTAGGAAGGCTCAATTGCGGGATATTTTCGTACGTCTGCTACATTCTAGACATCATGGCTCAGCAGTCCTGATTGGTCTCGGACTCTAGAACTATTCGTGAGTCGTGTGCCTATCATTTAACTTCCAGCCATATGACGCCTGGTATTGCTTGCTCAGGAGACAAGTGTGATCGATGAATGGGAATAATACCACAGGTCTGACCATGCCACTACTCTACGGAGCTGAGCAATCTCGCATTATTAATACTCATGAGTCGCTGATTACCTATGGTTACTCTGTTCAAATGTCAGCGCTTTAGCAACCAAACCTGAATATGCTGGAAAATGTCACATGTTATCATTGGCTCTGCGTATGTTTTCCAGTTTATTTATATCGACTCATATGGAGACTTTCAACTTCCATGTGTTCCTTCAGGCAAGTCCTGTCGGTACTGAGTGGCTATCGGTTGCCTTAACCCATATAAGCCTCCTTGGGTCATTTATGGTGCATTAGCAAGGTCCCCGCTCTTTTGTTCAACATGCAGTCGTTCTCAGCCCTGCTTCGCGCAGTGCTCCTCGTCACCGTGACCTCTGTATCGGCTTCAAGCCTCTTTAGAATTCCCCTGACGAAGCTTGCGCCTTCTGGCTCCTCCCTTGCAGGACTGCCTGATGCTGATCGTTCACGTGCTGCATTCCTGAAGAGCTTTGCTTCTGGTGGTCCTACGACCGTCCCCGCATCTAACCTCGCATATGTCCAGTACACAACCAGTGTTGGCGTTGGCAGCCCTCCAACATACTACAATTTAGTTGTTGACACTGGTAGCTCCAATACTTTTGTCGGGTGAGACCTGATTTGTTATTCCGTCAGGCCAAATCTCATTTTATCTCAAGAACTGGGACGACCTATGTCCAGACCTCGACCAGTATCTTCACTGGTGAGGACGTCAACGTCACTTACGGCTCTGGTTACTTTTCTGGCTTGGAGTGTAGGTCTTTGGGCTACTTAGGAATGGTAACATCTGAAAATTCGACCTTCAGATCTCGACCAGGTGACGCTCGCTCCAGGTTTTGTCATCACGAACCAGTCCATTGGTGATGCTCTTTCCTATGCCGACTTCGAGGGCGTCGATGGCATCGTCGGCGTGGGCCCCACCATTCTGACTGAGGGCACACTGTCACCAAGCACTGATGAGCTGATTCCCACTGTTATGAACAACGCTCTCTCGCAGGGTTTGATCACAGAGGAAATATTGGGTGTCTCTTTCGCACCTGCAACGAGTTACAATGACACTAGTAAGAGGGGTTGTGTGGTATAATTGAAGGTGATCTAATTTGCGTGCAGATGGAGCCCTCACTTATGGAGGCATCGATTCGTCTTTGGTGAGCCCAAAAACTATGTCCTAAACAATAGTTCTGAATTTTATACAGTACACCGGCGAAATCACTTACACGCCGGTCACCGCAACTTACCCTGCTGGCTACTACTGGGGCATCAATGTCACCGATGCAACGTACGGCTCCACAACAACCGTTATTCCAACGTCAACCGCCGGAATCGTCGATACTGGCACCACCCGTAGGGTTTTATTACCCATCCACATGCATACTTTCTGACACATTTTTAGTGATCCTCCTCGCTGATAACTTCTTCGAGTCCTACATGCGTGCCATCCCTGGTGCCAAGCTCGATGAGAGCACGGGCCTCATGACCGTCCCTGAATCCTCCGTCTCGGAAATCCAACCATTGAACTTTACTATCGGCGGCACCGTCTTTAGTCTGGACGCTGCAGCGCAACTCATTCCGATTGACCAGAACACCGCATGGGGCTTGTCAGCAAACAAGCAGTACGGCCTTGTCTCGTACTTAGGGACTGACAGTGGCGAAGGGCTAGACTTCATCATCGGGCAGAAGTTCATGGAGAAGTACTATGCTGTGAGTTGTCGAATCGCGGGGTGACTGTATAATCCGGGTATTGATTAAATTGCAGGTTTTCGACACGGATAGCAATCGCGTTGGATTTGCTTATACGTGAGTTTTTTTCCTCGTATCTGGTTTTCTCTTCCGGCTGACGAATTTCTGTAAAAGTGAACATACATTTACCACGTACACTGCTTGATACGAGTACCTTCTTAAAGGGGATGAACGGCAGTAATACCTCATTTACACATACCTCACGTTTTTCTTACTGTGATTGGGATACCCCATGCGCCGTTCAATTCACTGCGCCACTCCTTAGGGCCTGGGCTTCATTGCGACTTTTAGGATGCACTCATGTGGTGCTCATCAGTGCTATGACCGAGAAATTTAGGAGCGTAGTCCCGTACTCAGACGTCTTGAGGGGACGATTACATGCTTGACACCAGGAAATCCCAACCGGGACGTGAGAGCAAAAATACAAGTGAGGAAATGGTGAGGAAGTGATACGAGAGGATGCAGTTCGGACTGCCACATGGTGGCGTTCGGCAGCCTCGGAGTCGCCTTAAAAATGTGTCGTGTATAGACTTGAGATCTGAGAGCTTGAGATGTCGAATGCATAAGAGGTAGAGTTTCTCGCACACCACACAAAGTTCCAAGTGTATTCCAATTTAACAGGATCTTTGCAGTGTAAGATTAATAGGCTACATGTATCAATACTCTAAATTCCTAGGATATTCTCCTTGAGCTTTTGAACAATCGGAGCAGCTGTTACAGGTTATGGTTTCATATCGTAGATTGTCAACAGCGTCTTGAGTGACACACGACTTAAAGGTGGGACGGAATTAACTCATGGTAGGAGGTTAATTACATAATAGACACGGAAAAGTTGCCGGCATGATCGGCACCTACTAAATTTCAAACTCCCAGCTTCGCCCTGGCGGCTCTGCCACAAGCTCAGCCAGCCGGTCACGAGCTAATGTTAGACTAGATGAGACACACTCGACGCATGCCGCCATGAGCTGCTATAGTCCCACCCCCTCACGGCTGGCGCTCACCTTCAAGACTCTTTCTTCGGGTCGACAGAGACTCGGATAGGTTTCTGAAAAACTCTGCAGGTTTATGTCTATAGCTCTAGTCGGCGGCTGAACAAACCAGATTACTATGGATCTGTGATAAGTATATCTGACTTTTGGCTATGATTATCGATACAAATACTAATAGCGCCGCATAGAACATATATATAGCACCATGAGCTGCACTGGTTATGAACGATTCCTCGGGCATATGCGCACAATACGTATATCAACCCATTCAACCAAACGTCCATGAATACAGACGCTACAGATAACAACATTCCAAAATGGTGGTGTGAGAGGCTATATGCCAATAATACCCCTAGTAGTGAATTGGGGAGGAACGGCACTCTTCCTTCGGGTGGTACCCGCTGATGGATCTCCAAAAATCGGTGGAATGATGAATCCCAGTGAGTGCTGGCATGCCATCAATGAAGTGCACGGCTCCCTTTTCGTCATTCTTATTCAATCATGGAACAGAACACGTGTTTAGTTGCGCTGTCTTGAATATTCCTTTCTAGTTCAACAACCCCAACCATAAAGCTAGACCTAGGAGCATGCCGAGCACCTGGCATCAGCATTCCCAGTGACTGCTATAGAGGCCTGTGGAGGGTCATATCTGAAGCCAGTGTCACTCAGCATCTGAACCTCTTTTTCAAGTTTATGTCGCAGTTCGCGGTACATTCCCTGGTGAGAAACGCTGTTCGATGTTGCCAGCATGAGTACGATGATGTGGAATGAAATTAATTATGAATGCCTTGTAAACGCTCGTGCACATGTTGACCGCCATTTGAGCGAGTTCTAACGAGCAAGCTACCCACGCCACTGTGGGATTCGCAGCGAATTAGGTAAGTGATGATCGATGAGTGCACACGTGGGTAACAATATTACCGGTGTGATTTCAACACATTAATATTATTGTTGAAATTTAACCACTGCGACTGAGCGCGGGCTCTGTAGGCACTGTGAGGGTATTGGCCTCATACGGAGACACTCTGATAACCCATTCATGACTGTTACTCCGTTCTTTATACGTTCTTTCTTCTTGTCTTCATCATAGGTGAGGCAGTACTTGCACCCGTTCCTTATCCGGAGCCGTGTTGATGCAATGTTATTGATGATCAAGTATCAGTGGAGAGGCTCGGGCCACATCTTGCTCCGTTCTTGCCGTGAAAAATTGGTGCGGGGACATTTTTGAGCTGATTTCTTCAAGTACGAGGTACAACGTACGTGGTGTCTTCACGATTCACTCAATTTCCCCACCTAACATCATGAATTTGTGGTTTTACAATCTGCAGGATCAACACTTGAAATCTTCGTTCTCACACGTTCCGAATCTGATGGGAGCAAAGACTACCAGCAGCGTCCCGTTCTCCATGTTACCCCGGCTTGGTTTTTCTCCGGGTCACAAAACGGGGTCTTCATCTCGTTCTCCCTATGCTGAAAATCCTGAAGAAGACTGGTATATTCCCTATAATGGTCCGTTAGAACCACCCAAGAGCGTCTCAATGGCTAAGCAAGATACCATGAGACACTCCGTTAGCCAGGATGACGTGAATACGTTTCTGGAAGACTCTCAATTACTGGACCGCTATCGGGACACGTCCGTGAACGATGCAGGGCCAGTGGGACTAGGTCTACCTGCACAATCAACTGGGTTCCCCAGAACCCGAGTTCGCTCTGACTTCACGAGGCGTACCACGAGCTCAACAAGCATCATCGATCCGATACGGCCGCATCCTCGACGGCGACAGGCAAGTGCACCGCGCTTGCAAAGCCTTACCCACACCATGGATGCCAGCGCTGGCGTTGGCGAATCCCCAATGCCTATGCAGCGTATTGCAATGTCGTCCCCTCAGAAAAAAATAGGTCGGTTCTTCGGGTTCGGGTCTAGCAAAAAGTCAAAAAGACAATCAATCAGTACACCTGTATCCCCTATTAGTCGGACTCACATGCCGGGAACATGGTTTCCCAATTCTGTCCAACATAGTACACTCCAGGAAAACGTTAATTTTGCGAAACCTTCTGGTTCTAGTCCCAACACTAGCAATCACTTTGACTCACCTTATGTCACATTGCCACGGCCATCCCGTAGAAGTCACACCCTCCATTACCTGCCACGTGTTGATGTCGTAGATCCCTCTCCATCCAAGCAACATTCTGCCCGGCATGTCGACTTGCATCGAAAACCCGACCAAGACTCGTTTCCTTCATTCCCGACCACAAACTATGACTCTCCAACTATCCTCATGGCTCACCCATATGCAAATACATCTTCCTCCGCTTCCATGTCTGCTCTTCGACCCGGAACTTCTCAACAATCTCGTCAAGGACATCAACAACTGGATTCGTGCTCACAAAGTAGTCATTTCTCGCACAATAATCCCACTCTGCGTAATCGGGCACTGACCTATGCGATCGACCCTCGCAGTGATCGTGCCGCCACAATGGTTAAAAATGCACGTCCCTTGAGGTCACCACTGAAGCCCTCTGTCTCCACCCCGAATCTTTTTGCTGCATCACGCGACAAGCAGCCCTTGCAACAGAGCACAAAATCAACATCGCCGGTAGCAGGCGTGGAACGTTGGCTATCCCCCGAGACATGGTGCAACGCACTGTTCTTTCCACGTCCACGCCTAAAAGTCAAGCGCGCACATGAGCCACATGGAGGAAGCAGTGGACGAATCCTTAGTCCGCCAATCACGCCTGTCACTGAGGGTGCCACCCCGCGCCTCAGTCCTGCTCTGCTTGGCGGGAGACCACAGATGTCGTTGGTTACAACTGATACACTGAAGGAACACCATGCTTTGTTGAAATCTAGGTCGGCTGTTGATATCCTGTCTGGCCCCTCTATTTCTAGTAGACCTCGTACTGCGCCCATGCAACGGCACCCAGACCCAATTGAGGACATAAACCTCGAGGAGTCGGAATGTATACCGGGCGCATCGACCGCGCAACAGGAACTCCGTCCGTCAACCCCTGTGCCATCGTTAACCCAGTAAGCCACAATTTTTTTTAGGTAGCTAACCAATAACCAAGTACTCCTGCAGAGTTCTTGAAGAAGGCGAGGTTCTAGAAGAACAACGAAGGCAATGGCAACACCAGGCCTCACACTCGTTCGGGAACAGCCGAACCCGCTCCCTCTCCCGCGCTCGTGCCAGGTCATTGTCACGGAGTCATGGGCACAAGCCGGAGGGCAGCACGACCCTAGAATATCTGGCTGCACGAACGCTCCTAGGAGGTCAGGGCATTGCCCCTACTGTTAATGTTGCAAGAAGTTCGCACTCTCGATCTCATTCCTATTCACACGCTAGTTCGAATTCTCGCGGGCGTTCTAGTTCATACTCATTCACACGCTCACACTCGCACTCCCTTGGTAAATCCAATTCACAGAGGTCGCTCACGGATCCTCAACCTCAAAACACTCGGCATGCCCGAAATGACTCCTGGGGCAAAACTGCCCTGCTTAAAGCATGCGCACCTTGCGGAGATCTTAGCGATTTACTAGGCACCCCCGTTGAGAGCAAGAAACCAGCCCTGGAACCTATGACGGAGGAAACCAAAATCATACATCTGAGTGATCCTGCGGATGCCCCGCACAACGAAGCTGACGAGGGACGCGTCATCGTCATAGGGGTTTCTCCAGCCCCGACTATACCAAGTGGGGAAGGAGTTGGTATAGCACTTTCATCTCCCCCTCCTTCCGACAATCGCTTCTGTCTTGATCCTGGACTCCCAAGCATGCCCAGCCATCCATATGCCACCGGTGCCATATATACACGTTATCTTAGTCCATCCTCTGAGCATGGCCTACAACATGATCTTAAAGTATCTGATTATGCTGGGCCACATCCATCAGCCTATGACCCCCAACTCCCTTCGAATACTGCTACAAGCGACGTCAGCATGCGTCATAGGCTCCCACCGCGGGCAATGCAGCCGGGTGTAATCTCACATCCTTACGCTGCTGCATTAAGTGAGCCGGTAAACTCGCATGCACGGCAGCCCAGTAACTCTGTCCTTCCTACGCTGCCAGTTCCGCCAAGCGTTGTGCAGGAGGACAATGGTTTCACATCTGGTAACCACATATCCATCAGTAGTCCTGACTTCGAGAAGTATGGCGTCGGTGAGGCTCTTGTGTTCGCTGCGCCATCGCAAGACGAGCAGGAAACTGACTCCGAGGATCAATCTTTCGGAACCATCATCCCGTGCCAGCAGGATACTCTGAGTCGAATCATAGACAAGGGGAAGGTCAAAGACTCGACATCCGCGCCCACGGCCTTCAATAATAATCGATCCCAGATATCCGGCTCTGACTCTGCGGTCGTTTCTACTCGTCCTCCGAGTCTGATATCCGTGACACCAGTCGAAGGCAGGGACTCCAGCCACTCTCCTGGTGCCCGTCCCACGACCAACATCACCTCCGCACATCTTGTCATTTCAGCTTTGGATAATGATGATCTGGACGAATTTCAAGATTTGTTCTACAGGCCTCCCCAAAGCAGGCTGTCCAGTGGAAAATCTAGCGTAAAACATCAGGACGCAAGCGAAATCAGCAAGGGTATACCGTCGGATATTCATAGCTCTTATTCTGGAAGCGCGCTCACTAACCTCATGCGCAGTATGAGCGAGATTGGAGAACTGCATGTGGCGGCCTCGGATTTCTCCCATGGGCAGAGGTCAGGTGGACCAGGGGATCAACGATCGGATGAACTGTCTCAAACGTATGTCTTCATGGACATGTCGAGGACTCCTTCACCGGCGCAGGTCGATCCCTGTGCTGTTACCCAGTCGCCAGTACAACTTTACGAAGCACCCTTTGAAGCGAGTGTTCCAGAAGATATCGAATCTTCTCGAGTATCTTCTCCTCTGATCGCCTCACAAGAGAATGACACTTTTGGTACACGACATTCCGTGGAATTCAATCAGTGGCTAACAAACGTCTCTCACAGGTCACCCCATCCGACAAGATGTCGTTGACGCTGCAGGAAAATCTACCATTCACCAGGGCTCTCGTAGAACCTCTACATATGCCTCGATCCACGATGCTGCAGAAGAAGCTGACCTGGTCAGCCCCATCTCGTTCATCCAATCCCCACCTTTCTCTGCAGATGCCATGCGATCGAGCTACATGACCAGCGGGTCTGAGTACTCACGCATGTCCACCCTCTCCGATTTCCCCGACCCTCCCGCGCAACCAAATATAACACCTAACCAACCCTCCATTCTTCAGATCTATGTCGACGCTCCTACCCCACTCCAGCAGTCAGGGGGCTTTGAGGGGACCAACTGCCCTCAATCTGGGTCCCGCGTTTTCAGCTTGGATAGTCACCACACGACCTTCGGTGGTAGTGACGACATGGACATCATTACACGGGTTCACAGGTCTGAGTTTTGAATGTCACATTCCATCTTACTGGAATCACCATCTGAGTTGTCCGTTCTCGGATGGTGCACATATGGGGTATCTTTTGCTGTCATTGTTGTTGTACCGCAGTCTAGACTCTAGTATCATGCTTTACTTACTTTCTCATTCTTTTGATTAGAATACACGCTAATTTGTAAGGTTAATCAGCGCACTGTCCACAAAAACTTCGTCAGTCGCAATGGACGTTCAGGTTCTCTAGGACCAACGGAACAGCAATTGCTCCTTAGTTTGATCGATCTTCGGCCGCATCAGCAAAACCGCTGAGATGAGCGCTTAGCTTAAGTGTGCTGCGGACACTTACGAACGCTTTGTTTAATCTAGGTTTGTATGGGAGGGTTTTCCTGATGAAGATGTTGTACAGTCACTGCCAGCAGCAGTTTTACGGTGGATTGAAGGCTAATTTTAAATTGGATGATAGAGACAGCTGTCGCGCAATCGCCTCTTCTCTAGGCATAGATATTGGCGGTGAGAACCGTCCAGTTCAGCCAAATACATTCGTGAGTCCATCTGGAACAAGCGCAGACCCGGTAAGATGCGGAACCTGGCATGGCTGTCAGTCCAGTTTGCATGGGAAAATCTTGTTGAAGGTAGTACTCAATGAGAAGTCAAGAATGCATCTAGCAGTAGTGTTCTGTCGTGGCTTGATTGTATGATGTATCGATAGCGGTTTATACGCGCAATCTCGCATGCATGTGGGCCAGCCAGAATGTTTCCCTGCGCGTCCGTATGGTGGTCGTACTTGCCCATGACAACCTGTAGACGGAATCGACTTGAAGTGGTCAGGAGAAGACATGCAATGAAGTGTACCAAGAGGGTAGTCTCCAGCCTCTCACAAGCCAGATGACACTACCAAAGACGAAAAGCTAGTTCTCCCTCAGGCTGAAGTTAAGATATTACCGCGTCCAACCAATATTGTATTTATGTGATCGCCTATTGGTTCGAGACCAATGCGAGAAGAGACCTTGGTCGACTGATCAGTGACCGAGAAATTGTATTAGTTACGACAGGCTGAACTGTGAAAGTAACCGGCGGGCAGGCACAACACGAGAGGCGGGTAATAGGAGAAGGTCATTCTTGCGAAGACGCCCGGGAGCAGCGACGCCACTCTACAATATACTTTCATAGAACGTGTTCAAGGGAAATCGAGGCAAAAAGGGTGCATGCGGTACTGCTCTTGCGGAAGGAAGTGGCTGTTGCCAAGTACAACCAGACCTGATCCGCGCACCCGGCTTTCTAGTAGAACTTGCCAGCAGCAACCAGGGCATGGATGTTGGCAGCGAGAACCGTCCAGTTCAGGAAAATACATTCATGAGTCCAACTGGAATGGGCGCAGTGAGATGCAGAACCTGGCATGACTGTCAGTCCAGTTTGCACAGGAAAATCTTGTGGGTGGTGGTACTACTCCCCGAGAAGTTGAGAATACGTGTAACAAGAGTGTTGGATCGTGGCTTGATTATATGCTGTATCAATAGTTCGTGTGGATAATCTTGTGTGTATATAGGCCTGCCAGTATGTCTCGTTGCGCGTCTATATGGTCGCCATACTCATACTTGACAACCTGTAGCAGGAATCAGCTTACAGTGATAAGGAGAAATCATGCAATGGAGCGTACCGAGAGGGTAGTTGCAAACCTCTCGCAGGCCAAATGATTCCAGCAAGAACGTAAAGCTGGTTCTCCCTCGGGCTGAGGTTATGATATTACCACGGCCAACCAATATTACACTCAAGCGATCACCCCGGCCTTGGTACGGGATCAATACGAGAAGAGACCTCGGGTCGACTGATCAGTGGCCGAGAAATTGTATCAGTTAGGACACGTCGAAACATAGTAAAAGCAGCCTCGGCACCTACTAAATAGGACTCCTAAAAGAAGCGCTGAAGATGTTGCTAAACCGTATGCAGGACACCACGTGCCATCTACAGCACAGCAGACATGAGAGTTCAGCGATAGTAAGTATCTTACAGAAGATCGACTACTCACCGTAGCATATGTAAGTGATTGCTGCTCCCTCAGTGTTCCTGCTAACTGAGACACCGAACAAGATTGAATGGTGGTTACTATTCACAAAGCATCCCCCAAAGCGCCCGCCGAGCCCACACGAAAGAAACCACCTTTTCTCGAATTGACGCTCAAGGGTCACGAAGGAGCTGTGAACGACGTAGCTTTCATCCACGGTACCCGTCTCCTCGTTACCAGCTCCAAAGGCGAGAGTCTTCGGGTGTGGGATCTGGACACGGGGAAACAAGTGGGTGAGCCCTTGTTGAGACACGATACCGGAGTCTTTGCAGCATCCCCCGATGAGCGTTGGATTGTGAGTGAGGGGAATGGAATGGCGAGTCGCATTCACTCCAGATGGTCTCCGTCTCGTCAGTGGAAACCACAATGACATCCGAATCTCAGATGCTACCACCAGAGACATCATCAAAAAGTTTGACGCACACACCAACAACTTTGAATCATTAGCCATTGCTCCCAATGGCACCAAATTTGCTACCACTTCAGTCGACAAGACGACGCAGTTCTTTGACCTGACCAATTTCGAACCCATCGGCGAGCCACTCGAGCATCCTCGTGCCGTCTACTGTGCGGCCTTTTCCGAGGACAGCCAGCTCATCGCGACTGGCTGTTGGGACAAGCTCGTTCGCACATGGACAGTTCCTCTGAGCGAGTCAGAGAAGGAGCCCCAACAGGTGAGCAAATTCTCTTCTTGTGTCGTGCTTCACATTGACCTGTCATACAGTCCACGGAGAAATTTCTTAAAGTACGCCTTCACGCTCGTCGTCTTTCATGATCCCAACTTCAGTCCTGCAGAAAACAATCCCAAGCACACAGCCTCGCCCAAGACGCGCTCCAATACAGACTAATAGGTTCTTCGATGATGTAAGTCCGCATGATCCAGTGGATTCGATGCACGTCTCATCATCATTCGATAGTTTGATCCTGGACACCACAATCGCGCTGCTACCACCACGCGCCACGCCGAAGGGTCCAAAATCAAGAACATGATGAATCGTCTCTTTTCTCGTTCCTCCGCTCCCCAAGGCCTTACCCCTCGCCCACGCAGGATTCCCCTCGTGGACGTCTTCGCAACACGAGGCAAATATGTATGTCTCCCTAACCTTTCGACATCCATCTCGTAATGTTGATATTGTGTCTCAGCGCACTGCTAATGCCCATAGTGGTAAACGACATCTGGCGAGGCCGCTACATCCTCCTCGTCGGCAAGCCCACGCTGGTACATCAAGCAGCAGTACGCCACCAGCAGGGACATCCGATGTGACCAGTGGAGCCACCCCAGCAATGTTGCAGACCGGAAGTACCAGTGCAACTACCAGTGATAGACCCCTTTCTCCATTAGGCGCCGAACATGTTCCAGGTATTAGCTGCTTTGCAGTTCTTACAAAGTGCTTCCCGCGTCTTTCTCGCACTCGACAATCAAATACTGCTATCCCACCCACCCGCTAAGCAGCCTCTCCCTTCCGAACCTTTTCGTTGGAATACATTCAGCTGTCGCATGTATTTCCAGATACTTATGCAATCCAATGTCACTCCCGATAAATGTTCGCTATCGTACTCTGATATACAGCATCCATGAATGTTGGGAATGTTATTTTCCCTTCGTATCCCCTATAGGAATTTGAGGACAACACGAGAGACCTTGATGGTTAATACAAGTAGAGTCAATGATGATTGAGCCACATGCCTCGGGCGGGTTTCAGATTTGCGCTCCTCGCCTATGAACATTTGAACAACAATGGCATGCTCTTTAGTAAATATAGCTGGCATTCGCTCAAATTTAATATAATACCTCCACCGAAAATAATAAATCTACAAAGACTGAAATAGGACGCACGACTATCTACGTCTTTTTCTTCTTGTGTGACTTCTTGGGTGCTGGCGCGGGAACAGGAGAAGGTGACCCAGACTCTTGTGGCGTTTCATCCTTCTGCACATCATCTATTCCACGCTTCTAATAACCAACGTCAGGATGTACATTGCGAGACGCAGTGATCAACATACCTTGCCCCGCGACCCGCCCTTCGGCTTCACCTCCTCCGCCTGCCTTGCCTCTGCCTCCTTCTCGATCATGCCCAACAATGTATTACATCTGCGCTGCAGCTCCTGTGGGGTCCGGCTCTTGAAAAACCAATCAAAGCGGAATACAGGAAACTCCATGATATCCTTCTTGATGCGTTCATAGATGTCGTCCGCGCCCATCCCGTAGTGGTTCAACCGGCACAGGAGATACCTATCCGCTTCTTCACTGTAGACCTTGCCTTTCGTAGTCGGGTAGTTGAGCTCGAGCTCCTGCATGGGATAGCGCACCGACGCAATCTTCTTTGCAAGTAGAAATTCAAGATTTGACCGTTTGTTCCGCTTGGCTTCACCTTCGGCGATACGTGCAGCAATTCTTGGATGTTCTTCATTCAGAGAAGTCAGCCGAGATTCGTAAAAATACGACTGATCGATACGCTTACCAGACAGTTCCTTCCAGTGCTTCTTGAAGTACAGGTAGTACTTCTTAACCTGTCTCCAGTCCTTGTCCTGTATCTCCGAAGCTAATAGATCATAGTCATCCGTCCTACACGTACGTCAGTAACCTACCTCACGGAAAAGCAGAAAATACAATACCATCCAAAATTCTCAAGCGCGCGGACAAACTGCTGGAAGTCTCGTCTGCTCCAATCGTGGAAGCCAGCCTCGGTGTACTTCTCTTTCAGTGTCTGCTCCTCTTCTGTCAGCGGTTCGGCGGTATCTATGAATTCTTGCGCAGCTGCACGCTCGGCTTCAAGTTTCTCCGGCGTGTCGTCAGGTCCTGATTCACGAAGGGTAGCTGTGATACCATTTTGCCTCTGGTTGCAGAATGAATACTAAGTAGAAAAGTGACAATAAAGAACATACCTTGTGCACGGCGAGTTCTCGTTCCTGGAGTTGAGCCAGAGCGGGGTCGAAAAACTGGAAATCTTGTCTACAGGGAGACGTTAACTGTAATGCAAGGGCAGGAACAGAAGTTTCATGTACATTTGAATTTGCTTGGGCGCACGAGGAAGTTTTGGCGTCTTCTCCGTCTTCGACGGACCAACCCGAAGCGTCTCCTTGTAATAGTTGTCGACAGAGTAATTGGCCTTCCGTTCACGCTTCGAGAGAGATAGCATATTGAAGTTGAGGCCCTTTCGCTGAATGATAATTCGTAGTTCAGAACACTCGAAACCACATCAAAATTGAAATAAAAACGTACACCTGGCCGGAAGTCTTCGCCTTCCCACTGTTGCACAGTAGCATCGGACTTGAAATTATTGAGGTCCTCAAGATTGAGGCCTTCATACTTGCTATTGAGCTCTGCCGTACGTTCCTCACCGCGTTGGACAATAGCATCAATGTCATCGTTGATGAGGAATCTGATTGGTAGTGATCAAGAAATATAAAACTTGTGTAATGCCAAGTAACTCACGCGTCAGTCGAGTTGATGAGTTTCTCAGCGCCGTGCGTGATCATTTCGAGCAGCTCATCCTTGCTGGCAGCTGCACCCAACCAGTGAGCGCTTTGGAAGAAAACTCCTGATCAGAATCTTACCCTTTGCTTGTTGTTGGCGACCTTGTTGGATAACTAGCTGGTCGAGCCGGAGTTTCTGCGCAGCACGCTCAAGCATGCGCTCCTCAACGCTGTCCTCGGTGATGAAGCGGAAGACGTAGACTTGCTTAGTTTGGCCAATGCGATGCGCTCGATCCATAGCTTGCAAATCGGCCTGGGGATTCCTGCAAACGGATCAGCACATCGGAGGGATACAAAGATAGACAACAAACCAATCGCTATCGTATAGGATGACGATGTCAGCGGTGGTGAGGTTGATACCCAGACCGCCAGCGCGTGTGGTCAAAAGGAAAATGAACTTCTCGCTGCCGGGCTTGTTGTAATCGTCGATAGCTAAGATTCGATCGTCATGCGCTGTACTACCATCGATACGACAATACTCTGTTGAACGAACCAGAAGTCAACCCAAAAGACGGCAACTTTGAATGTTACGTACTGAAACCCCTGAACAGGCAATAATCTTCAAGGATATCTAGCACTCTGCTCATCTGACTGAAGATCAATACACGAGAACCCTTCTCATTCATGGACTTGAGAAGTTTGTCGAGGATAATCATCTTGCCCGAGTTTTCGATGAGGTGCTCATCAGTCGTATACGGAGGACCGGGTTCCTGAGTTGCTAGATTCAGTTTCGAGTGTCTAAAAGAGATAACGACAGACGTACTGCGCCGTCGAACAAGTAAGGGTGACATGTCACTTTACGCAACTGCATGACCATGTTCATGAGGCGGGTCTTGCCCTCCTTCTTTCCAGTCAAGCCTTTGAATAGGTGAGATGAGTGAACTGAGCAACGTCAAGGAGTAGCATACCATTGACAGCATCTATGTCCTTTTCAAGCACTGAACGGTACCACTTCCGCTGCATCTCCGTCAGGCCAACGTAAATATTGATTTCTTTCTCTGCGAGTAAGGCGGCGTCAACGCAGGCATGTATCTGTATCAATTGAACATACTAGGCAGAAGATTCTTCTCCACGTCGGACTTGACACGCCGCAAGAGGAACGGACGAAGAATTTTGTGAAGAGCTTCCACGACTTTCTTGCTCTTATCCTCCTCCCCCTCCGCACTATCATCATCCTTGTGCAAGAAAGAATCCAAATCTGCATAATCTGAGAATATTTCAGGGCAAATGAAGTTCAGAAGCGCAAACAGTTCCTTGAGGTTGTTCTGCAGCGGCGTTCCTGTAATAAGCAGACGTCCGCGGGACATGAACGCGCGGACTATCTGAGCGAGGATGGAATCGACATTTTTGATACGGTGCGCTTCGTCTATTATGATGTATTCGAAAGAGAATTTCTTGAGTGCCGACTTTTCGATGAGACATATTTCATACGAGGTAACGCAGACATCGAAATCCTGAGGGATGAGCCGATTAGCGATAATTTCTGCGCGTTCTTCCTTTGAGCCGGTCAGAACGACAACGTTCACATCCGGTGTCCATTGTTCGAACTCGCGAGCCCAGTTCTGAAGGGTGGATTTAGGGACAACAATCAAATGCGGACCACGAGTATCACGATAATGTTTCAAGTAGGAAAGGAAAGAGATGGTCTGCAACGTTTTGCCAAGACCCTGTATGGTTCAGTGAGTATTGAAGTGAAATATTAGGAGTTATAACACCACATACCATCTCGTCGGCAAGGATACCGTTCAACCCATTGTGGTGCAATGAGACCATCCAATTGAGTCCTTGAAGTTGGTATGTTCTCATCGTGCCGTTGATGTCTAAAATTATGGTTTAGCGTGGCTAGTCGTGGGTTGGACGACACGTACAACTCGGCGATTCTTCAAAAACATATGGTTGGTCATCTCCATCCGCAGCAAATCCCCCGTCATTCAACAACTCTTCATCTTCTTCCTTCTCAGACTTGCGATGACGTGCGTTCTGGTCGCTACTCAAAATATTAGTCGGTGGTTATACAGAAGAAACGCGAATGACGCACGCTCCCTTCTTTCTACCCCTACCCTTCGGCTTCGGCTGTGAGTCCAATAAAGCAGCATATTGTGGATCACGAGTTTTCTACGGGATGGTGAGTAGAATATGATGGGACCGGCGTGATATAACGCGCCTTGATATCAACAAAATGCTTGAAAAGATCTGTCTGGCCGAGAAGATACGAATATCGTTTGACAGCATCGGTAATCTAAAGTGGAATAAGAAAACTGCCTCCTCGTAGTCGCGCGCACTCACTTTCGCTTTGTCCATTTCCTGTCGTTTGACGTGGAGTTGACTCTCTTCAGCTTTGCGTTTTCGCTTCTTTTGTTGCCTCTCTACGGTTTGCTGGATTTTTGCCAGTTTTGATGGAGATGAGCTGCCAGCGACAGGTCCCTAATTGAACACATGGGGTGTTAGAACCGGGGATGAACGTGATGAGGCAATGTCATAAACGCGCCTCCTGCTCCTCATCACTAACGAGCTCATCTTCCTGGGCACTCATGCCTTCGTCGACGTATTCGCTTTCACCGTCATCCACCCCCTCGCTTTGCTGAGAATTAAACACGGTGATTCGATTTCAGTACGGAGCTAGAATAGGGCATGCTGGCTGCTAACCTGACGCGACACGATGTTGCTGGGGACGAAGTCGCTTAAAACATCCTCATCCATTAGGTCCTTGAAGGCGATCAGCTCGTGAAAAGATGGTAGAAAACTCGACGTACGGCCATTCGTGTATTTGCTGTGGTGGTTTAGGTAAAGACAAACTTGGAGCGGTTACTTAAATAAGGACTTGAAGCTTGAAATACCGACAACGGCCAAGACGCGGCACGATAACCCAATTTATCAATCAACTTCACACTGTGTCTAGACTATGAATGATACTCAATCCGAAAGCAAGGAAGTTTGCATCTAAGCTCCAGCACCAGTGCTAGCACTCAAAATATTTTTTCACTGAGGTGACCTGAAGTAGATCTTATCGTCTTCAAAGTTTCTCACACGACTTCAGGATCATCCTGCATCATCCGCTTGAGCTCGGTCTCCGGAGCCCTCGCCTTGAATTCAATAAAGGATGGCTGGTTCTCTCCCCTCATGAACCCCATGTCATCCAACGACTTCGTAGCATCCAAAGTCAGACGGAAGGCCCAAAGAATCAAGAGAGAGGTGATGAACACCGATCTGCAGCAATCAAGGTGAACATGGAAGGTCATATGCATAGAAGGGAACATTTACCTAGTCGCAACGTGTTGACCGGGGCATACACTTAAAATAACGAGTCAGTCAAAATTCGAGTGTCCAGAAAAACGGTTGTTTACCGACGACCAAACCCGAAGACAAAGAATTTAAGATCGTCCCCAAGGCGACCTTGGTCATTAATCCAGCGTTGAGGCTTGAAAGCATGAGGTTCTGGGAAGACTTCTGGGTCTCGAGAGATGGACCTGATGTATTATCCGTCAGTCCCGTGTTACTTTTTATCTTGAAGGACCAACCAATGATGACCGATTACCGTAGTTCCAGCCGGAATGCAATAGTTTCTCTGATGGACCAGATGATCATTCTCACAATTAGTTAGTCAGAAAATACTTACCCAAACCACCTCCTTGGTCGTTCGGTGAGCCAATCCTGCCGTGTGTTGTGAACTTCAAGTTTAGGACCGACAATAATGATACCCACCGCTGGGAACCAACGGTCTCCATCTCAAGGCCTCAGAGATGAAGGCATGCAATTGAGGGAGGGATTGTTCGTCAGCAAAGGTCGGTACTGCGGTGGAGACATCCTTAAATCGATACACCTGCAATAGGAATCGACCTACCTCGATGCCTTCCTACGACCACGTCCAGCTCTGCTTGGACTTTAGCTTGCTCGTCGGGGAAACATGCGGCTGCCATGAGCACTGTGCATATCGCCAAAGTAGTCTAGGGCCTTCAATTCATATGTTGAAAAATAACGATACAAGACACCTTACCGTATCAAATCCTGCTGCATAGAAACTGCCGGCCAGAAAAGCCATCTCTGTCTCTGTCAAGTCATGGGGTTGGACGTTTTCCAGCATATATTTCACGAATGAAGGGCCGACGTCCACATTGCTCTGCTGCGGAAGGATTCAAACACCGCGTGAAGATTGGCGAGTCAATGTATACCATTTGCTGTTTTACGCGGTTCAGCTGGCCGGTGTTGAGCTGCCTGTTCCTCTCAAACCCCCGTTTCAACTCTTGGGCATACCAAGGAAGGTATTTGAGCCACGGGATTACGTCAACAAGATAAGCACCAGGGCGCAGGGTTTTACGAAGTAATTGAAAGTTCTCGCGGATAAGTCTGGCTTCAGGATCAGTAGTAGATGTAGGAGTGGTCTTTCCGTATGCAACTTTCGTAATCGTTGTTGCAGCATAACTTCAAAATACTCATGAGTAACACACTGTGATACAATAGGACAACGCTTACGTTGCCGCATGGTTCTGGAAGTTGGCTGGATCTTGAAGGATGTCGAGGACCATGTTCTTTGCGTGTGACATCTGCAGGGGCTGATATTCCTCAGCTGATTTAGGCTGGAGATGCGTATGAAGTGCTCTATATCACGTTGGAAGATTAGTTTGGAGCCATTCGTGCAGCGTCGCGGGAAACGAACGAACCTACGCATCCGACGCCACATGCTCCCAGCAGGTGTGAGGATGACGGAAAGTCCACCATTAAGAATTTCTCCAGCAGCAATGAGGCGAGGGCGATCAGCTAGTGACCCTCCCTGCTTCTCCATGATATCTACAACGGCCTGCAATATGCTGAGCCCAGACATGACAAGTTGGCTTGGAGGCACTCACGCCATGACGGCCGATAATAACGATTTTCTCAGTTCCTGATCGAATGGTGATTAGAGGACCGTGCTCGTCAATCCATCCTGCGACAGTGAGAAATGGGCTGAACGGCGATGGCACACGATGAACATCAAAGCAAGGAGTGAAATGTGAAACTTTACTTGCGAGGGGATATGAAGTGTCCCCGAAGTCTCCAAGTGAAGGGGGAGGGTGGAAGAGGGAGATCGCTCCCTGATTTTGGGAGGAAAGCCCAAGAAATCACTCCTACTACCCCAAGACAAGCTGCAGTACCGAGGGCAAGCTGGGTGTTGTTAGAAACGCGCAAGTCAGGCAGCTGCAGCATGATTGAAACACAAGGACGGCAGGGAACTGGTGGTAATTTGAGTTATGAATGGTCTTGTAAATACCGCGTGCCAATCATATAATTATTGATCCCTAACGTCTTCGAAACGTCAGATTCAGCAGCTGACCGCCGATGAGAACGGAAGAGTGTCTCTCACGTCGACACATTAATACGTTAGACCTAGGTTGATAAGGCAATGTCAGCATCCGCGCCACGCGCTGATAACACTGGATTTTATAAGATGTGAATGAACCTTGCTGACGATGATGGTCGGTCATGACTGCAGCAGATGGCAGAAGTCGCAGACGCCACAGAGATTACTGGGTATGCGACAGTGACATTCAGATATGATTGCTGTTGACTCTGAATGTGGATGGGTTGGGAATAGTTCATTGTCTTGCTTGACGGAGCGACATGGTATCCTTTACAACTTAGTATATTGTCATGCCACGCAAGTGTTTGAAGTACATGAGCACCGACTACGTAGCAGCAGTAGCTGCGCGATTGAGGGATCCACGACACGGAGCCTGTAACGACAGACGAGCACTTGTTGAATGCGAGAATTGTATGAACCACGAAGTTTGCGAAGAGGAATGTGGGGAGAACAAGTACTGAGTCAAAGAGATGTTCGCCAACACACCGAGGAAGCAAGGAAGCTGGTTGAGTGGTGTCCTAAAGAGAGGAACGCCAGAAATACAATAGAAAGAAGTGGCGACTGGGCCATAGATCGATTACATACCATCATGCAAGACGGACGCCGATACACGATTTATAAAGATGTTTACCCACCAAATTGCTACGACTGGGTCAAGGAGGTCACTCTCGATATAAGGCTCGGAATCAATAATGTTGGATTGCGTAAGCTGAGCTCACACCTGAACCAAATTTCGCCACGACTGTATAACAAACCTGGTCACGACAATCTAGACAGAAGACTCGCAGTATCTGTGTACCCGGCCGAACATGCAAGTATCAGGTTTGGTTTTTGGAATTCCTGCTAACATGCTGAACTGCAGGGCATCTGTCACCGTGCAGTCTAATGAGATTGCTAAAGCCAGCTTACATGTCGCCCTTCCGTGGTACACGCATTTGTACACCATTCCATTCCTCTCGCTCTATCCGCTTCTCGCGTATGCATATTATATCAAGTATGATGACTGGTTGAAAAGCGAGGAGTGGACTTTCCTGGCTTGTGTATCTCTGGGCGCGGGCCATGCTTTAAGTTTCCTGGTCACTCGATGGAGTGCTGGCGCGAAAGCATGGATAACAACGCGAAAGGTGTGCATTTAGGTTTGTAGATTTAGACAACATCCTCATATATTCTAAAGGCGCGGTCTATCGAGGATGCAGACTGTATACGCTTGGTTCCTCACGTCCATCGTGGTCAAGGCGAGATTGTCCCACTGCTCAAGGGCGTTCCATCAGAGCCAATGTCCTACACATTCAACTACCAGCGAGATACTTATGTTGTAGCCGGCAAGAGTCCCGTCGTGTTTGCTCGCCTTCCGTACCCATCCACCCAGCGCCCACCACTGTCTACCTTTTTACAGCCCACTGGCCTTAATCTGGATACAATCCCACCCTTGAAGTCACTATATGGCAAAAACGAATTCAACATTCCGATCCCCTCTTTCTCGGAGCTTTTCGCTGAACATGCCACAGCTCCCTTCTTCGTTTTCCAAATATTTTGTGTCGCACTCTGGTGCCTGGACGAGTATTGGTACTACAGCTTATTCACGCTATTCATGCTCGTCATGTTCGAGTGTACTGTTGTCTGGCAGGCGCGTTTTTTCCCCTTCCTGTTAACAACTCCGAAGCCAACCTCGCTTGTAGCGTTTGAAAACTCTGACAGAATTCCGTACGATGGCTGTCGCTCCGTATCCCATTCAATGCTACCGGCATTCACAATGGGTTACCATCCAGTCTGACGAGCTTCTCCCTGGAGACCTTGTTTCTGTTGGTTAGTGTCATTTATCCGTTGGCGATATTATTTCACTGACGTGTCATCACAGCGCGACAGCAGTTTGAAACGGTAGTTCCTGCTGATATTCTCCTTGTCCAAGGCACATGCATCGTCAACGAAGCTATGTTGTCAGGAGAGTCTACGCCGCTACTCAAGGAATCCATCCAGCTTCTCGATAGCAGGGACAAACTTGACGTCGACAGCGCGCACAAGAACGCAGTCCTGTTCAGTGGAACGAAGGTGCTCCAAGCAAGCCCAACGGGTACGTTAAACACTTATAGTTTACTTCAACATTGTCATTTGCTCTCAGGTCAAGGACAAGTTACTGCAGCAACTCCGGATGGTGGATGTCTAGGACTTGTTTTGAGAACCGGTTTTGGCACAGCCCAGGGGCAACTTGTGAGGACGATGATATTCTCAACTGAACGCGTGTCTGCGAACAACCTCGAATCGTTCCTATTTATCGGATTCTTGCTCATCTTTGCGATTGCCGCTAGTTGGTATGTTTGGGTGAAGGGTACGTGTACGTACTATCTTGTGTACCGGTCACTAATCACAAGCATACATAGGCATCGAGCGTGATCTCAAAAAGTCCAAGCTCTTGCTTGACTGCGTACTTATTATTACGAGTGTCGTCCCCCCAGAATTGCCTATGGAGCTTTCTTTGGCCGTGAATGCATCCTTGGTTGCTCTATCAAAATTCGGTAAATCAAGTTTCATTTTCCGTAATAATTTATCTTACTATTTTTATCAGCCATATTCTGCACCGAGCCATTTCGTATCCCGTCCGCTGGTCGCGTTGATATTTGTTGCTTCGACAAAACAGGAACTATTACCGCAGAGAACCTAGTCTTAGAGGGTGTTGCTGGCATAGAGTTAGTATCCCACATCTAATCGACATCTACCCTTTAATATTCACACAATTCTAGCGGCTCAGACAAACTGAAGCTTGTGGACGTCAAGGACACCGCCAAGTATACTACCCTATGTTTGGCTGCCGCACATGCACTCGTTCGTCTCGATGATGGCACGGTTGTTGGAGACCCAATGGAAAAGACGACGTTAGAAGCTCTTGACTGGCAGATTATGAGTGGCGATCAAGTAGCGCCATCTTCTGCCAAGTCGCCCAGTGCATCGAGGGTTTTTATTCGGCGCCGTTTCCAATTTTCGTCGGCTCTCAAGCGCATGTCCACCGTGTCGAGCTTGCCTAGCGGCAAGGTCCTCGTCGCTGTTAAAGGTGCACCGGAAACGATTAAAGGCATGCTCGCGGAAGTTCCAGAATGGTACGATGTGACATACAAGTGGTATACTAGGCGTGGCAGTCGTGTTTTGGCATTAGGAACGAAGGAAATGGGGACCATATCGATCGACAAGGTTAGTCATAGTCTGGTAACTTCATTCGCATTATTAACGGTTAATGGTTGCTATAGATCAATAAATTATCCCGCGAGGATGTTGAAAGCAGCCTTACGTTTGCAGGATTTTTAGTCTTCCATTGTCCTCTCAAGCCAGATGCTATTGAAACACTCAAGATGCTTGCCGACTCGTCACATAGGGTAAGTCGTTGGTCCGCTATGGAACTTCACTTATCGCAGAACAGTGCATTATGATCACTGGCGACAACCCATTGACGGCAGTCCATGTCGCGCGTGATGTCGAGATCGTCGATCGCGACGCGCTGATCCTGGATTTGCGAGAGAACCCCGCACATGAAGCAGGTGGGTTGACCACCATTGTAGCCAGTACGCGCAGTAATATTTGGCATAGATTTGGTCTGGCGCACTGTGGATGAAACTAAGATTATTCCAGTGGATCCGTCTCAGCCTTTGGACCAACGCCTCTTCGACGAGTACGATATCTGTGTTACCGGTGCTGCCATGAAGCAGTTCGAATCTCGTCCTTCATGGAATGACCTGGTACAAAACACCTGGGTTTATGCTCGTGTCTCGCCTACGCAGAAGGAATTCATCCTTACCAGTCTTAAGATGCTTGGTTACACTACGCTCATGGCTGGAGACGGCACCAATGACGTCGGTGCACTCAAGCAGGCTCATATCGGCGTAGCTCTTCTAGATGGCACACCCGAGGACCTCCAGAAAATAGCGGAACATCAGAAGGTCGAACGGATCAAGAAAGTCTACGAGAGCCAGCTGAAAATATCGGCAAGGTTTGGACAGGTGCCACCGCCTGTACCTCCTGCTATTGCACATCTCTACCCAGATGTTGTGGAGGCGCAGAAAAAAGCTGCAGAGAATTTACAAGTCGCACGGCAAAAGAATCCGATGGAGAAGGTGACGTCTGTTGTCCTTGTGAGGGTTGGCTGGCTGACAATATTTTAGTTCGACCTTGCTTCGATTACTGATGCTATGTCCAACATGGAAGGCGATGAGGATGTTCCTCAGATCAAACTTGGAGACGCTTCATGCGCTGCACCATTCACATCGAAGCTGTCCCACGTCGCTGCCAGTGAGTTTACATAATGCTTATCATCGAGAGTGCCTACTGAACTTGGGAACAGTTACCCATATTATCAGGCAAGGTCGCTGTACTTTAGTCGCCACCATTCAGATGTACAAGATTTTGGCTTTGAACTGCCTGATCACTGCGTACAGCTTGTCGGTTCAGTATCTCGATGGTATCAAGTTTGGTGATTATCAGGTAACCGTTAGCGGAATGTTGATGTCCGTCTGTTTTCTCTGCATATCTCGAGCTAAGGTGTGTTTCTGCTTGTCTTTTTTTTTGGCCGTACTGAATGTTCGACAACAGCCAGTTGAAAAACTTTCCCGGGAGAGGCCGCTAGGCAACATCTTCAATCTCTATGTGCTATTATCTGTTCTGCTCCAGTTTGCCCTCCACATTATTTCGCTCGTTTACATTACGAACTTGTCGCATATGCTTGAGCCGTAAGTCTCGATCTCATTCATTCTGAAAATATACTGAGTCCTGTACAGAGCTGGTGTGATTGACCTCGAGGCGAAGTTCGAGCCCAGTCTCTTAAACACTGCCATCTACCTTCTGGGTCTCTCTCAACAAGTCTCGACATTTACTATCAACTTCCAGGTAATTCATTTCGCCGAGGATGTCGAATTTGATCCATTGACGGCATGTCTTATAGGGTCGCCCTTTCCGTGAGGGAATTCGCGAGAACTCGAGCTTGTACTGGGGGCTTGTCGGTGCTAGTGCTGTTGCATTCTCTGGAGCTACGGACTTTATGCCCGAGTTGAACCGATGGCTACAGATTGTTGAGATGGAGGGACTGGTGCGTCATTTTCCTGATTTTTAGCATGAAATCTTACGGTCGCTCCCTCATCTGTGTAGTTCAAGGTGAAGTTAACCAGCGTCATGATCGCCGATTTTGTTGGTTGTTGGGTGATCGAGAAGCTCTGCAAACACCTGTTCGCAGATCTCGAGCCAAAACCGCTAGTCACCCGGGGTAGGGAACGAAGAGAGGCGAGACGAAGGGAAGAGGCTAGACTAGCAGATGAGGCAGCCACAGAGAAGAAAGCACAGTAAAGACGCTGCACATATACTTGTAGCTAGAATCCCCACGCAAAGCTTTCAAGATCATAATATCATCTTAGACATTTCCAAGTGAAGTCGGAACGACGTGGGTGACTTTAAGCTCCGCCTGAAAGACATCCCAATTGGTGCAGATAGATTATACTTTGGAGTGACGTTGCAAGCACTCGTGTTCAGGTCAACTCACAGGCAAAACAGCCGCGTCCTTGTAACTTTTATTCGAACCCGTACGGTGGTGCCGAGATGCTCAATTTTGAAGATGTCGAAGAGCGGGATGGTTTGTTTCATTGATATATTGCTTAAATTCAGTTGATATTTGACTTTTGGTTTCAGGTGTTCGTCTTTCGTGGAATGTATGGCCCTCTTCTCGGATAGAGGCGACCCGGACTGTGGTCCCGATATCAGCGCTTTATACTCCATTGAAGCAACGAGAGGATCTTCCTCCAGTATTATACGAACCCGTGACGTGTAAACCCCCTTGTCGTGCTATTCTCAATCCGTATTGGTGTGTCTCTTCTCTTCTTTCCTTAAATTCTACTATTGAAGCGCCATGCAGTCAAATCGATATCAGAGGCAAACTATGGATTTGTCCGTTTTGCTTGACCCGCAATGCTTTCCCCCCACATTATAAAGATATCTCTAACACCAATCTACCCGCCGAACTACTTCCAAAGTACACGACGATTGAGTACACGCTATCTCGTCCCGCTCAGGCTCCACCCGTCTTCCTCTTTGTCGTCGATACCTGTCTAGATGCTGAAGACCTCAAAGCGCTCCGTGACGCCCTTGTCGTCAGTCTCAGTTTGATCCCACCATATGCATTAGTTGGTCTCATTACGTTCGGCACAATGGTATGCACACTTATTTGTTCTTTTATCGTTCAAGCTTATTCCTTTAACTACCAGACACAAGTTCACGAATTGGGCTACGCAGAATGCAGTAAATCATACGTCTTCCGTGGCGGCAAGGAATACACGCAGAAACAGATTCAGGACATGCTCGGACTCAGTACGACAACCCGCGCCGCACCCCGCGCTGGCCAACCCATGCCCCAACAAGCTTTTGGAGCTGCTCGTTTCTTACTTCCTGTCCAACAATGCGAATTCCAACTCACTGGCATTTTGGAGGCACTCGCTCGCGACCCTTGGCCCGTTGCTAATGACAAGCGCGCTTTACGTTGCACTGGTGTGGCTGTCAGTGTAGCCGTTGGACTCCTAGAGGTGTGTATATCAATTGCGGTGAGAAGAATGTACGGGTGACAACACATCTCAGACGACTTTTCCTAACACGGGCGCACGCATAATGGTTTTCGCAGGTGGACCTGCAACGGAGGGTCCAGGCATGGTTGTCAGCAATGAACTCAAGGAGCCTATCCGCTCTCATCACGACATCGAACGGGACAGCGTTAAGCACTACAAACGTGCAGTAAAGGTTTGTCCTAGATCAATAAGACAATGGCGATGGCATCATAGTTCGCTTTTCTTTTAGTTCTATGAAGGTCTGGCGAAGAGGGCGTCCAACAATGGCCACGCTGTCGATCTGTTTGCTGGTTGCTTGGATCAAGTGGGCTTGCTAGAGATGAAGTCGTTGCCAAACTCGACGAACGGTGTCATTGTCCTATCCGATTCGTTTGCTACGTCGATCTTCAAGCAAAGCTTCCTGCGTATGTTCAATAAGGACGACCAGGACTTCTTGCAGATGGGTTTTAACGCGACGTTTGACGTACAGGCAAGTCGCCTCGCATACTCCTCTACATGACTTTTTAACTCCAACTTATTTAGACAACGAAAGAACTGAAGGTTTCTGGCCTTATCGGACATGCAATCTCCGCCGGGAAGAAATCTGCTTGCGTTGGCGAGACGGAAATTGGTATCGGTCAGACGTCAGCCTGGCGAATCAACTCCATTACTCCTAGGACATCTGCTGCCATTTACTTCGAGGTCGTTACTCCTGCGGGCCAGGCATTGTCTCCCGGATCAAGGGGTCTCATTCAATTCGTCACTCATTATCAGCACTCGTCTGGGCAGATGCGTTTGCGTGTTACGACAATTGCTCGAAATTTTGCAGAAGCGAACTCTCCTAGCATCGCTTCTTCCTTCGACCAAGAAGCCGCTGCCGTACTTATGGCAAGGATAGCAGTCTTCAAGGCTGAAATAGACGACTCACCAGACGTTTTACGTTGGCTCGACCGCATGCTCATCCGTCTCTGCCAGAAATTCGCAGATTACAGAAAGGAGGACCCTGTCAGCTTTAGACTATCGGATAATTTCAGTATTTATCCACAGTTCATGTTCCATCTACGGAGAAGCCAGTTCTTACAGGTGTTTAATAACAGTCCCGATGAGACTGCATTCTACAGGTCTGTACCACTGCTGTGCGGCACAATATTTGGATGTTAAAAAGTCACCTGACAGACATATTCTTAACGAAGAAGACGTCAACAACTCATTGATCATGATTCAACCCACTCTGATGTCATACACATTCGATGTCGAGCCCCAGCCTGTCTTGCTCGACAGCGTCTCTATCAAAGCCGATGCCATCCTCCTCCTCGACACCTTCTTCCATATTCTTATTTTCCACGGCGAAACGGTTGCCCAATGGAGGAAGGCAGGTTACCAAGATCAGGATGGGTACGAGAACTTTAAAGAGCTGTTGGAGAACCCTGTTACAGATGCTCAGGTGCGACAGTTTAGCTTGTGCTTCTAACTCGCTTTGACGGCCGTACACACAGGACTTGCTGGTTGACCGTTTCCCTATACCACGTTATATCGTCTGCGACCAGGGTGGCAGTCAAGCTCGATTCTTGCTATCGAAGCTCAATCCGTCGACGACGCACATGTCGACATCGATGTATGGTACTGCACAAGCCGCGGGCGCTGGCCAGGCGATCTTCACCGACGACGTTAGCTTGCAGGTTTTCATGGAGCACCTAAAACGCCTAGTAAGGGTTTCTTTGTTGCTGGTACTTCTATGTGCGCGCTTACGAGGGCCTTTTTCACCAGGCTGTGGGTGCACAAACAAACTAGATTGCTGTTTGTCGACGGTTAGATATCGGTTTGTGCACTGGACGCTGTTTATCGTTCCGCGTTCGAGTTAGCTTTTCGATTATAGTAATGTTGGTAGTCTATCGTAAAATGTCCATTTTTCTGATTTCGTTGTCCCGATGATTTGCGATGCGGATGCATACTGTTTGAGGTTGTCTAGTCGGGGACAGACTCTGGTTCCTGGGTCAGATTGATCGGACTCCATCTTGTGTACGAAATGACCTGAATCTACATACTTTCAGCTGTGTATCCCTTCCTTTGCGTGTTCAACGCCATGTAAGTTTCTAGTAGCAGTTTCAAACCTTGCTTTGGTTTCGTGACTGAAGTTCTGGCATAAAGATAACGTGATCGATGGAGACGCGTTAAGCACGTGCCACGACGCTCTCTAATCATCTCTAACGGTGTTAACCTCGCGATGCCCGGACATACGCCGCATAGAACACCTCTTAAACGTGTCTCCCAAGGGTCTCTCTTCGCTCTCTCGCGATCAGGTAACAACCCTGATGCGCCTCATGGCCTTGGCTTCATCGAACCTGTAATGGCCGAGCTGGTCGACGAAGTTGAGGCGCTGCAGGCGAATGTAGAGGGCCTTAGGAACCTCAGCAACTCTCTGAAAATATTCAATGAGAGTTTCGCAAGCTGGCTATATGTCATGGACATGAACGCGCTTACGGTGGACTGGCCGCAGGTGAGCCCTGGTGCTTCACGATGATCGAGTATGTCGACTGATCTCTTGTTAATCTGCCAGGCTCCAACGGACGCGTCGTTCCGGCTGGCTAAGCGACGAGCAGGTGCGTTGTGTGATAAATTTATTATGCGTTTCAGATGATATATCTATTAGAGGAAAACGCCCGTTTGGCTGAAGAAGCTGCTCTGAAAGCAGCATCAACCGTTCCTCCGCCGCCAGACTCAGAGGCGGACAAGACAACATTCAGCGAAAACCAAGAGTTTGAAACGACGTACACAACGAATGCTACGACAAGGAATACTTCTACCAGCATTGCGAAGAGCACATCGACAGGTATTCCCAAGAAGAAGGCTAAACCAAAGCTCACTGCGAAGGAGAAAAAGGAACGATCGGTGAGCACTGATACATAGGTCACTCTCTTCTCGATTTTTGATCGTCCTTGCAGCTTTCACTCGAGAAGATAGTGATGTCTCTTCCCCTCGAGTTTCGGGGTAGTGATCCGGCACGTATACTCAATGATGGTACGAGACTGTTTGTTGAAGGATAGACGCTCTAGGGTCTTCGACGTAACATGGAATCTGTAATAGAATTCATGATGGACAGCGATGGACGAGGCATCAAACGTGAGTAATCCCTCTTTGTTGTAGTATACATGTGCTCACTAGTCCTTGCACGCAGTCATCGAGCTCATCAAACCTCCCGATCTCAATCAGGCACGTGTCAACAAATGTTTGATTGCTTTAGTGAACCGGAAGATTGTCCAAAAGGAAAACAGTACTGTACTGGCACAACCACTCGAGCAATGACGGACTCTCCTAATCTTCGAACAGGGTACGGTACTTTACCATTGGACCGGATTATCGTGAGATCCAGTGTGGTGATGTGTGGATGCTCTCCAACATCCTTGGCTCTCGCGCCGTTTCGGATTTCTGCTATTTTCGTTTCTTTTTGCAGTGGCTGCGCACGACTTGTTCAATTCCACCAATACGAGTGATGCAAGGAGCCTTTCGGACACCAATGATGGTACTGCTGAGAGATTCACACCCCTTATTGCGACTGCAGTAGCGCACCTACATCCGAGGTGGTTTAAACCGTACCATTAATACCTTGACCAGATCGGGTCGTAGGGGTTGGGCTGCTATGCATTCATTGGAAATTCATTAAACAAGGTTTGAACGAAATGCTTAATCAATTTGGTCCCCGACAACGCTTGTGTGCGTTAACGTGTCGGCAACACGGCCATGGTATGGATCATAGACTCTCCATTACTTATCTCCAACACATTCATCTTTTTCACGGACGTATCTCTAGATGCGAATCCCTCAGGGTCTTGTCTCATCATCTCAGCCCTGATGTAATCCCTACATCATTTTCATGAGAACGGTATTAAAGGAGTAATTTGGTCTTCATGTACCTTGTCAGATGAATACCGGTGTCACGAGCAATCAGCTGTTTGATCATTCGAGGGCCGAGCTTCTTCTCCGGATCTTTCGACATCTGGGTGAGCACGAGCTGTCGTTTAACCGTCTCTGGCAGCTGTCGAGTGGTCACACCACTTGCATAGAGACCCAGAGCTCTTCGTCTGCGAGCTACCGAGCTTTCACTGAAGTACACCATTACTTATCAATGTAAAGAAGAGCGCATAACACGCGTACCTCAGCTTAATCCCATGCTCGTCATACAGGAGTTGACTTATCTTCTTCTTATCAAATATTTCTCTCCGTTGATAGTCATACAGAAGCTCCGTAACCTGATTGTCATTCTTCGGGGCTGCAGACCGTGAAGACAATATAAGGAGCATTAAAAGGGCAGATACGTACGACAGTCCTTGTATTGGTTCCTCCCAGTTGGATTTCGATTATGTGGTTTTGTCAAAGTTGTTACGGAAGGACCTGACATGAGTCGAGAGCAGAAATGTTAAAAGAGTCAATAAGTAATTGGGATGCCCGCGCTCGAAAGCAGGCGACACCTTCTACATGTGCGATGACCGTTATGCAACAAGTTGACCAGGGCTCAACCCGAATTTAGGTTCAGCTGGTGGTTGTTTGGCAACGGCCTCTGATCCAAACAACTGTTGATTTAGCCTCGCGATATCATGTATTATGAGACCTGGCAACTCTCAATCACGCTGAATACAGCATACTACAGATTTTCTTGATTCCACATTCTGTTAATATTCATCAGGTGTCGTGTATCTTTATCGTGCGTTCTTGCGCCCGTCTAATAGTAAGCCAGATCTTCCGAGCCAATGGACGAACTTCAAGAATCAGACACCTGCAGTCCCACAATATTTCTACCGAGTGTCTGATGAGAATTCTCATTCTAAGTTCCACGAAAATTTGGGGTTTGTGGCTAGTATACCTCATGCTACCTACGACCCCGAGCATTGGAATCCCCGGCTTGAGTTAGAACGGCACATGGATTGGACAAATAAACATCCGACACCCTTTACATCTGTGACGGCCTCCTGCGAAAAGGCCCTCGAATTTGCTAAGCAGAGGGTGGAAAAGAAGAGGCGTACTATTACGATTGCGAAGATCGATGGGTCGCGACTCGAAACAGCAATCCACCGGATGTGCGATCCTGTTCAACAAACAGGCGCAGATATAAAACATGAAGCAATGAACAACCACGAATAATTGTGTGTTCGCCGCATTCCAGCGAACGCCGTCATTCAGCGTCTTACACTTGGTGATGAACAGCAATGAAAAATTGGTTGGTGTAGCTGAGTCCGATATTATAGTTCAGTTTTAGATCATGCTCATTGTGTTCCAGCTCTCAAGCTTCTACAACCCATACCGGACGGTGGCATAATTCCGTTACGTAGAAGATGTCCTAGGCTTGTTTCTGTATTTCTGTGCAGACTTCACACTACTTATGATCTCGGCGTATCAAGATGCTTACCTCCGTAATTGCAAGTTGAATAGTAACTAGTAAGGACCAGTATTTAATGCATCGATGCAGTCTAGCTCATCGTGATGATGGTCACTCCTAAACCCATGTTCAGTTTAGACCGCGACACTGCAGTATACCGTCTGCTGTCAAAGACCCAATATCGTCTCTCTGTGCAGGGGAGTGACTTGGAAATTATATTGCCAATGAAACTAATAATGTTACAATTCATGGCGACAGCGAGGCTCTCATTGGTCTTATGAAATATTTAAGATCAACTTGAAGTGACTCATACTCTAAGAGTTGACCTCAAACCCACTCTTCACCTTCGCTGACGGCCGGCGACCACCGTGACTTTCCTCAAGCAGTTAACTATTTTCTCAAGGCAGTTAACAACTTTCTACAACTTTTCCAGTTAGATACTGATAGGCTCTGCGAAGTTCGAACATCAATCTTTCTTCTTTCAAGTCTATTAAGGCCCAACTTCATGAATTGGGCTGCACCCTATTGGCGGGCCGCTCAGCCACTCATATTCTTACATTATGAAAACACAACTCTAGATAATCCTGCTATCATCGAATGAGATTACCGATATGTCATAACCTCCGATACATATTAGTTCTGTCAATCTGTCAATTGCACTTGACTATGTCCCTCATGCGAGTCCGTAGCCGATCCAGTACAAAATGTAAGTTGCGCCTTTACACTTCGTCCATACTAACAATATTTACATCCTGTAGGCTTGTCATTTAAATTAGACATACAAATTGCATTCCTCCTTCCTCGTCCCATCAACACCCCAGGGACACTTGCACAAAGGCACCGTCCATGCAAACTCAACCGAGATTACTGTGACTTTCGAACAACTCTCCGTCACTGAAGCCGCGTGTAGGGAGAGACTATCCCACATGCGGCTGTCCGAATGCGCTATTCGGCGGCTTTGATAAAGATTTCTCCCTGGATTGGGTTAGTATTGATGTGATGGGGCAGAGCACTCTGCTACACAGTGAAAACTGCAACTGAACTGCTGTCTATCAACTGTGTTATGCATCCACAACGCAGTGCGAAGGTATTTGGCCATCGCTTAGTATTCAAAGTGCATCGACTGACTCAGAACATCGCATCCAAGGTAATTGTTCCGTTAGCCATTTCACGAGTGCTGCAGTATGCAACTCAGCACACTTGAACTCCCTGAGTCATGCTGGTAGAAATCAGTCAGTAAAACAATATCAAAAATGTAAACAGAATGATGTTCATCGTCCGAGATAAAGCACCAATAGCCTCTCTTAGTGAGTATTGTAAATCACGCATGATATTCACGCGGGAAATCTCTGCAACGAGCATCGCGTTTTGTACCATGGATTCTCCAACATTAAGGATATCTGGTTCTAAGTGTGCGCAAAGGGTCTGCAAGGAAGTGTCAGATGAGCTTTCAGCTCATTGAGAAAGGGTATAATTAAACGCGCCTAATACCCTGAAGCAAGTCAAACTGCCTTCTAATGATGTGCTTCCTTTGCAATCTGAGCACCGTACGGGTTTTTAGGATCCTTGGCGTACGTCTCCGCTGTAACACCCATTCATGCGAGGTCAAAATGAAAAAAAAAGCATATAACGTACAACGAACACCCATCTCCTGCATCTTTGAGACAAGGTAAAAGGTGACTGCGCTTGCTGCTAGGAAGGGCGCCATGGGCCTCAATACCTGTTAACACAACTGGTCAGCCGAAGATCACTTGTAGCACGAGAAATGAAACATGCAGGAGTGGACCACTTGCGAAGACCGAGAAATGCCATGATGATCTAGCACAGGGTCAATTGAAGTAGGACGCAAATTAGTCGAAACTCACTGGTTATAAGGCTGGAGTGAACTGGAAGAACAGGAGCGAACGACCTGCTGAACAGGACGAAACCGGGAACAGACATATAACGTGCATTCGGAAGGTGCTTCTCACGCCTTTATACAGCCCCCACCAAATATTACACTATCAATACAAGTGGATACGTCCAAAGTAACGCTCGAGCCCACTGTCAGTCGCGTCGTTTAGGTCATCATGGCAGCAGAGGCGCCATGCTACACAGTTGTATTTGAAGATACTACAGAGAGCCCATCCACACAGGAGCTTAGGGCGTCTCTTGAGAAAGGAACTGATGAAGACAGACTGGACACGTTACGCAGGATTATTGTGTCGACGATTAATGGGAACCCTCAGGTATGCTCCTTGGTCTTTCCTATAGACCGCATGATGCTGATGCAACGATGATGGCCTAGCCCACGCTCTTGATGCCAATCATACAATATATTATGCCCTCCAGAAATAAGCAACTCAAAAAGCTGCTTCACTTCTACTGGGAGGTGTGTCCCAAGTATGACGAGAACGGGAAGCTTAAGCAGGAGATGATTCTCGTTGTGTACGTGTATCTATCATCCTCCTATCGCACATACGCTCACCCAACCTAGCAATGCCATCCGAAACGACTTGGTAAGACTAATTCCCGCACTCTTGACGTTCTGTTCTTCACGTCCCTACAGCAACACCCTAACGAATATATCCGTGGCGCTACCCTACGTTTCCTTCAAAAGATATCCAAAGATGCTGAACTCCTTGAACCCCTCATCCCCATCTGCCGCAGCTGTCTCGAGCACCGTCATTCCTACGTCCGCAAGAACGCCGTATTTGCCGTGTACACTATCTACCGCGAATACGAACACCTCATCCCAGATGCGCCCGAGCTCATGCAGACTTTCATCGCCGCGGAGTCTGACGCGACGTGCAAGCGCAACGCATTCGTGTTCCTTGCGCATTGCGCGATGCCTAAAGCTGTGGAGTGGTTGATTAGCGTGTATGATCAGCTGACGAGTCTGGACGAGCTCTTGCAAATGAGCATCATAGAAGTCATCAGGTTGGATTGTAAGAACGACACAACGCATCGAGTAAGTTCTCTTCACTCGGACTATCTTGTTTATCCTCACATTTGTCGCCTTGCAGCCGCGATATATCAGATGCATGTTTGAATTGTTGAATTCATCATCACATGCAGTAAAGTATGAAGCTGCTACAACGCTCACCACACTCACGCAGAATCCTGCTGCTGTGAAAGGTATGTTTACGATCAGATTCTTTGCGCTTGTCTGCTCACTTTTATGATTAGCGGCTGCCTCATGCTTTGTTAATCTGGTCATTAAAGAATCCGACAACAACGTTAAGCTGATCGTCCTGGATCGCCTGGATACCCTACGCTCCAAGCATGGTCACATTCTGGATGGACTGACAATGGACATCTTGCAGGTCTTGTCGAGGTACGAACAGTGACCGATCAATATATAAAAATTGCTGCTGAATCCTATCATATCAGCGCCGATATGGAGGTCCGAAGGAAAGCTATGAGTATCGTACTCAGCATGACCTCGAATCGGAACGTCGAGGAAGTTGTTCTCTTCCTCAAGAAGCAGCTACAGCAGACACAGGAGCGCGAGTTCGAGAAGGTGAGTCTCGCAGTCCTGCACTCTATCGTGGACTAATCTTGGGATAGGCCCCGGAGTACAGACAACTTCTAATCCAATCGATCCACGTGTTAGCAGTCAAGTTTTCTGAGGTGGCTGCAAGTGTCGTTCATGCACTCATGGAATTCCTTGGGGATTCGAATAACCCTTCTGCGCTGGACGTCGTGGCCTTCGTTCGGTTTGTTCTCACCTCCTAGTCCACTGCACCTTATTTCATTAACGCACCCACAGCGAAGTAGTGGAGAAGTTCCCGCACCTCCGGCAGTCTATATGTGAGAAGCTCACTCAAACTCTGACAGAGATAAAATCCGGTAAAGCCTTCCGCGGCGTCCTCTGGATCCTGGGAGAGTACGTCGAAGGTTTGTCAGACATCCAGGCCACATTCCAGGACATCCGCAAAGTGCTTGGCGAGATCCCTATTCTTGCGAGCGAGCAGCGGTTACTGGACGAGGCTGGCGGAGAGGAGGACAGGAAGGAGGATAAGAAGGTCGAGGGAAGCGGGCGGCCAAAGGTGCTTGCTGATGGGACATATGCGACGGAGACGGCGTACACCAGCACTACCTCAGCGAGATTAGAGGCTGTTAAGACTGCGTCCAAGCCGCCATTGAGAGGTGAGTGGCGTGCTCGTTCATTTCGTTCGGAACTCCTAAGGACGTGATGTTAGCCCTCATATTGGGAGGCGACTTTTTCACGGGTTCGGTACTCGCCTCGGCGTTGACGAAGCTCGTGTTGCGGTTCGATGACCTTACAAACTGATCGGCCAAAGGCCAATGCTCTTCGTGCCGAGGTACGTACTACAGTTAATGTTTCTGTAGCATTCACTGACGCCCACCCAGTCCATGTTGATCATGACGTCTATTATCCGCGTCGGCCAGTCGAAGTTTGTCACAGTACCGATCGACGAGGATTCCAACGAGCGCATTCTTAATTGCATACAAACCCTAAGCGAGCTTCAGGAAAAGTCCATTGTCCACGATATCTTCTTGAAGGACACGAAAGCGGCATACTCCAAGATGCTCGTCGCTCAAGAAGTGCGTGCCTAGTCTACTTCAAGCTGTGATGTTACTGATGATCGGACAGAAAAAGGCAGCGGAAAAGAAAGAGTCAGAAGGCACGAAGGAACATGTCGTGCAAGTCGATGACTTGCTTACTTTCAGGCAGTTCTCGAAAAAATCGGCGGATGATCCAATCGATGTAGGCTTTTGTCAACGGTTGATTATACGCCACTCATTTTTATCAGTACGTGGAGGACTTAGGCAAGGCAACAGGGACTGCTGAAGTCCGGGAAGACTTCATATCCAACCTCAGTCGCATATCCCAGCTTACAGGTATGTCTTGTAGTGCCGCCGTTATTTCGAATTTCAGTGCTCATCATTTCTAGGGTTTTCGGATCCTATATATGCGGAAGCATACGTCAAGATGCATGGATTCGATATCATGCTTGGTGTGTATACTTTTCTTGATGGGTTATCTTATTGGCGAAACTCATTAACGGTACTCAGATGTGCTCCTGGTCAACCAGACGTCTAATACACTGCAGAATCTTTGTCTTGACTTTGCAACGCTTGGTGACCTCAAACTGGTCGAACGACCTGCTGTATATACCATAGCGCCACACGGTTTCCAGAGTATCAAGGCTACAATCAAGGTAACGATCAAAGACACTCCGCCGCTCATGTATGTTAACTGTAGACCGTAGGTTTCGTCAACAGAGACTGGCGTCATATTTGGCAGCATCCTATGGGACGGTCCTGCCCTCGCTGAATGCTGTGTTATCTTGAACGACATTCACATCGACATCATGGACTACATTAAACCTGCGTACTGTAGCGAGACACAGGTACGTCTTTAATGCCTGTTGTGGCTGGCCAAATACTCACTCAATACCCTCAAGTTCCGAAGTATGTGGACAGAGTTTGAGTGGGAGAACAGGGTTAACGTGTCGACGAACATGACGTATGTCTCCCAGGGTTCTCTTGTCCAGTCCCTAACTAACGTACTCGCGTAGCGACCCTCGCGACTACCTGAAGCACGTCATGAAGTCTACGAACATGTCTTGTCTCACGCCAGAAGGAGCCATGTCGGGCGATTGTGATTTCCTATCTGCCAACATGTATGCTCGAAGTTTGTTCGGTGCGGTTCTTTCTATAAGTTGTGTCAGCACCGGTCTTATTTTGTGATGACACAGGCGAGGATGCTTTAGCCAATCTTAGCATCGAGAAGACGGAGGCTGGGATTGTAGGCCACGTTCGTATTCGGAGCAAAACGCAGGGCATTGCTTTATCGCTGGGTGATCGTATCACAATGTGTGAGTTTATAATGTGTTTGAAGGAAGCGTCATGATGATTGATGGTTGTGTATGTATAGCTCAAAAGGATAGCAAGCCATTGATATAGAACGCATAGACATCGATCGGGTTGCTGAACTGTACACATAGTCTTCGTGCATCATGTTGTACTTGGGGAGGAGACACGTGAATGTTTGATGCAACGCTAATACGCAGTGATCGATCTTTACATCAATGGGTACTCAAGCCTGCAAGTACGGTTCCCTACATCGCCAAACCCCTCAGTAACCTCGACAGCGTGAAATCATTCGAAGCGTTTATAGATACCCTTCTTTACCTTCATCTCCATTCACCTGTACCTTGGCATCTATCTTGAAAGTCCTGGTCTCCGCTCGCTGAAAGAGTGCGAACGGGATTGGAATCCAGAAGCGCATGCACCACCCGACATTACCATCCCCGTCCTTGGTAGAACACCATAGGACCTCTCCGAGTCAATATGAATTCCTCGGGACAAATCGGGTGTAGGTGTATCATTTACTGTAGCGTATCGTAGCGCCATCATAAAACGTCCTGAACGAGATTTGGCTCTGAGACTTGTAGGGACCATTTATTGCCACTGTACTGCACACGAGATGAATGAGAGTGACGGCCGGAACAAGCAAGGGGTCGAAATCATGTGTGGAGGTACATGCAATCAAGAGTTGAGCTGGGAAGAGGTAGAACGCGCTACACATTTGGAAAGCACTGAGCACGGGTACAACTAGTATCTGAGTTGACTCACTGGTCGGGCTCATCCCATGTCGTGACATGGCGCTCGTTGCAGCCGACTTTCATGGAAAGATTTTCCAATGGTAAGGGATACTTTTTAGGTGCATTCTTGACCGTAGTCTGTAAGCCAGGCTCTAGGTTTCCAAGGTTGTCGGAATCGCGAATGGATAATGCGAAAAGTAATGTTTGAACTATGGCTGTTTCCGCAGCGTCCTCCTCCATTTTGGAAGACACTAAACGTTGCAGTTTACGAACGGATGATTTCCTTGAAGGTGTCTTGGTTGAAGATGCTATGGGGTTGTCGTCTGCATGCTGAGAAGGGACGGTTTTGCGAGGAACAGGACACTCGGGCGTGTCTAAAAGTCGACGAACAGATCGGAGAGCATAGAGTGTATCATCAATCGACGAGGATGACGATTTCCTATTGCGAGTAGGCGGGCCCTCCAAGTTGTCGCCTAATGCAAAAAGGCTTACTAGATCTGAACTTGTTGGAATGCTCGCAAAATCTTCCTTCCCTGACCGTCTGAGGGCGCGCTTCATGCACTGGCACGGACCACCACCAGTCACTGTGAAGTAATTAGCAGCTGTGTCAACGGAGTTGGTTGAAGCTGACACCTCCAGCGCAAGATCTGAATCGAGGATCAGTAGCAGGGGACATTCAGCGCACCAAAGTCGCAAGTCGGGGTGGGATAACCCACAAGAACACGTATTGAGCCCATGCTTATATGAGGATTTTCGTTGTGTAAAATCGCTTGGACTTGACTAGTAGTAACATGAGGCCAACACGTGAAGTTGCATGCTGTGGGGCCTAAAGCCTAGGCAAGCCGCGATGCCAGTGGACGTAATTCACCTCATATATTCTACCATACTGTCATTCTTCACCAAGCACGTTCGCATGATACGGTGGGACCACCCGGAGGGGCTGTGATGACGGAGAGGTTTGACTATACAGAACAACCTAGGCCGCCTGCCGACTTTTTTGGCGGTTCAGCCTGGGTAGTCCTGTAGAGGAGAGGGGGTTGGATATGTCAGTTCGATGGCAAAGAAATTTGTGTCAAGTTCAAACTTCCTGTTTTACTGAGGTGCAGGATGACGTTAGCGCGACACATGTGGACGCGTCACCTCAGGTAGCACTTCCTGATGAACAATTGCCTATTCTAAGGGCACATTTGTAACCTGGTATTGGTTACACCCAGGTTATGGCTAGCCAAAAGAGCACAATCTGGGCATTTCTGAACATGTCAAAAATGCGCAGAACAGGGGGGGTCCAATTTGGGCATTTCTGAACATGTCAAAAATGCGCAGAACAGGGGAGGTCGGATCTGGGCATTTCTCAACATGTCAAAAATGCGCAGAACAGGAGAGGTCCCAACTAGGCATTTCTCATTTTGACATGTTCAGAACTGCCCAGATTGGACCCCCCCTGTTCTGCGCATTTTTGACATGTTGAGAAATGCCCAGATCCGACCTCCCCTGTTCTGCGCATTTTTGACATGTTCAGAAATGCCCAAATTGGACCCCCCCTGTTCTGCGCATTTTTGACATGTTCAGAAATGCCCAGATTGGACCCTATCAGCAGGACTATTCTCCGGATCCTGCATTTGTATGTTCTAACTTTGGTTATGGGCGTTTCACGATGTTCCGAGGGTCGGCATAGGGTCGAACTTTTCGCCTGTTTCGGTCACCGAACAGATCTTTTCTGTCGATGTGGGCGTCTGGGACTCCCGCTGTGTATGGACACAATGCATACGTGTATGCATGCGTCGATGTGGGCGTCTAGGACTCCCGCTGTGTATGGACACAATACATACGTGTATGCATGTGCCGATGTGGGCGTCTAGGACTCCCACGATGCACAGGCGCATCCCACCTTACACTTCCGTAACACTTCACATATCACCCATACACACCCCTCCCATGACGTTGGCCTTCCAGGACTCCCACTGTGCGAGGGCTCGAAAATATCGGACCTCATCTACATGCGCACACAGTGAGTGGGCGTCCAAGACTCCCACTGTGTTGGGGGATTGAAACATTTACAGCCTATCGTGATGGTGGCCTTCCAAGACTCCCGCTGTGTTGGGGGATTGAAATACATCATACAGCCTATCACTGCAGTGGCCTTCCAGGACTCTCACCATGTGAGGGCTTGCAAACATCGGACCTCATCTGCATGCCCATACAGTGAGTGGGCTTCCAAGACTCCCACTGTGTTGGAGGATTGAAATATATCATACAGCCTATCATTAACAGTGGCCTTCCAGGACTCCCACCGCGTGGGGGCTCAACAATGTCAGACCTCATCTGCATGCACATACAGTGAGCGGGCTTCCAAGACTCCCACTGTGTTGGGGGATTGCAACACGTCGTACAGCCTATCATTATAGTGCCCTTCTAGGACTTATCATACCCAGCGGGTGTCCATGACTCCCACTGTGTGAGGGAATTACTCAAGTGATAGTAGCCATTCAATGTGCGCAGATTTGACACATGAGCAACACTGTCATAACACTGGCCTTCCAAGACTCCCGCTACGTTGGGAGTATTACACAAATCACACTGCCTTGCATCATTCACAGTGAGTGGGCTTCCAGGACTCCCACTGTGTTGGCTCATGAATCGTATCCAACCACCTGTCATCACAGTGGCCTTCCTGGACTCCCATTGTGCATACGATTATCCACCAGCCACCGGTGCATTAATATTGAAAGTGGCAGCTTGCTTCACACTTGCACCATAATAATAATGTACAATTGTGATGGATCCACTATCACTTAACTTACAGCTGATTCCGAAACCATGCGGAATCGCAAAATCAAAACTTGTGCGTCGCATGCAATGACTAGTCTACATCAGATGCATCCAAGGGAAGTGTTTCATGCGAGGCTACCGCTACTCAATCTTACCAATACTGACTCTCGATGGAATCATTGCTTATGATATCATTGAGGGACCAGCATCAGTGAATTGATGAGTCCGTGATATGGTAGCCATGAGAAATATAGGATGATATAATTCTGCTCCTGCTGAATATACCTATATATGGCAAAAAATATGAGTGATCGGTACATAGCCATGGATGTTTGAAAATCCATTTTACCATGAGGAGTTTGTGACAAGATCATGATGTTGTACCGCTGCAGCGATCAATGTGCAGTAGCATCATTTAGTCACACTTGTTGACTCGTACCATATTCCTTCATTTATGTTTTGAACTACCAAGTGATATAAGACTTTATCATGGAAAACACCATTAGCACTTGTAACCTAATGTAGATTCCTATGAGAGTTTCTGACAAGGCCATGTTACAGTGCCCCACTCTTTTTCTCATCATCACTGCGGACTCCTATATGGCTGTACTTCTAACGCTTCCTTTTCACTGTGCTGTTTCCTCATGGTCTCCCTTATCTTTGACTCATACCTTGTTTTCCCATGAACCTTCCTTTCTCAGTAGTCGTTACCCTTTGCCCAGCCTGGTCTGTGCACGATTTCCTTACGTATATAAACCCTAGCTACCACTTGTATTTTCTCTAACTTGAATCTACTCAGTTCTCTTTGATACTCGAACTCTAGCTCCTTGGGAAGGAGGCTAGCCATTGTCCCATTTGAACCTTAGATCCTGCGGGAGTCTAAGTGATCGCTCCTGAGGGAAGCGTTGATTCGATAAGGCTCAGTCCTTGATCGACCCTGACCTTGATTCCTTTATTGGAACGACGCTCTATCCGAGTTCGTAACAGGCCATGACTTTGTGCCATCATGGCCAGCGAGGTATGATAGTGTAATTAGGTACCATTCATTGAGCCATATAATATTCCCTCATTTATATTTGATTTACAAAACTATATAAGTGGGTTCAAATATTGTGTAAATTACAATGTCATCCAAGGTCATGCACATGACCATCACCCTGCTCCACAAGGCCAGAAAATCAGGACCCAAACACTCATTCACAAATGGTGATTTATTTGTATATATATGTGTCCCGTTTCTTTCACAGTAAATGACCAGTTCTTTGGCGCTACTGTGGTGTTCTCAATCAAATTTTTTTGACCATTGTATCAGCCTCTAGGGTTCAAACATTTACAGGTATAGCTAAATTCATTGTCAATGACTGTTTACATCAACAGCCTCAGATTTTACTAATGAATTATTGTGGGTAACCCCAAATCACATGACCAGTACAAGTGGCTGAAATTGATTTGTCATTGTTTGTGCAGGACAGAGCAAGGTGAAAGTCAGCAATGCTAGAGTGCTTGAGCTTACAGGATGCTTAGGTAAGCCATTTGAAAAATTTCATGCAAGTTCCTTTCAATTTTGTTTCACTACTACTACCACCCTCTCGAGCTCAGTGTTTCCTTGTTAAGGTCGTACTCAAAGGATAACTGGATCCAAAGGGCTTTGGCCTCAGCTCATGCGCTGTGCCCCTTACCCGAGTATTGCCCCTTATTTCAGGAAGGCAAGACTAACATGTCCAGAAGGTTGGACAAGTAGCGTAACGGATCCAGATGACTTCCGGATGAGGGATAAGTATTGTAGGGCTAACCTGGATGAGTCCAGGCTAGAAACTAACAGTAATGGACTGTCAGAGACAGAGGCGGATATGGATAGACTATAGGAATCAATCCTAAGTCTCAGAGGGTGACGAGAGTAGAGATACTCAAGTCTGGAGGACAGGAATGAGTAGAACTAAGATGATATTCAAACTGAGGTACTACAGAAAGTTACAGGAGGTTATATACTATAGGTATCTAATGGAATGATCAATCAGCAGAGTCCGAGGCTATGTACAAACCATGTGGATAGTCTATTGGTAAGTAGAACGGATCACAAATCATGAAATGGAAATGAAACATAGGTAGTGGATCAGGGAGCAGGATGGATATACAGATAACCAAAATACCGGAGTTAGGGGGTTACTGAAAGTAGACGAACACTGGTTGTGGATTCAGATGAGTTGTGGACCAGACTGGACAAGTGGACAGATTGAATGACAAGATGTTGGAGGGGGATAAGATGTGGATAGGATCGGAGATAAGATGTGGATATGACATTCCTGGCCTCCCTGGCCTTTCCTTGTGTTCCCTCCCCAGCCTTTCATGGTGCTCCCTCCTTGGCCTTTCCTTGTGGTTCCTCCCTGGCCCTTCCTCATGGTCCCATCCTGGCTGTTCTTTGTGGCCGCTCTGTCATCCATCTTGTGCTATTCCCTCTCCACTATCTTTCCCTGTTTCTTTTTTGTCCTGTAACTACATATGTATTCTAATATATATAAAATTGATTTTCTTCATAAAATGAGTGTTAAGGTTGAGAATTATTTGGTGCTGGTGATAAGATGGCAGGTGGTTGCAGGCAATTTGTCATGTTTGCATTTTTGGTAGTTCTGTGCAACTTACTCCAGATAGTATCATTTTGATAGATATTATATAAATTTTAGGGGTAGACAAAGCTTTGTAAACCTTTATATTTTCGAGTCAATTACCTGATGCTTCGTAGTTGTGAACCTTCCTTCCGTTATGGCATTATTGATTAATCTAGCTCAACTGTCGACTTCTGCCGCACCTTCACTTCAACTGTGAGTTTGAGTGAAATCAGGACCTTTTCTCAATCATAAAATTTTGTAAGAAAATCAGGGAAGCTTCTTTCCTCAATAAGGCCAAACATAACAATGTGATTGTCAATAGCAGAATTATGCTGGTTCTTGTGATTATGTACTATATATCATGATATATGGCCTTGTACTTTCTTCATGAGTTCACTGATGAGTGATGAGCAAGTGATTTACACAATTCTTGTGCAAGCATGTGGCAAGGTTTCATTCATATGACTTGGATCAGAAGTTGACTCATTGTTTGCAGCTGCCTTTAACCAGCCCATATCCAGGGCCATGTAGTGTCTTGGTTTTTGACAATTGCCACATTCACCATAGCAACAAGGTCTATTGTCTCATCGAGGAAGAAGCTCTATGCAGGCTTGTATTTCTGCCTCCATATTCACCTGACTACAATCCTATTGAGCAAGCCTTTCTACTATCAAAGCATATTTATGACAACATTTTGATGACGAGGCTTTAATGAGTATGGTATGAGCACATCAAGCCATCACACCTGATAAGGCAGAAGGTTATTTTCGAGCTTCTGGGTATATTGCCCAGCTATTCTACTGATTCATAGTGCTAGTTCTAAATAAAAGGATCTTCTGCATCTGCATGATTACCCTCTGACTTGAAGGTGAACCCAGGAGGAAAGATAACCCAACTCTTCCTGTTTTTGCAGAAGTAGTAAAGGTTGTAGTGCAGAATTTTGTGCTCTGCTAATGACTTGTCAGCATACACAATGAATTGGGATATAGCTATGCACCTGGCCATGTGACACTGCCTTTCTTCAGCCAAATAATGTCACCTGCACTAAGACCAACTCGAGCAAGATCTTGGTCAGCCATGTCCACAAGTATATCTGGACCTATACCAATGTCACACAGATGTTGCAGCAGGAGCAGTTGCAAAATGACACATTGTATGCAAAGCAGGGTCACGCTTCATGAGATCAAAGGATGGGATATTGGGTGGTACTGTGGTGGTAGCCTCTCCATTGTACTTGATTTTCATACTAAGTATTAATCATTATAATTTGATGTCAATCAGAAACATACCATTGCACAAGCCCAGTCCTTGATCATTGTGCATTGCCCCTTTTAAGAAGCCTCATGATGGGGAGTTGACAAAGAACCAGAAGTCATTTAATTATCACCTCTCTAAGATATTTTTTTTTGAAGGGCCATATTTTAATAAATTGATTTTATTTATTTAGATCCATGGTCATGTTGAACACATGTTTGCTGTTCTAAAGGGATGATTCCAGTCCCTTTGAGAGCTCCAGTTCAGGATTGTAAGGATCCATGATCCTTTACACACAGACCTTATCTTTACATCAAAATGGCAACACCCATCCACATGACTCATTGATATGAATAGGCTCAAACACTTCATATCCAACTTACATGGATACATTCCTTCATCTCCCTTTTTCCATTTTCTTTCATTACTTTACCTTGTGCTTAGACCTAACCATCTCCTTGTTTCACCAAAGTATTTTCACCTCGCCATATGCTTCATGTTCTCATTCCAGCCTAGTCAAGTATTTGAAAACGTATATATACTGCTCATGTACTCTCCTACCTACAGTGAATCTTAGAGTCAGATCCCTGCTCCAAGTATGACCAAAAAGTCCCTCAGAAAGTCTCTATCACGGCTGTTTCCCAACTTGTCTTGCTTCAGAATCATTTTTGCTCGCAATTCCCTACTAAACTCACACTGAGCCTTACAGGATCCAGGCTAAGAAAGACATTGATTTTGCTGTACAGTGGATTAAGTATTGTATCATGCTGCACAACATGATCATTTGCTTTGAAATTGAGCATCACAAGAAGGATGGAACATACAAGAGTTCTCTAAAGTGGGCTTATGGAGAGGGGGAAGATTTTATTGATCAAGAGATTGAGAGTCCAGATGGTGATGAAGTAGTTGGTGACAGGTCATATGAAGGTACTCCAGGTCAAGCTGCTCATACAAGGCCGATGTATCCATTCTTTGACAGTCCTCACTTAGGTGCACAACACAGGGAAGGATGATAACCAACAACAATGCTTATTTGAACATGTACTACTACCAATACACCTGTACAACAAATGTATATACCTATGTAATATGAATGAAAGTACCACAAGACATAGAACATGCACATATTCAATGGAAAAAATGAGTAACAACAAATGATGACAACAACACAACCCCTGACAATGATGATGATAAGATAACAATGTGGACAGGACAAGGGGATGGACAACGATAGATGCAGATAATGACAGATGCAGACAGCAACGGTGACAACACAACAGAACAACTCATCCAGTTTTTCCATCTGATGTGGCCTTGGAGGCCTGCATCATTTGGTGGAACTGGATCTTGAGGCAGAGGATTTCTGCTTCCTTGTCAAGCACCAAGGAATGTGCTTGGTGGACCTGAATATCTGTCTCATGAAGCCAAATCTGGGTATCTTTGGCCTCTTGCAGGTGCTGATAGCTGACCATGGCTTGGGAGACTTTATGCTCCTGGGTAGTGCGAAGCCAGTCATATTTCTTTATGTCACAATTGTGCTCACTTTTGGCTTTGAGCTTGATGATGTAGGGTTGATGTCTGTCCTTGTGGCATGATATCATGCTAGAGTACAAGCTCTTGATTTTGTCCCTCACCTGCTCCACCTGCTGCAACACATTCAACTTGGCCTTTTTCTTCTTCAAGCCACTGGCACTATGTGGAAGTGATGTCTAAGGCATCAGGGACATATGATACTTTGATGATGATGTGGTGTTGCATGTCATTGATGAGGGTGTCAATGTGCTGCATAATATCACTGACAGCACTTTGTGTCACCCCCCATAGCTTGATGGCATTTGGACACCAAACACTGAGTGGTTGTTGTATGTGGATGCCAGAGTTCTTAATGGCATGATGAACAGTTTTGGAGGGGAGGGAGGAGGAGAGGGTGATGAATGAAGTTGACACTTCTTCCCCACAACTGGGGAAGGGCTACCAAGCATCATGTTGTCATCATTGTTGCCCTCAATGTGGTCCAATGCATCCCCCAAGGGGGAATGCAATGGACCATAGGGCAGGTACATACCACCAGCAAACAAATTTCATTAGGAGGCTGGCAGGGCCCAGGTTGGTAGGCAGATGGAGGGTTTGAGACATTGGGAGTGTGTGATGAGTGCTGACTGGGGCCATAGTACATTGAAGGACCAGCCCCACCATGTGGTCGAATGAGAGAGTAGAAGGCACCTGTGTGGTCAATACCAGGTCTTGATGAGTGCACCTTTGCAGCCATGGACAGATTAGAGTGCCAAGTTCTGTGTACTATGGCAGCTCTAGGAGCCTGGCATCTACAACAATCAATTAGCAAAGAACAAGAGAAAACAGGTCAAAAGCTCACCTAGCAGATTTTTTGCTGGAGTCCCCTCAGCTGGATTTTTTTTGTATTTACCCCTAAGACTGCATGAATTTTAGAATATTTATTAATGAAATAAAAAATGACTAGACTTACATCCTGATATGATTGCACACTGCATTGCGGAATTTTTTTGGATTGACTGAGTATGCAGGACCATACTTGATGTGGTCCATGAAGACAAGCTTAGCGATGACACTATAGATCTGCCCCTTACCTGAGCCTGAGGAACTGCCATCTGCAGCAACCATGGCTTTCTTGCTATCAGAATAGAATAAAATCCTACAATTGGCAGGGTGAGTGTATGTTAATCCCAGGCTAAGGACATGTGGGGCAAAACAATGTGAGATCTCCTGCATTCAGGTTGTCAGAATGATGGCCAAATCCATGCCATTTCATGGCCTTCAACTGCCTCCACTGTCAAGTGACTCTTATGAGCTCTCTGTATTGGTCCTTGCCACATGCTTTGTCAATATAATATCCTTGAAATGATGGAGATATAGCATTACTGGACCAAGGTGTGGAAACATGCTCAAGGTCATTTGCTGAAGCTTGCTATAATAGTTCATCACTAAGGTGCTGCATTCAAGGTTGTCCAATAGAAAATCATCAAGCACCCTGAAGGTGAACAAAGTCTTGGGCTTGTTAAATGATGTAGGGAACAATCCATGTCGAAACATTTGAATGTCTGGACTCATGGCATTTGGACAATCACAACATTGAACCTTGAGGCGATGAACTCCTGACTTGTCAATGATGACTATTGTGTTTTCCTTTGGCTGGAACTCAGGTCCTGACACAGATGGTAAATCTTCAGGCTCAAGCTGGTCTTCAGGTTCATCTTCTTTGAACAAATCCCACCTATCTGTGAGGACCAGACATTGTTTGTCATCATGACCAAGGTGTGCGATGAGTCCAAAATGAGTGAGACAACTGTGCTCAAAAAATTGACCATTCCATTGACTGATCCAGTGGAAAGGATTGCAACAATGTTGACTTTTGCAACAGCCAGTGCAATAGAGTGGCTCCCCAAGACAATCTTGACATTTGCAGACTTCATCCTGGTCACAGACAATGCATCTCCTATCTTCTGGTGGAGCTTCTTGATCCAGGAGGTGATGTAGATATGATTCCTGCCTTGGCAGCCATTACTTGAAGTAGTCATTCTGACTCTGCATTTTTTATACTTAGCTATTGTTTGAATGACAATCCAACATTTTACATGAACTTGCCATGGTTTTTGGGAGTTGCAAAGGCTCAAATGAGCCTTGGTCATGCTTGTAAGTATTGTCAGGAAAGTCTTCCCAAGGAGGTGGTGCCTCAACAGGCTAAAGTGTTGGTGATTCTGGGGGAGAGTTAGGCATGGACCTGTAGGCATGTCTTTTGTGCTTACAAGTGGGACCTTGACCCATGTCTTCCTACCTTTGCTGCCCCTTGCTTCTACCCTGTGGGATTTTTGCAGTGGGGTGCATCTACCTATCTTCATCTTATTTTCTAATGTTGCAAGCAAAGCATTAGCTCAGGAAGGTTGAATGAATTGCTGTTCCAATATGATGTTATGCAGTCTTGATGCATCATTACAAATTCATTTCCATTAATGGTATTGCAGCCAATGTGGGTTGATTAACCTACTGATAGGCTTTGCTCAAAGTTCAATTTGTCACCATTATTACTTCCACCTTGCTTATCCAGGCCATTCTGCAATCTCATTCACCATGGCAAGATCAGGTCATTCCACTCAGTTGACTTCTGGGAGACATAGGGCATGTCAACCACAGACACAGAAGCTCACAGAAAATGAAATTTTGGAGTTGAAGAACTACCTCCCTGAGTGGACTTTGGCAAAAAGGAAAGAGAAGTGGGCAGTTTTCACTGCCATAGCTAGGGCTGCCAGGTTATTTGCTCCTGAGGTCGACCAAGCATAATGGAAGAAGAGGAAGCAGGTGATTCATCCTTGCTGTGTTGAAAAACTAAAATTGTAATATCTTATTCTTCCATCAATACTCAAATGTACAAGACTTGGTTGTTCAATAATGGGAAAAAGAAGGAAAGAAAGGACATGATAAATTATGGATGCCTAGGATGGTGATCTACCAGTGGAACTGGGAAGAGGTGCTAAAGAGGATCAAGGACAAGTCTGGGGCAAAGCCAGGAGGTCCCGGTATGTTCAAGCATTATCAGGCAGCTGTAAAGATAGTGATGGCTGAATTGTCCAATAACAAGTTGGAGAAGGTAAAGGAAACAGCCAAAGAATAGTCCAATAACTTTCCTCCTCCCAAGATACAAGCACAAGTCACTCATAAGAAGGGACCTGTGTATATGGAGTACTTTTTGAAGAAGATGTGGAGGCAGTGCAGGATGAGAGTGTTTGTGATGTCAGCTTGGAAGAATGAACAGGGAGAGGTGCTGTTTGGGATGTAAGTGAATTTTGCTGGTCATCGCAGATCTTCCATCTCAATACATTTCATGCAGACATGATGATAATGAGGTATTAGGAGATGGGGACAGCTTCATGAAGATGAAGGACTAGGAGGACATTGAGCTAGTTTGGCAGGAGTATGTGCAGGAACAGTTTGGTAAGTGTTTGAACTCTGGCTACTAGAAGGAATTTGTTGATCATCTTGATGATAGGTGCCAGGGCATGGGATGGATGACAACAGATGGAGGGAGGTCAAAAAAAGAATCAGAAAGCCTGCTTTTAAACTCAAAACTGACAGGGATGGGATGCCATTGCTTCCAGACATCACCAAAACAAAACTTGAGGAGAAGAAGGCAATAGCAAGGGCATTTCTTACATTGCACTATTGTGAGTCTATCGCCACAACACCCAAGAATTTGTTGAATGCATGGACACAGGGATCTGTTCTGGGATTGACAAGGCAGCTGTGCCATGGAGTGCCATCATACAAAGTCAGGATGACTTTGTGGCAAGAAAGTATGTTCCAGCAGATGTGGACTTGAAGGAGCCTTCAAAGTTGCAAAATTGGGACACTACAACCTTACTCAATTTCTGGCATGCTCAGCAGGAGAAAGGTGATGGTCCAACATTCCTGTTCAAAGCATGGAAGAACAAAGATGGAGACATGGTAGCATCAGTTGTATCTGGGAATTCACCTTCTCATCAGACTTGTAAAGTAAGGAAGCAGATGATCCAAAGGCCTCAGAATTCATCAACCAACACCAAGAGTGACTCTCATCACATGGAGGATGATGCTGATGATGATGTGGCTGATGGTAGATCCCCACAAAAGAGACCCAGAAGAGAGCCAGATCCTTTGACAGCACATGAAGGGACAGTGGTCCTATGTGCAACTCCAAAGCCTTGCCCAGTCAAGCCAGCAAAAACTGGTGCACTGCTGACATCACAAATGGGTGACCTCCTGGCTGGGTTGACTAACAGAGTCACCAGCAATGTTGAGGAGGATGTTGTAATGGAAGGAGGGCACACATCTCCAGTGCTGAAGAACATGTGGGGAAAAAAGTGGTGATTGATCCATTGGCAAGGACAACCCAGAGTAAGTCAATGCAAAGCCATCAGACAGTACCCCTCAAAAGACCATTCAACAATCAATACTTGGGACTTGGTGATGCTCAGTAAAGCAAGAATTGAACTTCCATGTTCAACACTCAGGACTCAGCAAGCCAAAGTGAGAATTAAACTTCTGTGTCTGACACTCAGGAATCCCTGAGCCTTAGGAACTCAATTGGAAATGGAAGAGGAATGCATCACAAATTCAGTTGTTTACATGATGTGGGTATGTTAATGAAAATTTGGAAGTTTACATGTGATTTGACTACTATCAGAAATTCAGTAATTGACATTTGAATTTGATCTTCAAACTGATTGATCAGGGAATCTACTACCTTGAGCATTTTGATGCTCATCTGTTGAACTCTTTGCAACCTCTGGAGGTCTGCATCAGCTCTTCTGAGTTTGTTGGAAGTTTCTGCCCAAGCCATCCAGAAGGGTTGCTCAGCCTTGAGTAGCAGTGGAATGGAAGGATCAGGAAGATCTCCAGTACAGTGTTTGTAATCACTGAGTCAATCTTGAACAGATTGCATTTGTAGAAAAATTAGTGCAAAGATAAATGATCTACTGTGTCAGATACTCACACCCTGTGTGTTCAGCTTGCACCAAGCTAAACTGGCCCTGTGCAACTTGGTTGGACAAGAGGACCAGGAATCTGTGTATGTCATGCATCCACTGCATGACCAAGAAGATCAAGTGCATCTCCATGACTCTGGGTACCCCACTGAAATGTGTTCATGCTTCCTCCACCACCTAGAACACAAGGTCCAGGACACCCTCCAAGGCTCCTTCCAAAGCTCCCCCCACCTCCCAATCCAAGGCCCAAACTTGCAGTCAGTCTTGTGGCAAGTCTGGAACTCCAGGTGTCACTGCTGTGACAATCCCCAAGACCCAGATGTGTGGTCACAGCAAGATCATCACTGCCATCAAGGCACCTGCACCTGCACCTGCACCAGCTCATAAGTCACCCAAATTTTTTTTCATCACTGTCTGACCTTAATTTTCCCTTGTAGCACTTCTGTCCTTGAGTTTGGCAGTCCCTGCTGCAGCACTAGACATGCCCATGCCAGATCTCCATGCCATGGCAATTACAATTCAGGATGGTACAGCTTGAATTGCTATTCTCAAGGCTTGTGTGGCAGAGCAGGATGGTAAGATTGATACCCTGCAATGCCTCCGTGAAGGCCTTAGGCACAAAATTGTTGACCAGTACCCCTCATTCCAAATTCCTGACCCTCCTGCCAATGCACCATCCTTGTTGCTTGATCAATCTGTCCCCGCATCCATGTCACCCCCTGAATCTGCACTCCCTCCTTTTATTGATCTCTTGGTGGCAGGGATGGTGCCCACACCCCCGAAATTTGAGGATGCCTCTGTCTTTGGGTGTCACTACATTGCTTGTTAGTGGGGAAGAGATAGCCAAAGGATTGTCTATTTGAACATGGGTACAATGAATGTATGCTGTGGAGTCTGGGAACTACTAAGAGAATGGGTGAAGGCATGCAGCACTTCTGGCCCCCGATTGGAGATCTGCCAAAGAGAAAAGGTGAGCTGCGAATCCCCGATGGTGTAGGAGTCCTAACGACACAAAGCAGCGAAGCCACAGAAGAACCCAGCAAGGTAGGAGGGAAGGGACTACTCACGAGTGGAATATGTGCGGACTAGCAGGACCTGGGCATTGAGACATGAATGAATTCATCATGGAGGGCAGGGGTGGCTTGCATGAACAGGGACAAAATTTGAGTGTGTTTCCGGAGGTATGACTGGAAAGCGTCGCTGGCCCAGTGGCCTTTGGTCTTGACTACTTTGAATGGGATGTTACAAAGTAGGCATTCAAGGGTTGCTCTGATGCGGATTCCATGACCTTGAAGAGGGTCTAGGCCAGCTGCTCTGGCTGCTAAAACCAAATGGGAAATGAACTTGCTCTTTGTGAGGGGGTGATGACCATTCTTATGACGGTAAGCGAAAAGAGCGGTGCCCTGTGGGGGTTCATTGACTTTGAGACGATGGAGGAAAGCTTTCTCTGGGTTGGTTAGACCATTTTGTTTCATGAATGAAACATCTTCTCCATCTGTTGAAGATGTCTTTGTGTGTGGTAAGTGAAAAACTCGCATCTTAAGATTGTTTTGATCAAGTTCGATATGAATGTCTGAAGGTTTGACATGGAGGTTAGGGTTGAAGGATAGTAGGGTGGGAACAGTGAACTCTCCAACTCTGGCTGCACAATAAAAGGTGGTTGTTAGGCAACTGTAGACTGCTGTGTCAAGGGGAATACTGAGATCAAAATGGGTGTGGAGGGAGCACATGAATTCGATAGTGTAGGGGCGTCTCTTCTTGTGCTTCAATGATGGCAGGGTCATGTTATCAGCTGCTTCAAGTAATGCATCCACCTCTTCATCATTGAGGACCCATTGCAAACCGTGTAAGATGTGCCATGCATGCACTCTGAAAACATAGTTAGCAATTGTTTTCCCAGAGTATGATCCCACTGTGAAGGCTATGAAGGTAGATATTAGGGTGGAATCTGCGGGGGCACGAGCTCATTCAGGAATTCCTCGTGAGTCGCAGAATACATGAAAAACTAGCAATCCTGAACCATACAGTTCTCGGGTACTCTCTGCCCAAGCAAATAACATAATGTCTTGGATCCTGGTCATGTCACTGGACTCGAGGGTGTTTGGGATGGGTCTCGAGGTGAATGGTAGCCAAAAGTGTAGTCAGTCTTTTGCTGCACAATGTGGCCGCAGGGTAGATAGCTTTGGGGTTAAGTCACTTAGATAGGTAAACTTGCATTGTTTTGTACAGTTCTTCCCCTTGTCTCTTGAGCTGGGAGTTTGCAAGAGCGCGCTCTGCATAGACTGGTTGGAGATGGGCTTTGGGAGCTGTGTGAAACGTGATATGGGAGTAGGGGCGGCAGGTTTCATTTGTGTGTAGAGGAGCATCAAAGTCGATGATGAAGTTCTGGAGAGAGGGATGGATAGGAAGGGGGGGCAGAAGTAAGGAGCAAGGAGGGAACTTTCCATGGGATGGATTGTCGGCTGGGTTGAGGGTGCTAGGGACATAGCGAGTGAGGATGGTGCATGCTGCATCTTCTGTGATGCTGTGGATGCGTTTAAAGACATTGTTGGTTGGGTGATTGTGACTTCGGCCTTTCCACCAACCCTCAACAACTCCTCAGTTGTCTCTGTAAACCTTGATGTAAGGTAGTGGTTCGGACTTGGGGGTTTGAGTGATGGTGAGGACGAGGAATTCAAAGCTGATGGCTTCAGCCCATCCAATGTTGCAGCTGTCAGCTTTCCAGCCAGGAATGAGGTACCAGGCTTGCCACCAACCGTTAATCCAAATTGTGATTCCCATGCCTGAGCTAGCATCTGAGAAGGTGTTGGGGTCAAAGACTTCGCATGGGCCTGGGATGAGTCTGCTGACTGAGGGTTGAAGCAGGGTTGCGGACCACCACCTAAGATCCACGGTGCAATTATGGGGTGGGGAATGTGGCACATGAGGTTGGTTATTGAAGATGGAGAGCATGGCTTCCAGCTTGGTGAGATAAGCTCTGCCAGCGGGAACAACTCATGAAGTGTGTAAGAGCTTACCAAAGAGCTTTTGAGTTTTGATGAGGGTGTGACGGGGTTTGGACTCCCAGCTTTTGATTGCTGCCAGGTATTTCTCCTTCTTCCTCGATGTGATCTTGAGGGTGCACGTTTCAAGGTCCCACATGAATCCTGTGAAAGGAGGTGATGGGCTGAATTGGACATCCTTTGAGGGTTCCCAGGGTGTACCCATCTTGTTGGAACAAAGATTGATGTCGTCCATGCAGGATGAAAACTCAGCATCATGGGCAGAACAGGGAGAGCATTTGGAGAAGTCGTGAATGGGGAAGAGGCAGTCTTCATTGAACTCTTTGAATGAGTTGTTGGGGAGGGCGATGCCATGATACCATTTTCTCCCTCTGTCGATTCAAAGGCCCCTGTTGGCCTGAATTCCCCTAGCCCAGGCTGCTCTTTGCTCATTGTACTTTTCCAGGTACTTAAGGAGGATGTGGAAGAAGAGGTGGTCGTCCAGCCATTTCGGGAGTGGACCGATGCCCTCGCTACGAAGTAGGTCTGTGCTGGCATCAGCGAGGCCGCCATACATTCCTGCTGCTGATGAGCATCCGAAACAAAAGCTTGTGTCAATAGCGAACTCATTTTCACCTGTGTGAACCACTGTACCTGGGTATTGGGAAGGGTGTAGTGGGATGGTCCTATAAGCCTCTGCCACATCACGCATGGCACCTTCTGAGCCCGGAGGAAGACACCAGATGAGCAAACAAATTGTTGCAAAGGTGCCATATGTACATGGATAAAGATTAGAGTTGATGCATGAATTAATAGATTGTATCGGTTTTGAGATGGATTTTGAGCTATGTGACAGATTTTGGATGAGGTGAAATTTTCTGGGTCTACCTGGCTTTGGTATAAGTGAGAGAGGAGCAGTTTGGAAGGGGCTGAGAAGGGCTTCCACTTCAGCTGTAGATAGCGGACCAAGATAGCAGCCTGCTTCGAATTCTCGCGAAAGAATGGATGCAAAAGCAGTCAGTGTTCTCAGTGATGGAAGGGTTGTTATGTGGTGTATAAGTATCTGTGATGACAGGAATGCTACCAAGGAAGCCAAATTGTAACAAATGAGGTATGTGTGGGTATCTAAGTATGAGATGGGACTTGGTAAGGGCATGTAGCCAAGCAGCAGGTTTGTAGGGGGTAAGCGCCTCACGTCTCCTGTCCTCAAGGACAGCTTTGAGCACTGTGATCCGAGCTCCTGCACCCTGAACATTGATGGTTGTGGTCCCTGCTGGTGCTTGGGCAACCATTGGGGCATTGCCAGTCATAACACATTTGTAGACCTTGGGCATTGACGAGTTGGCCTTCTGCATTTTGGCAACAGAAGGTGGGTGTTTTGCTGTCCCACAAGAGTTCGCTCTTGCATTTGTGGACATTGTGGGCGAAATGGCTGAGACAGAGAGCACAGGCGAAGAGGCCACTTGGGACTGCGCTGTTCTGAAAAGACTGTTTGTCTTGAGTGGGTCACTTTTGGTCTTGGCAGGGGGTGTTGGGGGTTGGGGGATTTGGGGCAAGGGGGGGGATGACCAGATGGGTTGTGTGCTGGGGAATGGGAGCACGAATGGGTGTGTCAATTTCCACCCTGGTTCTGGTTGTGATAGGATGAGCCCTGGTTGCGAGTTGCCTGGCACTGGGGTTAAGAGGCTTGCTGGAGCTGGATTTTGAGAGGGTAAGCAGAAATGGGCATAATGGATGGAGAGGGAGAGTGGGAGAGGTGGGGTCAGTGTAGGTGGTGATGGTTAGACATAGCAGAAACAGGAGCAGAGGTAGCAGGAGCATGAGCAGAGATAGTGGAAGCAAGAGCATGGGGAGTGGAAGCAGGGTAGTGGAAGCAGATGGAAAGGGGTAGTGGAAGTGGGTAGTGGAAGCAGAGGTAGCGGAAGCATATGAAATGGAAGCAGGGGAAGCATTGATGATGAAAGCATGAGGGGAATGAGGGATATAATTAGTTAAATGGTTCTGATAGAGTGCATGTGGATGAAACTGACCTCAGTGAGAGACTTGAGATGAGCCTTGTTCCATACTTCCTCATTCAAGTTTTTCAGTAGCATGGAGTTGAATACGCTGATGTCAAAAGTGTTGTTGAGAATGAGAGTGTCATGCCAGTTGCAGTGTATGCGGGCAGCATACAAGAGCAAGGCTTGTTCACTGAAAGGTTTGGAACAGCACAGGTACACTACAATGTTCATGAAGAACATGGTGATAGCTCATTGGTGCTTCGTGGGCCAATTAAGCTTGTTGATATAAAGCAGGAAGCTGTTCTTGGCAAGGTCAAACTGGCACCACTCAAGACAATGGTCCTGGATGGCCCTGTGGGAGGCTTTGAAGGATGCAACTGGCTTAAGGGCGACGAAATCATCGACTTTAGTGAAGCCAAAAGCGTTGTCCGCACTGGTTTTGGCCTCATCTGCTGTGGCCTTGCAGCCATCTGGGCTGAAGTACCAGAGCTTGACATATTCAAAGGATTTCAGCTTGTGGATGGCATATTGTGATGGGCGAGGGGTGAGAATGTCGCTGACAGCCGTGCCCACCTGGAAATCATTGATTTTCGGTTTCTTTTTCTCAGCTTCATGAAGTTCATCTTCAGCTTCATGCTCCAGCCAAAGGCATTCTTGGGCTTCTTGTTCTCTATCCACTCTTGCTGCTTCAGCTGCGAGGTGAGCATCTTCCTTGACTTGCCTTGTCCATGCCACAACTCTAAGGTTGCGGTCCTGTTGCCAGGCCACAATTAGGTCTACTACAACTTCATTGTGAGTTGTTTGTGTTCCTCCAATAATCTGGTTCCTGAGTCCTTCGAAGGTGGGTGATGCAAAATCGGGTTGTATGTCAAGCATTGGATCTGAGGCGATGCATGCCATAGTGAAATTATGGGATAATGTGAAATATTGTTCAGTAGGGGTAAAGGAAAGTGTTCTGGTTGGTGTAAAAGCAGGGTATTTTATTGGTAGTGAGAAGATAAAGAAAAACACTCGATGAGACTTAGGTCTTTTGAGCAAAGTGGGGGAGCAGAAAGAAGAGATGCTTACGGCATTTTCTGCTCACCTGAAGACCATACTCTAATCCTACACTCATGCCTCATTTCATAATAGAGTGGCAACCATTGAGGGTCTCCTGTTTGAGTCCAACAAGTTGTTCATCCAGAGGTTCCAGACACATCCAGTGAAATTGTGGACCCTGGTGATCTGAGCAACCTTGTCTCAGAATACGATTCTTCCAATGACATGGATATTGAGGTGGATGTTGAGGTGAAGATTAAAGTGTCTCCTGAGGAGGTTGACATGGCTACATAATTGCATAGTGATAGATGTACAGTGGCTCAAAAAACTGTCCACATGTTTTTGCATTTTTTACTATTTACAATATTGTGTGAGAATACATAAAGACCTCAGTGACATGCTGATACCATATTGTAGTGCTGCTTCAGGGCTTTGGATTGAGCACCACATCATGAGAATCAGAGGAGATATGGTGGAGATACAAGGCTTACAAAATCATGACTCATGCAGACAGTTTTTTGAGCACATATTAAAACTATATAAATCATCATTTATGACACCATAACAATCATGCCACCATTAAATAAATTATAAAGTGGTGTCATTATGTCATTTTAAAACCATATCTAACTATACAAACCAAAAATTTCCATATGTCATGGTTATATTCACCATGAAAGCCACCCCCCCTGCTCAAAGGAATAATATCCTCTCTCTTTCCTATTCTGGCCTCTCTGCTTGTCAAATTTCCTCTAGAACTGGAGTATCCAAGTCCACTATGGCCAAGTTCATCAAAGAAAGTCACACAGACAAGGAAAACTTCTGTGAAGGGCATCCATCCAAGCTCACCTCTACTGATAGGAGGGCTATTATTCAACATATCACTACAGGAAAGGCTGATAATGTTGTCTAGGTCACCTATTACATCAATTCCACCATCACATTCCCTGTCTCTTCACACACTGTGAGAAACATTCTCAAGACAGCTCATCTCAGGTCAGTAACAAGGAAGAAAAGGCTCTCCTCTCTATCACACATATGCAGAGATGACTAACCTTTGCCTTAGCCCATCAGAATTGGATTACATGGACTGGAAGCATGTTATATGATCATATAAGACCACAATAAATAGGATTGGGTCAGATGGCAAGGTATATATGTGAAAAAAGAAGGGTGCTAGTCCTCTCTGCATATGTGTGATAGAGAGGAGAGCCTTTTCTTCCTTGTTACTGACCTGAGATGAGCTGTCTTGAGAATGTTTCTCACAGTGTGTGAAGAGACAGGGAATGTGATGGTGGAATTGATGTAATAGGTGACCTAGACAACATTATCAGCCTTTCCTGTAGTGATATGTTGAATAATAGCCCTCCTATCAGTAGAGGTGAGCTTGGATGGATGCCCTTCACAGAAGTTTTCCTTGTCTGTGTGACTTTCTTTGATGAACTTGGCCATAGTGGACTTGGATACTCCAGTTCTAGAGGAAATTTGACAAGCAGAGAGGCCAGAATAGGAAAGAGAGAGGATATTATTCCTTTGAGCAGGGGGGGTGGCTTTCATGGTGAATATAACCATGACATATGGAAATTTTTGGTTTGTATAGTTAGATATGGTTTTAAAATGACATAATGACACCACTTTATAATTTATTTAATGGTGGCATGATTGTTATGGTGTCATAAATGATGATTTATATAGTTTTAATATGTGCTCAAAAAACTGTCTGCATGAGTCATGATTTTGTAAGCCTTGTATCTCCACCATATCTCCTCTGATTCTCATGATGTGGTGCTCAATCCAAAGCCCTGAAGCAGCACTACAATATGGTATCAGCATGTCACTGAGGTCTTTATGTATTCTCACACAATATTGTAAATAGTAAAAAATGCAAAAACATGTGGACAGTTTTTTGAGCCACTGTATATTATTATCTCAATTAGATTATTCAGACATTGTAAATCACACAGAGATATTCAGTTAAGGTCAGATATTGATTATCATCATGAGAGTACAATATATTGTAAGGTGCTACAATGTAAGGAACCTGCTGCACTAGCAGGGTATCACCGAATGAGAGAATCCAGAGATAACATGGAAAGCAATGTCAGAGGTAACAAGAGCACAATGCTGAAAGTCCCAGTGTGAGAATATGAGTGCAACAAGGCAAAGTCCAGTGTGAAAATGCAGTGATTCAAGAAGCAGCTGCCAAGTCTGAATGAGCAATGAAGTGAAAAATCTAAAACCGATCAAGGAAAACCAAGTGACAACATAGTAAGAATAAGGCAAAATGAACATACCAATACTATCTATTTCCTGCATACTACATGTTTGGTACAACCTTTGGTTGGCTTGGCCAGTTCCTGGTCCTCATCATCAGATTCCTCTGTCATGCGGTGCTTAGTCTTACCCCAGCTGGTTTTCAGTGCTTTCTTTTTCCTCTTTTTAATGGTACTGACATCTTCCAAGTCTTCGTTGTTGTCAGATAGAACATCATCTGGCATGAGTTCACTCAGTGCAGGTGATTTTGGTGGGATGGGGGCCATCTGCACGAGCCTTGGAGATTGAATGATTGGCAGTGGGGGGAGTTCTGGTTCCAGGGTGACAGAGCTTTGAGGTGGTGTTGGGATAGTTGGAGTGAGTTCAGGTGCTGTGGGTTGTTTGGCAGCACTGGCACGAGTGGCCATCTGTGCTCACATTTTAGCCAGCCCATTTACTGGAGTGGAGGACAAGCCAGTTGAATTTCTGGGTCCATTGTCATCGGATATGGTCGGTCCACCTTTGCGTCCATTCTTGTTTTTGAATAATGTCCTAAAGGCAGAAGCAATTAGCCAGGCAAATTGTTAGAGGAGAAAAATATACCTGTTCCACCATTTGAGGAGTCCCTCCACCCAGTCTCTATCCTCACACTCGCAAATAAAGTCAATGATGTTGTAGTAGCAGGCTCAATTGTTGAATTTGCTGTCCACTCCAGCCCATTTGTTCTTGTTGCTGATGGTGAAGCGTGCCTGGCAGTAGTAGTAGTATATGAAAACAATAAGTCAGTTGTGTTAGGTACTTCAATTAAAATAAAACTCACCTGAATGCAAGCATATGCTATATGCTCTGCCTTGACAGTAGTCATATCATGCAGGGATGCATTGCACAAATGTGTAGTATGTGAGTCATCACCTAATGCAGTGGATGGACCTGTAAAAATATGATGCATTATCTAGTAATACAAAATGTTAGTAAGATACATGCATATAATCAACTGAAAGACTTACACACTCGATGAAATAGCCCTGAAACAGGCCCTCATGCATGACATCCTCATCGTACCTGCTGCCAGGAGGATTTCTGGCCCACAGAAACACTGGAAAGTCAATCAAGGTCATATGAATATGTCCAATCTCCATCCATTTTCGGGCCCTAAGTCAAAGAATATCAGATGATCAGATATGTCATAAATCAAGTACTTACAATGTGGGATCTCGTTTGAAATCCACAAGTGCAGAAATAGGACATAGGAAAGAAGCAAGCACAGGGTGGTTGATGCCCATGTGCACCATGGACAGTGAGCCCCCATTGTAGATGGTAGGCTTCAGACCTTCCTTCAAGGGTTCAGGCACCACATAGTGTCCGATTTGGACCTTCAAATGAGTTGCGTCATCAGAACGTGTCCCACTAATGACAGCATTCATCTAATTAGCATGTTAGTACACAATATATGCGCATATAAGCAGCATATGCTCACCTTGCATGCAATCTGAGTGAGATCCTTGGACTTCACACAATCAGTAATAAGTGATCGGAGTCCTGGAGCCAGTTGAAGCAACTGCTGATAGTTGTGCTTGTACCAATTGAGGGTATTGGTTGAACAAAGAAAAAAAATCTTAGTATAGACTTTGCAAAATTAAAAAAATGGACTTACAGACTCACAAGCCTTTTCTGATGGGATTCGCGCTCAGCCTCTGACTCTTTTAATTCTCCATTCTCCATGGCCTGCTCTTGCTATACAAGTAGACCTACCCTTAAGAGTTTCTCAACATTGCAGAATAAATCAACACAACATGCCATGGCACATGCTGCCACAAGAAACTCTTCTTGGACTTCAAATTCCAAGTCTTCCTTCTCTTTTGAGATCTTGGTTTTCCTGGTCATAGATTGTATTAGGGATCTCAGCACAAATGAATTTGAATATTGGACTTACTTGACCTTTCAATCGTCTTTATCAAGTTTGCACCCATGTCTTTTAGATGACTTCTTAGGGCGAGGTCCTATGCACTCCATCAAGGAAATTGAAGAGTCACTGCTGGTGTTGCTCTCTGAAGCTGAGGGGGATCTGGAATGACATTTGTGTGGCATGCTTAAGATGTGATGCAGTAATATCAGTAGAAGTGTGTGATCAGAATCTGATCAACAAAGGCAAATTTCAATCTCTGAAATCACATGACCACCTTGTATCTGCCCAACCTCTAAGTTGAAGTTATCTCTTCTTCATATCCAAGTCCACAATCATGATCATGCACTGCCAACCACTCTATATAGCACCAGAAGCACCAATTGCTTCATCAGAAGCACTGATGGCTTCATCCAAACTGGTATAGGTGTGTCTATAATTGCTTGAGGATGTTAACATACCATCCAGGTGCTGATAGCAGGGCCATGTGCGATGGTGCAGGCAAGGACTTAGGCAAGGAGTTGTGTTGATTTAGAGAAGAGTTGCAGGAAGCAGGGTCACTACTACCTATAACTGCTAAGTCCTTGAATTTGTTATTAAGTATAATGCAATATATAATCTAAAGTGTGTATTCATGTTGGATCTGAGTGTGCATCCCATGGATGGCCTCACCTGCCTTGGGTGTTCAAAGGCTTTCACCACTCAGAAAAGCCTGAGCAATCACGAGGCTTGGTGTGATGCCAGTAAGAGTCTTGATGCTGACATCTATAAACAGCAGCGCTGTCTGGAGAAGCAAATGCACCGGAAGAAGAAAAGAAGACATGTCACAGCTCCCAACGCATCTTCCTCACCAGAAGGTAGAGAAACAAGCCGCAATGCTCATCAAATAAGTCCTGAAGACTGGATGAATATTGACAATGATCATTGGGTTGATCATGATCACATGCATGAGGTAAGTCATTTTTCATTAAAATGATTGATATGTTTAATTTTACAACTAATAGGATGAAAATACTGCTGGAGCTTCTACTGATGCCAGTGCACCAATCCCACCAATCCCTGATGATCCCACCATCATTTCTGCTCATTCCAGCCAATGAATCTGCATGCCTGCTCATTATGCAGACTATCTGCCAGCTGGACCCACCAATCTCCCACATTTACCTGCTCCTCCTCCTCCAGATAGTCCTCCCAACTGACTCATCAATGAACTCCCCAACCACCAGCCCATACTCATCCCTTACCAGGCTCTCCCAGATTCACTGGGTCTTTTCCGCATCTATGCGCAAAAACCCACCCTCATACCCACCGCAAATGAAGGCCTGGATGTGATCGCTGATGCCCCAACCTTCAAAACTCAGGGCAATTCTCAATTGTCACAATCTCAGATCATTCCTGGGCTTCCCTCCCAAGAAATCCAACTGGAGGATATATTCTCCCCATTTAGCAGCCTGACTGCAGGGCTTCTGATGTGTTGGCAGTATTCCAGCGCAAACTCAAAGTTGAGCACCAAAATGAAACACCTCACTAGGGAGTTTCTCAATCACAATCAATACAACAGAGAAGACATGTGGATTTTCGACGATGTGTGGGAGAAGAGGCTCATGAAGGAGTACCTCAAGGACCAATCCAATCCATTTTGTGTGGAAAATGGCTGGCACAGCTCTTCAGTAAAAATCTGCCTCCCCAAAGAAAAGGTTAAGTTCACATCAGAAGAAGATGCACCAGAGTTGGAGATTACCAGCATTCATCACTGCTCTCTCACTGACATCATTACATCCATCTTCAAGGACACTATTATGTCCACCTTTCATCTAACACCCTTCCATCAGCAATGGAAGACTTCTGATGATCACACCATCAAAGTCTATAGCAAGGCATATTCCTCGCCAGCCTTTCTAAAAGCCCACATGGAAATTAATGTGCTTCCCCAAGATCCAGGCAATAACCTCGAGTGAGTCATCACCTCACTAATGATGTGGTCTGACAGCACTCACCTGGCAAGTTTTGGTGATGCATCACTCTGGCCCTTCTATCTGTGCTTTGGCAATCAGTCCAAGTACACACAAGGCAAGCCGACAGCATCCGCATGCCATCATGTTGCATATATTCCAAACATATGTTCCATTTCATTTGTGTTCTATTAATTTGATTATGCTAATTTTGATCTATTAAGCTTCCTGATGAGTTCCAAGACCATTACGGCCATCTTTTTGATGAGGTGTCATCCAGTGATGTCTATACTCACTGTAAACGCGAACTTATGCAAGCCATATGGGCACTTCTACTGGACTGAAAAAATTATGGATGCCTACAAAAATGGCATCATCATTTGATATGGGGATGGGATCACTCAACACATTTTCCCCCACTTCTTTACTTACTCAGCAGACTATCCAGAAAAGTATGTGTTTTAATCTTAATTTTAATGATCATTTCTCATTTGATATCTATTAATACAGGATTCTGCTGGCTTGCATCAAGTTCCTTGGCGAATGCCCTTGCCCCCACTGCCTGATCAAGAAAGAAGATGTCCCCAAGATGGGCATGAAGATTGATCTGGAGAACAGCCAGGCAACACAGTGTGTTGATGATGATCGACATCATCACAAAGTTGAAAAAGCCCACAGGCTTATTTTTCAGCACAGCATCAGCATCAATGGACAATGGATCAAGAAAATCCTGCAAGGCGAGTCACTAGTTCCAACTCAGGTAAGTAATCTGTGCATCAATCTTATATTTATATCTGATCACTTCATTTCAGAACACATTTTCAACACAGTTTCTCAAATATATATTCAATTTTTTCTTGATGTTCATAGTAGACTTACTTCATGAGTTCGAGCTCAGTGTGTGGAAAGCATTTTTCACAAACTTAATGCACATTCTATTTGCCCCAGGTGGTTCAGCAGTTCAAGAGCTTGATTTCAGGTATGTTATAGTGCTTTTTGCAATATTAAAACACTTATATGACTACATACAGGTACCGTCAAATTCCTACTTTTGGTAGGGGAACAATTAGACAGTTCCACAAGAACACTTCTGCGATGAAGCATCTCGCAGCCCATGACTTTGAGGATCTACTACAGGTAAGATTGATCCCATCAGAATTTAATGATGCACTGATGTGCCTTTCATTTCTAGTGTGCTATACCTGTATTCAAAGGACTTCTTCCCCCAATCATAATATGATTGTTCTCGACCTCCTCTTTGACCTGGCTACCTGGCATGCTTATGCAAAACTCCACATACATACAGACAACACTCTTGCATTTTTTGACTCAGCAACAGTCATCCTCGGTCAATCAGTTCACAGGTTTCAGTGCACCACTTGCACATATTATCACACTACAGAACTTCCCCACAAATATGCCGCCCATGGATGCCATCTGTCTGCATTAGCCTCAAAACAAGTGGGATTGATCAGCAAGGCTACATCAAACCCGAAGGTAAAAACATTAAATCTTTATACTTACAAATATCATGCACTTGCCAACTACCCTAATACTATCCAGTGTGTTGGTACTACTGATAGTTATTCCACACAACTGGTAAGTGTTCTTTTCATGATGTCATTCATTTAATAACTAATATCCAACAGGGAGAACTCAAGCATTGTCAATCAAAGTGCCGGTACCCTTGAACAGGAAAGAAGAAGGATCAGACTCTCACCAAGATGACTTCTCAAGAAGCGCAAGAACACCTCATTGAGAAGGTGATTGCTGCACTTGCAGCACAGTGGAATCTGAGACCACAGCGCACATGATTGTCTCCATCCGATCACTACTCCATTGCCAAATATGCTCAGGCAAACAACAACATCACCTCCTGGTTAATTGAGCACAGAGAGGTTGGAGACTTGTCCAATCTGGCTACCGAGGTAAGCTTTTTTTAGATTTTCATTTTCATGCTTTCATTAATTTTATCAGGAGTTCATTCCACAACTCAAGGACCATGTTCTTGCTCAGCTTCACAATATCACATATGACAGAGATGAGCATGACTTCTCCAATGCTGATCATACCTCAGTGCTGTTTACTGACAACAAAATATATCACCACAGCATTTTATGCATCAACTATACAACATACAATCTATAACGTGAACAGGACACCATCAATCCCCACACTTGTGCCAACATAATGGTACTCTCCCATGAAGATGAGAAGACTCACCCATACTGGTATGCCCACGTCATCAGCATCTTTCATATCAATGTGGAATACCATGAGGATGACATGAGGATGTATTCTGAGCTAATTCAGATGGACTTCTTGTTCGTCTGATGGTTCAGAAGGGATAGTTCACCTGCAGGTTGGACTGCAAAATGACTCCAGTGCCTCGAATTTTTCAATCGAGACAGCCCTGACACATACAGATTTTTGGATCTGGACTCTGTCATTTGTGGGATTCATTTAATTCCAAGTTTTCACCATCACACAGATCCTCAAGATCTTGAGTCTGAATGCCAATTTCACCATGTTAATATGTGTGCATTTAATTTAATTTATTCTTGCTACATAGGCTGACATAGTATCTACATAACATATAGATTTGTTGATCAAGATATATTCATGTGGTTCCATGGTGGCAGAATTGGCCACAAAGCTACCAGAGACTGGGACAACATTCTCCAACTCAAGCAACATGGAGCTGAAGAAGCAGAAGCTGAAGAAGGTGATGATGCGACTGACACAGCTGAAGAGGAAGAGGAATGGGAAGATATCAAGGATGACTTGGATGATGTTGACGAGAGTGATGAAGAAGAAGATGATGATGAGGATAGAGTGATAGCGGATGAAGGAGAGGAGCTGGATGAGGATGTACTTGCAGAGGAAGGTTATGGGGCACTTTGATGTATTGTAGTTTAATGAAGTTCTCGTTTGATGTTCTTGTTTGATCAATCATGATCGCACAGCACAATTCATTAAATTTTCAGTGTCTTTTTGTCTTGCACAAAAAAAATGGTTAAGTATCTACTTGACATCATTTGTATATACTAGTGTCTGGAATATGTAATCTAGATACAAGAGGTATCTACTTATTGTCTTGGTGATAGTATGGTGAGGGGATAGACGTCATTCTGATATACGCGCCTGTGTTCCAATGTCGCGTCGAGGTGTTGATGACATCACGCGGATTAGTTTAGTCATACGTTCAGCCACCCTCCCGTCTATATCGGGCAATGTCACACCTGAGCTATTTTTGTGATGATCAATATACTCAGAGAAATTTACGAATTTTCCCATCTTGAATTCATCTTGCTCAACGTGTCCAGGTCATTCAAGCACTGTTCCTTCACCTACCAGACTCTTATTTGTACCCTATTCTTTCATCGCTTCCTCCACCCGATGCTACAAACCCCACCTCGGCCACAATTTTTCCTACTCAATCGGCAATCTACAACTCACTCACTGTCTATGAGGAGCTTATATCGCTGACAGAAAGAGAAGAAGAGATGTTCATCAAGTCTGAGTTTGACAAGCAACGCACCCACCTTGGAGGTCCTAAGCCTGAGCAACTCAGGAAAGATATTGGCATCGAGGTTTGGCACTCATCAAAGGTGGGGCAAACTTGCGAATACTTCAGTTTTCAAGTTAATCTTCGCCTTGCAGCTTCCAGCCTTATACAATGATATTCTGAATCGCCCAAGTACCTCTGACGAACTGCGACGCGCAACAGAATCTTAATTTGTTCGATATAAACAACAATTGTTCCTGGCACTCCCCTCTACTGACTCGGAGAAACATCAACTTGGCCTGCAGCTGGATGAGATGGTTCACGGTATTGTGACGATTGGCATTCCGGATGAGTTTGCTTGGTGCATGTGGTTTGAAGGAAGAGATTCTGATACAGTTGGTACTGGGTATGCCATAAATTTGACTATGATTACTGAATTGGGCACTCTAGAGGGTCTTAGTCTTGCGTATCTCAAGCAGTTCATAGAACTCTTCCCAACAAGTACATTAGCGCGGATGTTGACAGGATACTTTGCATACAGCAAGGTTGCCCATGGTCACGAAGGATTAACAGAAGAACTGACCTTTGCGGTGGATAGCGACCCTTATGGCATTATTCTTGCAAGTTCACGAATCACGCCTCAGAAGATATCTTTGACATCTCTCTTCAGGATGCCTTTTCAGTACTCCTGGACTCGTTGCTAGCGAACATAATCACAGCTCGAGTCCATTCACAGGAACTCGAATACACAGATGCCATCAAAGTTGCTGAAAGCGGACTGGAATTGATACGCAGGTATGAGTCAAACACAGCCCGTGAACTCCGAGAGTAGGTGGAAACCGTCAGAACCTTGAAACTGCAATAACAACCTATCGTCCGTTTAGAGTGCGCAAGGCCTTTCACATTATTCTGGCCATATCCTTCGTCCACCCATTTCCTCCCAAGCACCACCCTCGCGCTCTTTATTTCTTAAACGACGTCCTGAAGCAAGATCCCACCAATGTAGACGGATTGATGGGGAAGGGGTATGTTTTTCAATACGCTGAAAAATGGGAGGAGGCGTAGGTGCTATGTGCCCAAGTGGCAAATCAGCTCCCTGATGATATGGACAAAGGCGTGGAAACAAAAGAGGAGAGTGCGTGGTGCCTTAGTCGGATGCATGCGGATGTTGGTGTAGATTCTCTGAAAGATGTCTTTGAGACGTTGAAGGATATCGAGGATCGTGACATTGATAAAGCTCGATGCCTATGGCGAATTGGGAGATGCTACCAGGATCTAGGAGGTATAACGACCCACGTCTTTTGCCTCATCTTACTAATCTCTACTGCAGGAGAGTCCGTGAGGAAGCTTTCAAGTACTTCATCACATCGCTCAAACATAATCGCGAGTATGCGCGGGCATACACTTCGCTAGGTGTATATTACTCAGAACACGCGTCACCGCCCGACCCTACGCGAGCTTCGAGATGTTTCCAGAAAGCATTTGAACTTGACGCCCGTGAAGTAGAGGCCGCAAGGCGCCTTGCGGAAGGCTTTGCTGACGAGCGTGGATGGGATCTGGTCGAAGTGGTGGCTCGGCGTACTATAGACGGTGAAGGCGGGATGGGCGCTGGTATGGAAGGAGATGGCGCAACTTCGGGAAAGTATCTTCCGACAAACGCGTGGGCATGGAAGGCTCTTGGTGTTGTGGAGCTGGTAAAGGATCGTACTCATGACGTTTATATTCAACCTAACTTTATTGGGCACAGGTAAAGAGGAACTATGCAGAATCCATCAAGGCTTTTCAAGTGGCACTCCGAGCGGACGTCGATGACCAACTCTCATGGTTGAGGCTTGGTGAAGCCTACAGTAAAGCTGGGCGTCATGTCGCTGCCCTTGGGGCACTTAGTCGAGCTCACAAGTTTCAACTGGACGATTGGATGTGTACAGACTTCATAGGGGGAGTCCAACGACAAACGGGAAGGCTTGCAGAGGCTCTTGCCTCTTTCCAGTCTATACTGGACGTTCGTCCCACTGAAGCCGGTGTCCTCTTATCTGTTGCGCAGACCCACCTCGACCTAGCCCGACATGAGCGGCTTGCCGGTTTCGTTGCTCGAGCTGAGCAGTCTTTTATCTCTTGCGTCGACGTTATGTTAGTCGCCATCCGGGAAAGCCCGGGATATCGTGGAGTCGCCTGGAAAATCGCTGCTGATGCCCTATTTGAGTTGTCGGTAATCACTGTCTTCGCGGATGAAAATAACGTCCGTGCAGCCGTGACTGTAGTCTCCGAACGGGACCAAAGTAGTGCTCGGCTGGCTGGCCTATTCAAGTCCACAGCTCTCTCTCCAGACGACCCTGTCACTGGGCTCAACGTACTCGAAGCTGCTGCCGGTGCCTACGATTATCGCATCACAGTGGGCTCTTCTGACGAAGCCGCTCTCCCAAGCTCATTGTACGACCTTGCTGTAGCCCTGCGCGAGTGGATTTTGAAACAACCCTCTGGTACCACACGACAAGCCTTGGAAGCAGCAAACTCAATTTCAAGCTCTGTAGAAGGTGCCTGGAAATGTCAGGTTCGGAGTCGCATTGGGTGATCTCCACTTTTCCCAGAAGCCAAAGCTGTCGCAGCATGCATATATCAAGGCGATCGAAGTTGACAACAAGGTTGGTAGGACACATGCCTGTTACAATCTCAACTCAATCTCTCTAGAACGTGGTGGCGTGGACCAAGATTGGTCTCCTATACTTATATCACAACGACATCGACTTGACCGCCCAAGCATTTACGAAGGCACAAACGCTCGATCCGGATTATACCCTGGCTTGGATCGGCCAAGCATTGATTGCAACAGCAAACGGCCACGAAATAGATGCTCGTATATTACTTGAGCATGCAGTGAGCATGACAGCAGACGTGGTAAACACATGTCCGCCTTGCGTTTGTATATGCAACTGACACATGGTTCAAGCCTATGACAGACCTGCAATTTGCCTTGCGCGTTCTTGCTGCCGTAAATGACTTGAATTCAGTCGGTGCACCCACTACAGATCGCCTTCTACCTGCTTTCTTCGTCCTCGGACGATATTTCCAGCGCTGCCCGGCTGATGCCTTGCGGCTTCCATGTCTTCGGCCTGATTTGCGAACACCTTGGAAACCTTGAACGGGGTGTAGAATACATAAATCGTGCAATTACTCTCCTAGAAGCAGCATACGAGGAGAAAGAGGATCCCATAGTGGAGCGGCAGTTTGTCATCGCGCACACCAACATCGCACGGCTTCGTCTTGGATTGCAAGACTATGAAGGATCGTTAGTGTCTTTCGAGAACGCTCTAGGTCTACTTCCCGAAGACGCAGAGCGGGAGTCACAGATTCTACGTGTGCGAGCTCAATACGGGTCTGGGCTAGCGTCTTTCAAGATGGGTGATCTCCAAGCCGCTATGATGGCATTCCGAGCTGCTTTGGAAAGTGCCGCTGACGATCGCGTTCTTCGAGGCCAGGTTACTGTTCTGCTGGCACAGACAATGTGGGCGATTAGGACGCCTGAGTTCCGGGAGTCTGCGAAAGGCTTGTTGCTTGATTGGTCAGAACGCAACGTTGATGATTTCCAGTCAACTAATCTATCGTTTTAGCATCACCTCCTGATGGCGATCAACACTCTAGCTGGAATGGGGATACTCACTGAAGACGATGGGCTGGTTGATGCCGCACTTTCGGAAATTCTGTCACTCCCCGTCGAACAGAGACATGAGCTCGATCCTCGAAGAGACGTGACATATCTCCTCGTGCAACATTATCTTGGGCTGGTATGAATTCAACTGTTGAATCGTTCAAAATATGATCCTGAGATTCTTTTCAGCAGGGTGATTACGACAGAGCAATTAAGATTGCTCAAAAAGCCCTCCATTTTGAGCCTTCGAATCTGCAGATGAGGCGAGAAGTCGCATCTTTGTTGCTCAAACAGGGAGAAAGAGACGCTGCATCGGCCATCCTGGCATCGGTAGCACCGAAACAAAATATTGCAGAGGAAAAGACCACCCTCGCATTATCAGCTCTCGCACAACCCATACAGTCTCAAAGAAGCGCACAAAAAGCCATCATGCTGGAACCCGGTCAATTGCGAAGTTGGCAGACTTTAGCTTATGTCCGAGCACAAGAAACGTTGTAATATCAGGTTGGATAATGTACACGTATGTAGGAAGAGGTTCAATGCCCGGCGATCATCCAATAATGTGTCTGATGTACGAGTTCTTGTTGAATGACAACTGCGCCTCCAGTAGACTATATATCCATTACCGTTTTCCTTGAGCAGCGACCTCTGTAGCATCACCGGTGAGTATTGAAAGGATTTATTGCATGAAAACTTCGTATCTCTGCGGGTCGCGCCCTCCAGCAGCTGAGTATCGACGTGTTCTGCAGGGAGCTGCACATACCTCACAATGGAATCGCGGATAAATCAGTTTTTCACCGCCATCTGGAAATGGAGATGAATGCGTAAACCGGATAGAAAAGCGTGCATTATGCACCATGTGTGGGTGTCTCGCCTCGTCCAGTACATTGATCGAGTCTAGACGGATGTTGAGAAATCTGGGCGAAGAATGGGAGTACATGCATCAGTGATATTGGATCTATGTTGAGATGGCAACTACGATACTGACTGGTCTACCGATTTCAAGACTCTCGTAATCGAGAGATCGTTCTATCTTTCTGAGTTGTTAGCTATGGTGCCTATAATCGAATTAGGAGCGCAGAAATGACTTCTGCGTGAAGGTCTGATTGATAGCTAACAACTCACATAGATAGCAAATCTACCGTGCACGACATGTCTATGATGTCAACAAGATGATTCAACAATAGGAGACAACCCTGAAAGAGCGAAAAACGCAACTGAGCAAAGTTCGTAAGGAATTCGAGGTGAGCTATAGAACAGTTTAGCCGGATGCATACTAACCTAAAGTGACAGGAATCCCGTGCACAACAACAGGAGTACGGTAATCACAACAAACAAAGTCGTGGAGCACATGACCTAACCAAGCGTGAGCAGACGGAAGTTGTCATACAAACGATGCTGCAGGATACTCGCCAGAGATATACACAGCAGCTATGGCAGCAGGATGAAGAAGTCACCTTGGAGTTGGTGCGACGCAAGACAGAACTAAACACAAGCAAAAGCGATGAGGTGACAAAGCGAGAAATGACCGTCACCGGAAATTTCTGATAACGTCAGATAGATTGGGGATCGCGAGAAATCCACAACCGCCAAGATGAAACACAGGCTACAATTGGAATTAAGAAAATCGAAGGTGAGAATCTGATCACACGAACCTAGTGGGCATAAATGTTGAAAAGACACTTTAGGCAGAAAAAGAGAGGGTGCTTGCCAACATGAAGAGACGATTCGCAAGACGTGGCGGGCAACAAGAAGAGGACGTGGAGATGAATGTGGATCCCGCCCTCAGGAGCGCTCAACAGCAACCCAAGATACCGCAAAAGCCCCTGTCTGGAACACCATGCCTCAACACAACCAAAAGGTTCAAGAAGATACGCAGAACATCACACAGGACACGCCTAGTGTCACTGGTAACGGATGTAAGTGACAGATGCGGCGGGAAACCGCTTTTAAACATAGAACAAATAGCAAGATGACCCTGTGGGAAAATGCGCAGAAGAGACACCCACAGATACGTTGGTGGAGGGTTGTAAAGTCGACAACAAAGCTATGGTGCAGCGCAACGAGATATAATTTGGCCAGTGCGAGCGATTTTACACCGAGATGAACGAAGAAAAAAAGGAGGAAGGTAAAGAAATAATGGGTCCTGTGATGCTCGGAGGGCCGTGACGAATCTACTACACGTATATCATTGTGGCCGCATCCTATCATCTGTAACTCACAGCATTACTACTTTGACATACCGGGGCAGCTGTGTTGGCCAAATGCCAATACCACGGTCAAGCAACGTCAGCTGTTGTTGAGACATTGAGGTCGCCTAAAATACCACTGTCAGAGCGTCGAAAGGTGCATCGTGACTGAGCATACCTTGCTTCCCCGATATCAATGTCCGTAAAGCTATAGTAGTTGTAAAGGTTACCAATACGCCACCTAACTTCCCAGTTAGTAAAAATCGTTTCCGCTCTTAATTATGTCAGGTGTGCTTTTTTGGGAGCACGGGCCGGCCGGGTGGCTGGGTCAAGGCATAACGTTTGTTGTTTCCCTTTTTTAGAAAAGTTCGCTAACACTACGTAGATATGCAATTATCTCGCTCTATTTCTAGTCCGATTTTCTTGAATCCTGAAGCTTGAAGATTCGCAATCAGCATAAAATGTGCGTGTGTATAACATTTGAACTGATCCAGCGCCATAAATATGAGAACCATATCGATTCAGATTCAGATTAGCAAGGTATATGGGTACTAATTATACAAGATGATGTTGATAGGGTATTACACAGCAACTCTTGGTACGCGACTGTATGTATGTCTATAGGTATGTTATGTGTACATCATGGTATGATACATAGCTTGCATATTGCATGATTGGGCATCCGGTTGCAGTGGTAATGTGGTATGTTGGTGTATGTGGCGTATATCTATCATATCTCTGAATCTTGTTCAACATCAATGAATTCCTGTACCATCGCGGTAATGATCATATATGATAGAAGATTGAACACGAACTTACTTAGATCTTGAGACCAAGGCGTCGCGCCACGCGAGCGCAACCGCTGGCGCACATACGCAATAGCTCTTTGATTCTGTTTAGTAGTGACGTTCGTTGGTTGGCCGCCGTCTCGGATCCATGTCAGGGACAATGTCGGCCAACGGTTGTAGATAACCTTACCATGCTGGCAAGGAACTCAAGGTGTGTCTGTCGCGATTGTCGGTTGTTAAATTAATTTGAGATCAAGGAACTTACACGATCATCGTGTGCGAAGTTGGGTGAGTGGAAAACGCGAGACATCTAACGTAAATATTCCTTATATATTATCAGATCTGATCGGGATCGAAGACTTACTGTTAAGCTTCCTTATCGGGGTATAAAATGAGTGCTTTGTAGAGTAATGTAACGTGATATGGATGTGTCAACTAATGATCCAAATAATAATCAACAGGAGTGATGAGTCAAACAAACACAAACAAAAGCTTGATCGGTACCCCTGACGCATCGATAAAGGTAGTTTTGAACAACTCGTAGCCTAGGAAAATGGGCTCTTAGCATCCTAGCATCGTTCTAGAGTGATGGACCCCTCGGTTGAATGTTGGGCAACCACTACAATACTCAGCGAATATTATTTGCGATGGCGTTACTATGAACCTCTTTACAAATGTCAGCTGGGACCTAACCTAAGCAAAGACGGTGTAGTGATGGTGTTATACGGACAAAGGACATCAATACTGAAGTTCGGTACTATAGCGTGAGTATTGGTATGCAATGAATCTGAGTGTATGAGTTCGCGATGTAGGCCGAAGGATATGTACTAAAGGTCGGTGCTAAAGTGTGAGCATGTAATGAATATTCACATTAATCGATGTAAGGTCCATGATGCGGAAAGTTCAATCATTCCACTTGAAGGATACTTCGTGCTCGTCGCTCTCGTCAGGCTGAAGACATGTGCGCACCACTGTCATATAGAGCGGGCATAGTGAGGCGTCTGCATGCGCGTGGTCGGGATCTTCGATTCTGAGCACTTCAGGACGGGTGAAGCGAGCGTCGAGAATGTAAACGCATACAGCACTGAGTGCCAATGTAGCGTCCAGATAACGTGTCCTGACATCCGGTCTGGACAGATTCACGAGCACGAGACGACAATATATGAAATAAGTCACAAGCACCAAACGAATGGCAGCGAGACCATAGTGTACGAGATACCTGGGAAGACATAGTGGCTCAGGGATAGAACAAGATGTCACGTAAATGCATTCTTACCAGCATAGTCTGCTGTCAATTGCAATGATGGAGAGCTGGACGAGGTCCTCTGGGATAGTAGGCAGCCAGTTCAAGGTCATGTGGAGCGGAACTCGAACGTCAGCAACCCGCTCCAAAACGCGCCAAGCGACGTCGACGGTGTGGTCGTATATGAGGGCTAAGTTCTCTTGAGACAATCCGACCCAAGATGGGTCTTCGGACGCTGCGGTGTATAATCTGGGGAAAAAAATCCTGACGACGTGCCGCTGTTCCACTTTCCCCAAAGGGACGTTCGGAATTTTGTGCATGGGGACCTGGATCTCGGCACCCTGGTTCAATATGGTCAGGATCCATAACTGCCACCAGTTACTTTATCGGACGTGTCTCACCTCAGCGTCGTATGCGCGACTCTTGAGATGGTTGTCCCTAGTCAACGTCTCCTTAAAAGGAGGGACGGGCCAGACCGACAATGCCGTTGTATAAGGCAACGAACGTGATACTCCAATGACAGAGTCAATGTCACGGGTAATGGTGGTCTCAGGTCGGGGAGGAAGAGGGGCAACGCCTTGCTGGGCATTCAGGCTGATGCGGCACCGGTCGACTTCCTCGTCTGCCTCTGGCCCGATCCTACCTGCTAATACGAAACGAATGAAATCGATCTCCGACCGAAGATCGTCCGATACGCGCGTAAACATGTCTTGAGATTGGCCGACGAATTGATCCAGTCTGAGTTGGACAAGGTCATCGACCTCGTCTGGGTATTCCATTCCGAGAGAGCTGTAACGACAGTGAGTGTCCGATGAACGGGCTAAAGAACGTGCAGCAGCTGTAGATATTAAGGGAGAGGGAGTGGAAGTGGGAGGGGGGCAGTGAAGACAGCTCCCATTGCGCCTCTGCACTCTAGATTTTAAGTCGGTCGCTGCACATCCGATGGCCCGGTTTTGACGTACTTAGCTTATCACGTATATGATGGCGTCCCGTCATGTGCACGGGCATTAAGCGCAATATTTGGGTGACTGAATTGAAGTTGGAAAGGGCCTGGTACTACATCGCCGTTGTCTTGGAAGTCCTGAGACGAGATCTGAATGAATTCTAGTAGATCCGGCGCTCAGGTTGTACTAAAACTAATGCCGTCGTCGTAAGCGCGCCAAACTTTAAGCTTTACCGATTAGGCTAGTCTACAATTTACGTTGAAAGTCACAGAGATCTTGTATAGTACCATGATAAGTACTCGCGTAGCAGTAACTCAGCTTGGCTTGGCTTATGTAAACTTAGCTTACATAAAATTAATGCTGCACGCTCGGCTGTCTATATGCATACAGAACAAAGCTCAGCCGATTGACTCCAACGAGTCAGCAATCTGAACTTTCATGCGATATGTAATATTCAACATTCAAGCTCAAGTTCAACCATTGTCTATCGATGTCCATCATTCAACTAGTTTAGTTTAGTTAGTTAGTTAGTTTATGCATCAGCTATTTGCACATTAGTATTGCAGACGGGCTTCCGGTACGGCCACTGCTATCAGGTGTCGCATACGGATATTCCTGAAATCAGGCGGACTCTTTAAAATGTGGGCTTCACAGACGGCTGCGTTGCGTGGAAGGTTATATTATGTAATTTATCGCTTGGTCGTATACAAGTATTCTGTCATTTCGCAAAGCGGAAAAAACCGGTTCGTCAAGCCTCTGCGCGTGCTGTCATTCACGTCAATGCGACCCTTGAAACATTCAACTCGCTTCTCAGCCGCTGAATACTGTCCTGCTTTTTTCGTTTCCCGATCCGGGCCCGTGACTCTAGCCCTGTGGGCGCATCCGCAATCGCATCAAGAACAACAACACCGATATTTAATATAGATAAACGAACATGTAATAGTAGGGACGTCGGATCAGTCAGTGTCGCAAAAATCATAATTTCCCTACATGGGCAAATATGTGCATATCAGCTCGGTTTTTCCAAATGAACGGAGGAAGGTCCTCGAAATATTCACTCGAAGATAGGAATCGTAGGATGTAAGTCAAGGAATCATTCACAATGATGTGGTTCTTGTCGTAGTCCAGGTATGAACGAAGAACATCCAAAAAATCATAAGCAGCTTCTCGAAGTCCCATCTTCCGAATCGATATTGAGCATGCGTACACGGTGCAGTGTTGCGAAGATTATGCAGAACCTCGGGAATAAAACTATCCACGCACAAATAGCGCGCGTCCCTCGACTGACTTTCTGCGGCACCAATAGACTAGTGGGATGTTGAGTAAATTGGGTGTAGAAGCCGTCTCGCAATAACTGCCACATCTCACCTTGACATGCTGTGGTAAAGAGGGGGGGGGGGAGACGTTACACCTTGCTCGCTTCTGCAGATGATGAACTAGTAGTGGCGATTGAGGCTAATCGATACGTTGTACGCACCGCCGAGATCAGCAAGAGACATTATGTCCGTTGATTTCCAATTCAAGTTCGGCTGCACGGTCCGACTGAGTTTTCGCCTCCTACAGTTGAAGCGGTGATGACATACCGAAGTAGCCTGGACATAGAGTATCCGTAACCTCCATAGTGACCGTCAGTCACGCGCATTTCATGAGCTTGCCTCATGGCGACTTCCATATAATGATGGGAGAAAGGAACTTGCATGCAACATACAGTTGTGTACTCGGGTATTGAAGTGCTGTAAATTTTGGCGACTGACGAGAAGGCCCGAACCCTGCTTGAGAGCATGGTTACTATATATATATATAAAGGTTAAAAAGAGACTGAACTGTATATACGTACTGCCTTACATAGAGTTCACCCTGCAAAGGACAAAAATTGGAATAAAAAAGATGTTACAAAGGTTTGTGAGATCACGAAAAAGAAGGTAGAAATGCGCACCTGCTCCAGAGACATTGAGCGTGGTATGACTGATTGACCCTTTACCAACCCAGTAAAGTCCGCAACAGTTCAAGCATGGAGAGAAACACGCCAAATTGAAGGACCTTGTCAATCAGCGTGTCAGACGTGAGACGATTTCGTTGGTCTCAGGCAGACATGATGCTGCACGACGAATAAGTAGCCCTATCCGAGTCACTCCCAGGATAGGACAAGTCCACGTGATCAAGTCGCACGGGTTCGCTCAATTTGTTGTTTGTAGTATTGTATGTACTACTAGCTAGCATCGGCCAACGACTATCTTCTTTTCCTCCATCTCTGGAGCCTTTGAGTCTGTGGAGCACATCGATGTTTAAGGAGCGCGAATTCTTCAGCCGGACGATAAGGAGCCACAACTTCAGATAACTCGTCTGCAGACTCCAAACATGAGGCCAGCATAAGAAGTGGACTATCTCTGATCACGTCTTTGCTCGAGTGCTTGGGCAACGCGCCAAGTTCGAGGCTCAAGGAAATACTGAATTGCAGGCACGGAGAGATCGACTGCAAGAGGTGCGTTCTCGGGCCTTTATCTTCTTCACCGCAAATCAACTTGCATGTCTAGCTTGTCGAAGGATGATCGAACGTAGGGATTATCTTTTCCGTATCATGATGCGTTTCATTTCTTCAGCTCATTGGTTGGTTTACGCGTGCTTTTGCAGCATAAAAGATCCTTCAGCGACTTGAATGAAGATTTATAAATATGTGTCACGATCAATCCCATAAGATACGTCTTAACCGATAACAGCATGGATTCCCTCTTTCATGCGCATCCGATACACCGACGGACGGCCTGCTGGAGTATGATAGGCTGCTACATCGGCTTTTTCAACCAAGATGAAGGTTAGAACACAAGTGCCATAGGGACCATCTCGGACTCGAAGGCAAGTTTGAGTGTCATCGATGCACATTCGAGCACTAAACGGATTGTAGATAATCTCCGTGATCCGTAAATACATATGGGTTGAATTCAGCATGCAGGAATCGCCTCGCGTCTATATAATTCCCGTGGAAAATGTATTCGATCTTGCATTCTGTGCTTACCAGCGCCGAACCATGTTTCGCTCTGAATGGCTGCTTGCTCACGGTCAGGATCATGGACACTTCGAGACCGTTGGCCTTGATGACTTAATAGACGAAGACACGAGGATAAACGTTTGCCGGAGAGGAGCACGCTAAGTTGAAGGGCCTTGTCGATCAGCCTCTCGGACGTGAGGCGTTCTGACTGGCTTTGGGCCGAAATGCTGCATTGCGAATAGCCCCATCACTCTCAACCGCACAGAAGGAGTCTGTAGCTCTCTGCAGGTCAAGTCGATGAGCCAACAAGAATGTGCACATGATACAGCAGACACGCATTTACCTTGTAGGCGTAGGCGTATCACCCTCATCAGTCGCTTCCCGTTGCGATTGGAAGTGGAAGATTACTTCGTGAGCTGCTATTGGATGTTTAACTCAGTCGGACCGTGCAGCCGAACTTGAATTGGAAATCAACGGACATAATGTCTCTTGCTGATCTCGGCGGTGCGTACAACGTATCGATTAGCCTCAATCGCCACTACTAGTTCATCATCTGCAGAAGCGAGCAAGGTGTAACGTCTCCCCCCCCCCCTCTTTACCACAGCATGTCAAGGTGAGATGTGGCAGTTATTGCGAGACGGCTTCTACACCCAATTTACTCAACATCCCACTAGTCTATTGGTGCCGCAGAAAGTCAGTCGAGGGACGCGCGCTATTTGTGCGTGGATAGTTTTATTCCCGAGGTTCTGCATAATCTTCGCAACACTGCACCGTGTACGCATGCTCAATATCGATTCGGAAGATGGGACTTCGAGAAGCTGCTTATGATTTTTTGGATGTTCTTCGTTCATACCTGGACTACGACAAGAACCACATCATTGTGAATGATTCCTTGACTTACATCCTACGATTCCTATCTTCGAGTGAATATTTCGAGGACCTTCCTCCGTTCATTTGGAAAAACCGAGCTGATATGCACATATTTGCCCATGTAGGGAAATTATGATTTTTGCGACACTGACTGATCCGACGTCCCTACTATTACATGTTCGTTTATCTATATTAAATATCGGTGTTGTTGTTCTTGATGCGATTGCGGATGCGCCCACAGGGCTAGAGTCACGGGCCCGGATCGGGAAACGAAAAAAGCAGGACAGTATTCAGCGGCTGAGAAGCGAGTTGAATGTTTCAAGGGTCGCATTGACGTGAATGACAGCACGCGCAGAGGCTTGACGAACCGGTTTTTTTCCGCTTTGCGAAATGACAGAATACTTGTATACGACCAAGCGATAAATTACATAATATAACCTTCCACGCAACGCAGCCGTCTGTGAAGCCCACATTTTAAAGAGTCCGCCTGATTTCAGGAATATCCGTATGCGACACCTGATAGCAGTGGCCGTACCGGAAGCCCGCCTGCAATACTAATGTGCAAATAGCTGATGCATAAACTAACTAACTAACTAAACTAAACTAGTTGAATGATGGACATCGATAGACAATGGTTGAACTTGAGCTTGAATGTTGAATATTACATATCGCATGAAAGTTCAGATTGCTGACTCGTTGGAGTCAATCGGCTGAGCTTTGTTCTGTATGCATATAGACAGCCGAGCGTGCAGCATTAATTTTATGTAAGCTAAGTTTACATAAGCCAAGCCAAGCTGAGTTACTGCTACGCGAGTACTTATCATGGTACTATACAAGATCTCTGTGACTTTCAACGTAAATTGTAGACTAGCCTAATCGGTAAAGCTTAAAGTTTGGCGCGCTTACGACGACGGCATTAGTTTTAGTACAACCTGAGCGCCGGATCTACTAGAATTCATTCAGATCTCGTCTCAGGACTTCCAAGACAACGGCGATGTAGTACCAGGCCCTTTCCAACTTCAATTCAGTCACCCAAATATTGCGCTTAATGCCCGTGCACACGACGGGACGCCATCATATACGTGATAAGCTAAGTACGTCAAAACCGGGCCATCGGATGTGCAGCGACCGACTTAAAATCTAGAGTGCAGAGGCGCAATGGGAGCTGTCTTCACTGCCCCCCTCCCACTTCCACTCCCTCTCCCTTAATATCTACAGCTGCTGCACGTTCTTTAGCCCGTTCATCGGACACTCACTGTCGTTACAGCTCTCTCGGAATGGAATACCCAGACGAGGTCGATGACCTTGTCCAACTCAGACTGGATCAATTCGTCGGCCAATCTCAAGACATGTTTACGCGCGTATCGGACGATCTTCGGTCGGAGATCGATTTCATTCGTTTCGTATTAGCAGGTAGGATCGGGCCAGAGGCAGACGAGGAAGTCGACCGGTGCCGCATCAGCCTGAATGCCCAGCAAGGCGTTGCCCCTCTTCCTCCCCGACCTGAGACCACCATTACCCGTGACATTGACTCTGTCATTGGAGTATCACGTTCGTTGCCTTATACAACGGCATTGTCGGTCTGGCCCGTCCCTCCTTTTAAGGAGACGTTGACTAGGGACAACCATCTCAAGAGTCACGCATACGACGCTGAGGTGAGACACGTCCGATAAAGTAACTGGTGGCAGTTATGGATCCTGACCATATTGAACCAGGGTGCCGAGATCCAGGTCCCCATGCACAAAATTCCGAACGTCCCTTTGGGGAAAGTGGAACAGCGGCACGTCGTCAGGATTTTTTTCCCCAGATTATACACCGCAGCGTCCGAAGACCCATCTTGGGTCGGATTGTCTCAAGAGGACTTAGCCCTCATATACGACCTCTGCCTTCGTCCTATGATGATACGATATTTGCCTGAAACAAGAGATAGATGGCCGACCTCTTATAATGTCGCGTTATCCCATGCTAGGACATCCACCGGCTCCCTCGCATTCAACACCGTCGACGTCGCTTGGCGCGTTTTGGAGCAGCTTGAAATCCCATTGCTCACAAAACTTGGGGAGGTAAAGGATGAGTTCAAGGATGCATATTATGTGCACGAGTTACGTGGAAAGAAGAACGCTGCTATGCATGATGGGGAGGATGCGGCTGCGAGACGTACGGCTGTTGATGAAGTATTTGAGCATGTTGATGGTCGACACCTGGATCCTCGGCAGTGGCATGTAGATGTTGCGCTAACGATTGGCTTGCCAGGGCACGTCGTCACCTGGCGCGAGTCTTCTCACCGAGAAATCCTCAACTTTCTTATGCCTGACGCAGGCCCTGACTGCATCGATCGCTTAATGAGGAAAAAGTCAGCGTTCCACGTTGATCGCCATCTACAAATCAAAGAATTTGCCGGCTTTCGTGCAACTACGACCGCTGTTACGCGCGCAGATGGCATATCATACGTACAGGCATATTGCACCGAAAAAAACGTGACGTATTCACTGAGCCCTGGTGTCTTTCGGCGGCGTCGAGCCAAAGAGCTTCTGGAGAGGAGGACGCAGGAGAAGATTCTATCGGACTTGGATATCATGAGCGACGTATTTTTTGAATGCACTGGTGATGGGGCGGTCGCCGGTCGCGATGGCTGCGCCCGTCTTGAGGTTCGGGTTCCGCTGGACAAGGCCTTAAACTGGCTGCCTACTCTCCCAGAGGACCTCGTCCAGCGCTCCGTCATTGCAATCGACAAACGGCTATGGTGGTAAGTACGCATTCGCATGACATCCTGTTCTATCCCTGAGCCAATACGTCCCAGGTACTTCGTGTATTATCGTCTCGCTGCCATTCGTTTGATCCTCCTGAATTTGTCTCAAGCGGATGCCAGGGCACGTGCCCTGGACACTACGTTGGCACTCGGTGCTGTATGCATTTATATGCTCAACGCCTGCTTCACCCGTCCCGCTGAGGGCTTTGGATGGGAGAGCTTGATCGAGACTGCCTGCCAACAGGTGCTCGAAGATCCCGACGACGCTGATGAAGACCCACCGACTTTGCCCATTCTATATGACGGCGGCGGGTACTTCGTCTGTGATATCGTCCTTAATCCCCACTTGAACCGGGGATTTTTTCGACTGCCTCTCCAGCGCACATTCGACTCAAAGTCTTTGACTCGCATTTATCAGGCGCACTCCATGAACGACATCAAAGCCTCGTTCTCTTGGGTCATAGCTTCACTCAGCCGATCTCGCCCGAACCCGGAACGAACGGACAATCGTAAGCGTAAAACTCGCGATGTCGATGTCATCAGGCAGCCAGATCGACAGCGCTTGCGCCTCAGCACTGAGATCGTTGGTGTCCGCTTCAAACGTTCAGTTCGCTTGGCAGGTAGGGATGTAGAACTTCATATCTCGAACGGGGGAGATGAACAGGACCTTCATGAGGAAGAGGGCGACGAGGAAGGGGATCTCACGACTGATCAACGTGCCGCAAAAATTTACGAGCAATTCTTCCTGGACATCATCGAGGAGGCGCCTAACCGGAAATCCAAGCGGGAGGGATCATATCTTTCCATTCCTGTCCGGATGCGCGGCGACCTGGCGCGGCCAGCACTACTACAGACAACCGCAGTTCCTTTCGATCAAGTGCAATACTCCTACTGCTCAAGGGAACAGTGGAAGATGCACTTTGGTCGTTTTTTTCCCGCTACTGCCGAAGACGCTGCTCAAGCTGCTGAACGTCAGAATTTTAAAAAGTGCACATACCTCAACCGCTACATCGCTCTTGCACAGCAAACTGAATCCAAATGTCTGCCTAGGATCAGACGTGCACTGGAGAAGGAATTCAACACCCTGGCATGGGTGCCATGCACCCAGTCGGACCGTATGTGGGTTACCAAACCAATGCCCGGTAGAGTATGGAAGACGCTTCCTGCAGGGAAACGAGGAGGTCCAGCGATCGTAATGAATCCACAGTTGCAGCAGAAACTAGTCACCCTGCGCGTATTTCCTCATCCTGACGGGAGCAATGACGAAGCAGGCTCGGAGGAGGATGATTGAACTTTACATCATGGACTTACAATGATTAATGCGAGCTTCTGTTACATACTCACACTTTAATACCGATTGGCCTACTAGTACATCGCGGACTCACTCACATTCATCATGATTACATATCGATACTCGTGCTTTCGTACTGACCTAGGGTCCTTTGTCCGAATAATCAGACATCCTTGTCGTTTTGAATCTTTTGATGCAAGAATTTGCTGCAGTAATGCATCCCAATATGCATCAAATCACACTCACAAAAAAGGGAAACATCCCACGCTCAATGACAATAAACATAAATTATTAGAGACATTTCTCCCCCAGGCCGGACAATTGTCAAAATCTTCCGAGTTCAATAGTAGTTGTCTTCCAGTCAACGTCGCGTCATATGCAGCTCCGCCACTCACCCTGCCATCTCTATCCGAAGTTGAGATTCGGGCAACCGTCCCGTCGCTGCAAAATATCGATTTGGCTTTGTGGCCTTATACCCTGATGCCAGAACACCCGTCAGAGCCCTATTCGTTTTGCTTCGTATTCCTTATCACAGAAGTCAGACAGCAGCGTGGTGCAGCAGAAGAGACCCCCCGCAGGTATACTATTATTTGATGGTGCTGAATTTCACTAATATTTATCTGAAGGTTGTAGACAGGCTTTCGATGCTTCATTATTATCGTGCACTGTGACGCGCGCACAATGGCCTATCGATGTAAACCGACAGGAATTGCGTGGCTGAATGATTAGCGCTTCGAATCAACGTGCTGGCTATGGCTTAAAGGATATGTACTGCCAAAGAATTAGACTTCTATTCCCTTTTCACAGTGCGTCACCTCGCCGTTTCTCTCACACTGATCCAAATCTACGACGACTTCTGACGAGTGAAGACAATGAACTCGGTCGTCCTCAAGAAGTCTACAATGCAAATGTCACTGAAAGTATGGTATGTGGTCTCTTGCAATTCGTCGCTGGCAGCCCTCATATTTTTCGTCTAGAGCGCCGAACCTCTTAGGGGAGTTTGTCAGTCCCTGTGGAAATTGAAAAATGGGCTAACAAAAAAATTTCCTGCGCATAGACGCGAATGCTGATTGTCCTTAATGAAGCTGGGATTGTGGCGACTTCTGTGGCGTCCGCAGCCAGGAGGTCTCGCTGCCATGGATGATTTTGAGACAACATATCTTCAATCCCTAGAGATCATTGATGCTGCGCTTGAGAAGATCACACATGTATGGGTCGTTCTCGTTCACGGAAGACGAACCAATCAAGTTGTATAGGTACATCCGTACGCAAAAGTGGCGTTGGGTGTCCTGTCTACTGCATCTAAGGTACGTCCAGCTTCTCCCATAGTTCTGTCTCCTGCTCAGAAGTCATAATTCCATGTAGACCATCATCGCTCAAGCAGAGCGCGACCAATCAGTTCACCGTCTTCTCGGGGGATTGGCTGAAGTTTACCGTTTCATGACTCTAGATCATACTCTTGATAAAATTGAATTCCATGCGCGAAATATCGTTCAGCAGACTCGTGAGTGCGCCCGTTTCATCAGGGACTACCCCGAGACAAAGAGCTTTTGTGAGTCGCCAAGCTATCGCACTTCGTACATAAATCTCATGCTATTATCATCTCAGAAACTGATATCATTATCAAGCAGTACAATGACACTTTGGATGACTTATGCAACAGTTCTGGGACCAAGATGATCGAGATGTGGCCGTCTTTGTCCAACGTACGGGTAAGAGTTCTGACACTTCCGTCTTTACATGTTCACACCGTTTCTGGCGATACACTAGATCTCGGGGATATAGTTTATGCAAAGGGCGCAGGACCAAATACCATGAAGCCGTGCCTATCAGGGACGCGTACGGAGATTCTTTTCCAGGTTACAGATTGGATCAACGGCAGTGGAGATGCTATTGAGCGTGTGCGGTGGCTATCTGGCCCTGCAGGCACGGGGAAATCAGCCATTACTCAGACGATTGTCTAGTGGTTCAGCGACATGGGAGTGCTTGGTTCATGTTTCTGCTTCGACAGAGCCCAAGAAACCGAGAAACATCGCGAAGAAGTTTTCCTCACCATCGCTCGCGACCTAGTTGATCGTCGCCAACTTCATGATGTCGAAGATGCATTCCATGACATTCAGTATATTCTACGGTTATCCATGGACGAAATTCCAGCAGCAGCGGCGGAACGCGACATCTGCACTTTTGTATCTGACATGGGCATGTCTTGTATGCGAATACAGGCCTTCCCAGCGCAAACCCGAGGTCTCGCTTTGAAACTGTCGTGAACCGCGATCCTGGAAAATTCTCAAACAAGCTGTATGATACGTATGGGCTCATTTTGGCATAAATCTGGGCACGACATCAGTATGACGATGTCGAGCACCAGGAAGCACTAGCGGTGTTTCGTTCCGCGATGGGACAAATACCTAGCACGGATGAATCTCTCCCGTTCGATTCGCTCGACGCCACGCGGAACTACAACATTCATCACAAACTGGACGTCGCACGACATATGGGATCCCTCCTCAGTGGCACAATGGATTCAGATATCCCTGTCAAGCCCCTTCACGCATCGTTCCAAGAGTTCCTCACAGACAAGTTATTCAGTGGAGACTTTTTCGTCGATGTGACGAAGACGCAACACCACGACTTAGCGTTGGCGTCACTTCAAGTGATGGAACATGGTCTTCGCTTCAATATGTGTGATTTAGAGTCATCATACCTCCCTAATCGCGAAAAAACCGGACTGCCTTAATGTGATAAAACATTCATTCCTTCACATCTCTCCTATTCCTGTCGATTTTGTACTACATATGTTTAATAAATGGATTTTGATGATGATGAGGTTGCAAAGGTGATTGGATTAGGGTTACTTAGGGACGCAGCTCGTGATGGGCCTATCATGGTGCTCATCGCTGGCCAGTCGTCTTGCCATGTCATTAGGGACGCTCAAAGTTCGGGGGCGCACAGGTTGCCCATGCCCACCGCCCACACCTACGACCCCCCGCGCAGCAACACCATCCCGTTTTGTACATATCTGTATTATATAATACAATGCTAATGTAGTCATTGAAGGCTTGAACAGTAAACATATCACAGATGGATTGCACGAGCAATACCTGCGCTCATACCTCATACTTATTGTCCTTCATATCTTATTTCACCTTGCAGACACTGTAGAAGAAGCAGCACAGCAGCTGCACTGTGACATATCTTGCATTCTCACCATCCAGCAAACTCGCTACCTGCAAGGACAATCCCCCATTGCAAAAGCTGGTAGTTTACACCTTGCTTGGGAATATGCCAAAAGTCCATCTGACCATGACTGCTTTACCAACATGCTTTGAATTTCCCCTATGATTTTCAAGGTGTTGCTTGATTTAATTGAAGACCATCCTGCATTCCATAATAATTCACACAGTTCTCAAACACCCATCCAGACTCAGCTTGCCATCACACTCTATTGGATGGGACACTATGGAAATGGTGGGTCACTAGAGGACATTGCCCACCATGCAGGGATCTCGGAGGGTGGAGTGGAGTTATTTATGGAGTGATGCTTTGCTGCAATTGAATACCTACATGATGCATTTGTTTGCCTACTGTTACAGCAACATCCACTTGCTTAGCCCCTATTCATTTTCTTTGCTCACACCCTTGCTGGACTCTTTCCTCTTTGGGTGATTGCCCCCCTTTTCCTTCTTGATTATTCTATCTCTTTCTCTTGATCATTCCACTGACCATTCTGTTGGTTGTACCTTATCCTTGGTTCATCCAATGACTCACTGGCCCTATGCCCTTACTGCTTAACCAGTACTTCTTACTTACTATGGTATTCTGACTCATCATGACTCACCGTGACTTGTGTTCCCTTTACCCTTACCACTCAACCGGTACTTTCTACTTACTTTGGTATCTTGACTTGTTGTGACTCGACTCGCCCTCTACCCTTACCACTAATATGGCAGACCTGCCCTTATCCCTTCCAATGGTATATATACCTTATGGGTAGCACTTGTATTCTCTAACTTGAATCTACTTGGTTCATACTGTCTATTCCTTGAGCCCTAAGCAAGCTCTCCTCTTATCAAGTACCTTTGTTGGAGCTTGTTGCTGCCAATGTCCTTAGCCTTGAAAGAGAATGATTGATGACTTCACTGTTGTAATCATTGATAATCGATCCTAGCCCTAGTGGCTAGATTGATTGCTGTGAACTTGTACCTACAAATGCTCGCTGGTTGCAGCAGGCTTGGTGCAAGCCCCAATCCAAGTTCTACGTTACTTACTCACTTCATTTGCATGCCACAGACTTAGCTTGATTGTAACAGAAATAAGTATTCAGCTTTTTCTGCTTGGCTCGTCCATTCACATTCTTGAATGAAAGATATTGAGGGAGTTGTTGAACTTGGTAAGGAATGGTTCCTGGTGTGTCTTGCATAAGACTCAGAGGCAAGCAAAACAATAATCCAGATACGAATTTGAAGATGAGTAGTAACAGGTACTAATAGTATGTAGTATGTACTGCAAGTCTGCAACTGCAAACACTGAGTGCTGAGTGCTGAGCACTGAGTAATCAGACTGGATGGCACCAGTGATGCATTACTTAATAGTAATGCATCATGCTGTTGTAGTATTGCATTACTATCAAAGTAATGCATCAAGCTGTGGCAGTATTGTATTGCTTGCTTCAAGGTTACAAGGAATAATGCAAAACACCACTCCTACTTATAGTCATTGCAACCCCAGACATCAAATCACTGCCTTCCCCCCTTGTTCGTTATATCTCATCTCATGTCTTGACTTGGAGATTCACTGGCACCCACAGTGCAGTCGCAAGAACGTTCCCATGCCATCATGACACCTACCAATGTCTGTAAGTGTCCTCATTAGTCAATTACTTCAGTTTTTATTGACCATGGACATGTCCTATAAGTAGTGTTCAACCATGAGCCCTCTCCCACTGCTGAGATGAGCCTAATTCTACTCCCAGAATCCTTGCCTTACAACACTACTCCATATACAGTTCCAGACTCAGAGCAACAGACTGCCTGGGTTTATCCTCATGAAGCTGCATACCCGGAGGTTGTTTGGTCAATGGCTGATGAGTGTGAGCTTTACTTGTACAGAGGTATGCTGTATAACATACTGGTTAAGCTAGCACCACCCCCACCATATTATTGTGTCACACGCAGACAATACATTGGAATTTTTAATCATTAGTAAGTTATTACTTGTAGCTGGCCTGTATTTGAACATTAATATGTTTTTCTGTATTCTAGGAATGATGTCATGGAAAGTATCAATGGCTTTTTGACCACAGTTTTTGCAGTCACTTTACTTGATGTTGGAGTGGACCTTCTCCACCTTAGTATTGAACAAGGAATAGTGGTTCTTTACTATAGCTAGAAGTAAAGTAGTAGGGTGACTGGCAACAAATGTAGCAAGGTGATACATGTAGGTTGGTGATGTGCATCTGCATCCTGCATCCTGCATCATCTTCCCTTGCCCTTGTAGCCACTCTCTTGCCCTCCTGCATCTCTTCCCTTGGTTACTAGCTTACTGTCAATTTGATTCTGAGTGCTACCCTCCCAGGCCTCCATCACATTCAGATTTTGTGACCCTCAGGCCTCATTTATCATGGATCTAGGGTTTAATGGTCATTGGTGTGTATTTTCCAGATATATTGTAGTACACCTGATCAGATGAGTTTTACTACTACTAGTGTCTACCAATGGCCATCAACTCTGCACACACCTGGCAAGGCCCAAACTTTTTCGCATCTACTGACGATGTTAAGAACCATGCTCAAAGGAGAGAGAGACTGACTCAGAGGGGCTTGGCCTCAGCTCATACGCTGTGCCCCTTACCCAAGTATGTGCCCTTCATTTCAGAGGAAGTCTGATGATGGTCTGATGAAGTCTGGAGGACTTCTGGAGGCTGACTACTCTGGTGGAGAGTGCGGGAGGACTTCCAGAGGAGCACAGGAAATGTCCGGAGGAGCATGGGAGAGTTCTGGAGGAATGCAAGAAATGCTCAGGAGAGTTCCTGCTGCAAGGTAATACTTCTACAGGAAATCAGGATGGAAGGATAGGAGGTCTGGAGGGCAGGAGGACAGGATGTCTAGAGGTCTGGAGTACGGAGGACAGGAGGTCTGGAGGTATGGAGGACAGAACGTCCAAAGGACAGGATGCCCGGAGGTATGAGAGACAGGACATCTGGAGGTACAGAAGACAGGAGGTCTGGAGGTCCGGAAGGAATAGGGGCTACATCAGATGAAGTCCAATGTAGAAGCAAATGGAGGTAGACTACCTTAAGGTAGAGTCAGAGGGACAGGAAGTGGACCCAAATCCGGAAAGAGGGTAAGTGCTGGAAAGGCAAGACTCCAGCCTAGGGAAGCAATCCCTAGACTTGGGACAGAGACATAGGGGACAAATCCGAAGGTCCAGAATTCCGGCCTAGGGAGTCTGGAAAAGGACAAACTCAGATAGACTGAAGTCCAGAAGAAGATTGGGCAAGTCTAAGGTGATATTCAGACTGAGGACTCTACTGTAGTTGTACAGGGGTTATATACTAGAGGCTATCTGAGAGGATCAGTAAGCAAAGGAGTAAGGCTATGTATGAGCATGCAGAAACACATTGGTAAGTAAGACAGAACATAAGTAAATGAACTTGGAGATAAAACTAGTACAAGGATCAATCAGCAAGATGGAAACAGAGATAACCGAGAACCAGAAAGGCAGAGATGCCTAAATGGGGATAGGCGCAGGATCTTGGATAGAGGGCGGGAATAGGTCCAGAGATAGTAACAGTTAATATCCGGAGGTCTGGAGATCTGGGGATCCGGAAGGCAGGATGGAAACAGGACTGAGATATGTGAGGTAGTGGATGTAGTCCAGAATCCAAGAGGAGGTAAAGTCTGGATGTCTTGCTGGATGGAATGTGTGTAGGGTGGACAGGATAGGGGATCCAGGAATGAGTCAGATATGGGGTCTGGAAACAGGTCTGGAAAGCGTGGGAATATGATGGAATCTATGTCTGGCATATGAGATATGACAGATGAGGAGTACTGTGAATTGATATGTAGATTGTTAGACACATGTGCAATGGCAGAAACTCATGCGATACATGTTTGGAAGAGCATCAGTTTTGGTGAGCACAGAATTTGAACAGGATTGACTATCAGGACTGTTGATATATCTCGAGTGTATGGTGACCATGAATTCAACAAAAGTGTAAGGAGGACATGCAACAAGTAACAATTACAGTCAATAAATACTTGATCAAATTCAGTTAGAAGGAGAAACAGAACCAGCTGTGACCATGCTGTCTGGAGTTGACAATCCCTGGGTGTGAGCTGGGATTGGGGAAGGAGGAGAAACATAATCCTTGTCATGGACCAGGCTATCATCATCTCTGGGAGCATCCACTGAAGCATATCACTATACATGGATGCATAAGATTTAGAATACAATGAGAAGAAATGAGACATGCATACCAGTCTACCCAGGTCAAGAGGAACATTGATGATGGTTGGCGATGTGAGACCTATATGAAGAGGCCACCACATTGACAGTTTGATAGTTGGGATCTGAGTATTGGGGAAGTATTGATATCAGAGGATGAGATGATAGGTGGTGCTAGTATGGATCAAGACTAAAGAATGTAAGTTGAATACACAATGATGGAAGTCCGCACTCACATTCTTGTCTGGTGTTATAAGTGGATGAGGTGGGGGGATGTGGCACAGGGAACTGCAAGTGAACTGTCAATTCAAGTGAGAAGTAAGCAGGTAAAAGAAACATACATCTAGGGCATCACAAGGCTGATTGCTGCAAACCAGGTCCATGTGAGAAGAGGAGGAACAGAGTAGTCCACATTCATATTCTTGTCTGGTGTCATAAGTGGACGTGGTGGGGGGATGTGGTACAGGGAACTGCAAGTGAACTGTTGAATCAAGTGGGAAGTAAACAAGTAAAGGAAACATACATCTAGGGGTCACAAGGCTGATCACTGTGAACCAGGTCCATATGAGAAGAGGAGGAAAAGAATTTGCACAGAAAGTGGAGGTGAGCATGTGTGTCCATGGTGTGGAAAGGTCAAGGGATAGGAGACATGTCAGATGTTTATGGTGCATGGGATGATGGGTTGCATCAGACTGTAAGGAAGAATGGTGTGGTGTAGATGAATGAGAGAGCAGAACTACGTACATTGAGTAAACCAGCATGCAATGAACATTTATATTTACTGGTCATATGCAGAGTCTTAAGTGTTGCATCAGTGAATTCATAGGATCAAAGTCATAGAAGTTAATGCCTAATTTCCAGGAATAGGAAGAACAGTGTGGTGTAGATGAATGAGAGTGCAGAACAACATACATTGAGTAAACCAGCATGTGATGGACATTTAGATTTACTAGTCATATGCAGAGTATTGAGCAGTGGGTGAGTGATCTCATCTTTCAAGCTTCTTAGTGCACACTGATGGTGCCATGGCCATGTCTCACTCTCAGGCTGTGTGTGATCTTGTCCTTCTAGATTCTCAGTGGACACTATCAGTGCCATGGCCATGTTCCACTCTCAGGTGCATGATTTCTTCTTTTGAGCTTCTGATCTGACATTGATGGTGCCATGGCCATGTCCCGCTCTTAGCAAGTGCATGATCATGCAGATCCCTAGGTATCGTCAACAACTATGACAGGCTATATCCTTCATAGTGGTGGGAAGACCCAAGCGCATATATCTATGGGTACATGTGTAGTGCACATTGCACCAGTCACCAGGGTGCTCTTTCAGCCCCTGGGACAACAACACACTCTGGCAAATCCCAATTAAGTGCCAAGGTAATGATCCTAAGCTGTCAGAGCTTCTTGCTATTACATGTACTCAGTCCTTGTTCTTTTCCAAAAGTACCGAGGTGAGTCGATGTGTAAGTCCATTCCCAATAGCCCTAATTGGAGTCCATATTGACGCCATTCATTCTGGTACAAGTCCAATATATTGTCTGTCCAGCTAGAAGTAAGGCAAGCCACAGACTACATTTAACAGCTAAAAGTACATCATGGTAGGTAGAAAGCATGGCAATGCCTCCAATAAAATATGCTAAACTACACCTGGACTTCACTCGTACTTCAGGGACTCTGGGTGGAATCATGGAACTTGGTTGTCATGACTTGGATGTTGAAGCAGACTTCTACTGCTGCACATTCATTGTAGGCCTAGCCTCATCTTAGTTGCAGACATTGGTTGTATTCAATAAATTTTCAAGCCTAGTCCTAGTGTGGAACTGACCAAGCACATAGCAAATATGATATTTTACTGGTGCACAGTATAAAAGTACATGAATTCATTTTCTAGTTTTGTCTCCACAGTTTGCCCTCTCTCATTTCATCTCTGTAGCATATCCTCATTGTCACTTGTTACTTCAATGCCAGGTAAATGAGGGCAAAAACCTTGGACAACTCCTGATGAGGAGACCTTCCTCCAAGATAGACTCCCTGCATATATTGAATCTCAGGCATAAAGGGCATATGATAACTTTTGAGCTGAAACTTACTGTGGGTTTTTCGAATGCTCATCCAAGCGAGCACATTTATGTGGTGTCCCACTGGGTGGGGAGCTGACTGACTTACAGAGAGATCAGCTAGCTCAAAAAATCCTGAAACTCAAAAAGGTGAGTTGCATAATTATATCATGATAGACATACTTTTTGACACATTCTCCAAGGCCATTAAAAGTTGGTATTGATGGCCAACCAACATTGCATGTCTAGCATGTTCCAGTGTATCCAGGGGTGTCTTAAGGCTCAATACCACACTGGCAGGTGGCGATGAACTTCGAGGGACACATGCTCCACAGGAAGTAGAAATGTACTCACAGATGTATTATGAGGATCACATCAAGGTTGATGCTGATGCTGCAATCGCTGCCAAGGTTATCACTTCGCGTGGTGACAAGTTGTTAATGTGAAAGATCATCACCCATGATAAGTATGCCAAGGAACCTGAAAAGATCAAAACAGAAGCTAGGAGATGATACCAAGAAGCCCTGGACAAGTGGAGACAAACCCATGAGCTGAATAAAGCTGGGCTTGTTGAGGAGGTTGACAAAGAGACAAAAAAGAAGTATGGACTGACTTGTGTTTGGCAAGATAACAATGCTGACAAATCACTGGTAGAGCCTTTTCAGAACTGGCAGGACACCTTGACCATATTTTTTGGCACCTTTCCCACAAGATGTGGGGCCTCAAGTTTACCTGTATTGCTGGCAGATGAAACCCTATCACTGGAGAAGTGGTGGTCTTGGAGTAAGTGTTTGAATTTTTGATGGGTACTATCATTTGACTTATGGATCCTTAGCTTTCATCTTGGAGACACTGAAGAAGGAGCTAACTTCTCTGCATACTACCCTAGGTTCTCTGAAGTTCAAGCTACATATGCTACCTTCCTGCAGGAGGCACTCTGTAAGTATAAGTTTTTTGCTAACATATCATACACTGACTTAGCTTTGACACTCTCAGCATACAATGATAACATGCAGGCATTAGAGAGGGACAATGGATGTGACTGCTGTAGTGGAGTGGACAAGGTCAAAGGTGGGAATGTTGAGAGCAGTGAGGATGAGTCAGAGAATGACACTTATAATGTGCTGAAAGAGATGAGTAATGCATTAGTGTGATCTGAGTGGTAAGGACTGGGAGGAGGAGAGTGACACTTATAATGTGTCAAAAGAGGTAAGTTGTTAAGGTTGTACTCAAGGGATAACTGGATCCAAAGGGCTTCAGCCTCAGCTTGTGCGCTGTGCCCCTTACCTGAGTATTACCCCTTATTTCAGGAAGGCAAGACTAACACATCCGGAAGGTCAGACAAGTATCGTAATGGATCTGGATGACTTCCAGATGCGGGATAGGTATCATAGGGCTAATCCAGATGAGTCCAGACTAGAAACTAACGGTAATAGACTGTCGGAGACATAGGTGGATATGGATAGACTATAGGAATCAATCCTAAGTCTCGGAGGGTGACAAGAGTGGAGATACTCAAGTCTGGAGGACGGGAATGAGTAGAACTAAGATGATATTTGAACTGAGGTACTACAGAAAGTTACAGGAGGTTATATACTATAGGTATCTAATGGAATGATCAATCAGCAGAGTCCGAGGCTATGTACAAAGCATGTGGATAGTCTATTGGTAAGTAGAGACAGATCACAAATCATGAAACAGAAATGAAACATAGGTAGCAGATCAGGGGGCAGGATGGATATACAGATAACCAAAATACCAGAGTTAGGGGGTTACCAAAAGGAGACGAGCACTGGTTGTGGATTCGGATGAGTTGTGGACCAGACTGGATGAGTGGACAGATTGAATGACAAGATGTTGGAGGGAGATAAGATGTGGATAGGATTGGAGATAAGATGTGGATCTGAGATGAGATAAGGGTTGGATCTGAGATCCAGATATGTGGATATGACATAAGTAATGCATTGGGATGATGCAGGTTTGAAACTAATGCATCACTGTAATGCATTAGTCCAACCCTGGGCCCATACCAAGCCTTGCAACACCCTCTGAGTTGGTGTTGCAAGACTTTGTGAGTAATGCATTGCTTGCTCTGATTTTAATGCATCAGGATTCCTTCTGGACAACAGTGCCCATGTTGGTTCCTGATGTACTGGGCAACACTGATCATGATATCGCCCTTCAAGGTGTTAGCACATCAGACCTTGCTGAAATTGATAGGCTGCTTGCAGCAATGCTGCAAGTAAATTTGAATTTCTTCAATAACCTTCAAGTTTCCAGCTTCAGCTCAGGGCCTGAGTACAACAATTTTGTGTTCTCAGAGTCACAATCCACTGCAGGGTCAGACTATAATTTCATGTTCAATGATTTCTCTTTCACAGGCAGTGACTTTGAGACTTCAACACCCCATTCCAGTCCTAGCCCAACACATCCTATCCACAAAGAAATACCCACCAGCATCAGTTCAGACTTCACCCTTTCACCTGTCACACTACCTGCAGCCCCTCTAGTGCAATTGCCAGAAGAACAACCTGAAGGTCCATGCATCACCATGTGTCACCATGTGTCACCATGTCCCATCAACACATAAACAGGTGCTTGACACAATTGGATCTTCAAAGTCTTGTGTGTGCCTGTCAGGAGATGTTGGAAAAGAGAATTCACTATTTGGAATGAAGTGGAAGGCAGGTGCTATCAGTGGTGCCAACAAGTAAGTCTCACCCTTATAACTAGCCTGCACTTGACTCAAGTTCATTCAGGAAACAAAAGTGCTGCTGATTTTGAGGGTTGATCTTATCTCACATTGACTCCCAAAGTTCAGTATGTTATTCTGGCCATTGTTTTTGTTACTTAGACCATCTTCAACTACAGCTTCACTTCACAGTGTGTGAATTGTGCACAATACCCATTAGCTTATTGATTTGGTTGCTCTGACTTTATTCCTTTTGATTGTGATACCACACTGTGTTGATGCCAATGACCTATTCATTTTCTGAATCCCATATTGTGACTCATAGACTTAAGGCAGCATTTTCATTACCCAGAATACCAGACTGTTGCCCTGTCCATTACTTGTGAAAGTGTTCAATCTTGCTGAGTGCTGACTCAGAATACTGACTCGGACTGACTGGCACTTTCCTTTCTTCAGTCCTTATTGCGAGGGAATGGTAACAGCATAGCAGCATGGACTTCCCTTTCTTCAGTCCTTACAGTGTTGCAAGAGAACTGGTAACAGCATGGACTTCCCTTTCTTCAGTCCTTATACCGTGTTCTGAGGGAATGGTAAATGTGTCAACAATCCTCAAATTTGTGCATGATACTACAATGACATCTGCTGAATACATAAGTCAAATTGCACCACCTTGTCTCCTTCTATTTCATCTTCAATCATCCCTGCTGAAACTTCATCTATATCCAATGAGCCATCTGCTGTGATGGTGTCAGAAGGAACACAGCCAGTAAATCCTTCAAGTGAATATATATGATTGATGCAAATATGGTGCACATCATTGACCCTCTGCTGCTAATCATCACATTGAAGTTGAACAATATAAAGGAGAGTGAAAGAGACAATTGTGTTTGGTGACTTCAGTGACTTGAGCATACCACCTGTGACAGTTTTAGAATGTCAGTAGAGTCTATGTCTCAGCCAGAGTGAAGCATGCACATGATGACGACCCAAATTGGTTCCACAGGATTAAACACTCCATCCTTGCAACACATAGATAGAAGATGGCACAAGGTAAGCAAATTAGTAGAGACCAAACACATGCCAGAGTTCACCTCAGTCCAGGGGATATGATTGTTTGTAGAAGTGATGAGAGGAGGAAGTATTATGCAGCCTGAGAGTAGTATGCAATGTGAAACAAAAGACAGGGAGGTACCAGAGGGGGGCACAGAGGCTTGAGTAGTACTATGATAGCAGGCAAGTATGAAGGGGGCAGGAAGGAGTGGCAGGCCATAAGAAGTAGTACTACTTATGTATGTAAGAAGTACCCAATCAACAAATATCAAAGGGGAGGTTTAATACATTAGTGGGTGTAATAATGCATTACTTCATATAGAAGCCCATATTAGTTGATGCATTATGGAGTCCCTCATTATTAATGCATTGCAAGTGTCTTCTAAATAGCCTGTATTAATGCAATAAAATGACATTATAGCCTGAAACACAAGCATCGAGCCGCATGCCATTGGATAACAATTGCAATTATATTGCATAACCTTGTCATAGATGTGGAGGGAGCTGTACAGGGGGAGCATTTTGCTGGTAACCATTCTTGCATTATAGCACTATTTTCTATATAGGTTTGGGTTAGTAAAGGGTTTCTTTAAGGCATATTGATAGGCCAGTCCCTCCACTGGAACAGTTCCAGTAGAGGTCAGTCAGTCAGTTAGGTTGGTCTAGTCCCTCCACTGGAACAGTTCCAGTAGAGGTCAGTCAGTTAGGTTGGTTTAGCCAGTGCCTCCACTGGAACAGTTCCAGTAGAGGTCTGTCAGTCAGTTAGGTTGGTTTAGTCCCTCCACTGGAACAGTTCCAGTGGAGGTCAGCCAGTCAGTTAAGTTTAGCCAGTGCCTCCACTGGAACAGTTCCAGTAGAGGTCAGTCAGTCAGTTAAGTTTAGCCAGTCCCTCCACTGGAACAGTTCCAGTAGAGGTCAGTCAGTCAGTTAGGTTAGTCTAGTCCCTCCACTGGAACAGTTCCAGTAGAGGTCAGTCAGTCAGTTAAGTTTAGCCAGTCCCTCCACTGGAACAGTTCCAGTAGAGGTCAGTCAGTCAGTTAGGTTTAGCCAGTACCTCCACTGGAACAGTTCCAGTGGAGGTCAGTCAGTCAGTCAGGTTGGTTTAGTCCCTCCACTGGAACAGTTCCAGTAGAGGTCAGTCAGTCAGTTAGGTTGGTTTAGTCCCTCCACTGAAACAGTTCCAGTGGAGGTCAGCCAGTCAGTTAAGTTTAGCCAGTGCCTCCACTGGAACAGTTCCAGTAGAGGTCAGCCAGTCAGTTAAGTTTAGCCAGTGCCTCCACTGGAACAGTTCCAGTAGAGGTCAGTCAGTCAGTTAAGTTTAGCCAGTCCCTCCACTGGAACTGTTCCAGTGGAGGTCAGTCAGTCAGTTAGGTTGGTTTAGTTCCTCCACTGGAACAGTTCCAGTAGAGGTCAGTCAGTCAGTTAGGTTGGTTTAGTTCCTCCACTGGAACAGTTCCAGTGGAGGTCAGTCAGTCAGTTAGGTTTAGCCAGTACCTCCACTGGAACAGTTCCAGTGGAGGTCAGTCAGTCAGTCAGGTTGGTTTAGTCCCTCCACTGGAACTGTTCCAGTGGAGGTCAGTCAGTTAGGTTGGTTTAGCCAGTGCCTCCACTGGAACAGTTCCAGTAGAGGTCTATCAGTCAGTTAGGTTGGTTTAGTCCCTCCACTGGAACAGTTCCAGTGGAGGTCAGTCAGTCAGTTAAGTTTAGCCAGTGCCTCCACTGGAACAGTTCCAGTAGAGGTCTGTCAGTCAGTTAGGTTGGTTTAGTCCCTCCACTGGAACAGTTCCAGTGGAGGTCAGCCAGTCAGTTAAGTTTAGCCAGTGCCTCCACTGGAACAGTTCCAGTAGAGGTCAGTCAGTCAGTTAAGTTTAGCCAGTCCCTCCACTGGAACAGTTCCAGTGGAGGTCAGTCAGTCAGTTAGGTTAGTCTAGTTCCTCCACTGGAACAGTTCCAGTAGAGGTCAGTCAGTCAGTTAGGTTAGTTTAGTTCCTCCACTGGAACAGTTCCAGTGGAGGTCAGTCAGTCAGTTAGGTTTAGCCAGTACCTCCACTGGAACAGTTCCAGTGGAGGTCAGTCAGTCAGTCAGGTTGGTTTAGTCCCTCCACTGGAACTGTTCCAGTGGAGGTCAGTCAGTTAGGTTGGTTTAGCCAGTGCCTCCACTGGAACAGTTCCAGTAGAGGTCTGTCAGTCAGTCAGGTTAGTTTAGTTCCTCCACTGGAACAGTTCCAGTGGAGGTCAGTCAGTCAGTCAGGTTGGTTTAGTCCCTCCACTGGAACAGTTCCAGTGGAGGTCAGTTAATTAGTGAAGTTGGGCCAGTGCCTCTACTGGAACAGTTCTAGTGGAGGTCAGTTGGGGTTAGTTATGTTGGTTTAGTCCCTCTACTAGAACCATTTCAGGGTTAGTTAGTTGTGTCAGTACCTTCACTACAACCATTCTAGTGAAGGTCAGTTAGTTAGTTTGGTTCATTACTTCCACTGGAACTGTTCCAGTGGAGGTCAGAGTTAGTAAGGGAGGTTGGATCAGTGCCTCTACTGAAATGGTTAGGATAGAGGTCTGTTAGTGAGGCAGTTGGCTATGGTTAGTTAGTCAGATCATATTTATCCAAGTGCCTCCACTGGAACTGTTCCAATGGAGGGTTAGTTAGTGTGAGTTAGTTAGGTCAGATTATCTATTTGCTTCTACTGGAACTGTTCCAGTGGAGGGTTGGCCAGGGTTAGAGTTAGAGTTAGATCATTTGAAATGTCTCTCAAACCATTCAACCTTTTAAATTATGTTCACTTCTCTCCAACCCAGTAGTTCAAGTTGTAGGGTTTGAAAATAAATATTTACACTATACTACCATACTGCAAAAGGCCACTGAGCCAGCTTCTCACAACTGCTATCCTATTTTTCAGTGACTGATTATCACACAGGTGCCATTTTCTGATTCTGTTACTGCTGACACAAAATTGGTGAAAGAGGCTTGGCATGAGGTGTGCCTTTAGCAGTCAAAATGGTAAGTATTCTGTTCTTAGGGTATTCCTGGTCTTATTTATGTGAAGCTCTTAAAATGCACATAACTAACCCTTCCAAGTACACTCAGCACTTTGACTTGCAATGTTTCCTTACTGTTTTCTTGGAACACTTTTATCTATGTGTCAGATGTCATCCTCATCAGAGCTGTGTGCTATCATCCACTGTTGCAGTGGATTTTTGCCTAGTCCTTTTATTGCTATTGCCTTTTGCTCCTGATTTCTTCCGTTGCTGATCATCATCTGCAGTTTATCATCTTTGAGCTGGCTCATGCTCCTCACAGGGGTTTTACCTTTTTGTTAGGGTTAGTCTTATTTTGTTGAAGAGATGGCATATAAGCAGTATCTAAGTGAATGCAGTTGTAAGCCACAGCAGGTATGCAAATAATTTATTGCTAGAGCATTCTCTGATTTCATCTCATTGCAGAAAAGCACTTGTGTCAGTGTTAGGGTCGTGTGCTCAAGGGGGTTGGATCACAAGGGCTTGGCCTCAGCTCGTACGCTGTGCCCCTTTCCCGAGTATGTGCCCTTAATTTCCAGGGGCTAGAACAGTTGTCCAGAGTTTCTGGGATTTGACTAGGGTGGACAATGGATGTCCAGATGTTATTTGGACAAGCAGATAAGACTAATCCAGACGAAGTCCAGACTAGAAACTAACAGAGGATAGACTACCTTGAGGGTTAGAGTTGGAAATGTAGTCTAGGATGCAATCCTAAGACTTGGAATATGACAAGAGACTTATCTCGAGTCCGGAGGACACAGGAATGAGCAGGAACTAAGATGATATTTGAACTGGAGTATTTCCAAGAGTTACAGGAGGTTTATATACTGTAGGTATCATATAGGAATCAGTCAGCAAACATAAAGGCTATGTACAAAGCATATGCAAAGTCTATTAGTAAGTAGGACAGATCATGAATAATGAACACCAGAAATGAAATGTATGTAATGGATCAATAATCAGAAGGGAAACATGGTTAACTGGAGTCCAGAGACAGGGGAAGTCTAAATGGGATTGGGCACTGATATAGGGTTTAGATTCCGGAAGGAAGATAAAGATAGATCAGATCATTTGAGATCTGGATCTTGGATCTGGATATCCGGAGAAGCAGATTTAGAGTTGAGAGTCTGGAATGGCATATGACAGTCAGCCATAATGCTGTGAACATGGCCAACGTAAAAACATCCAGGGGACTTGCTGCAACAGGTGTTGGGACTGTCGATTGCGCAAGGCATGATATGAAGCTTCCTAATGGAGTGGGTGATCTGCAAAAGGGCGAAAAGTGCGTTTTATACTACTCATTGAGCCTCATGTATCTAAACCTGTACTACCAGTTAGGGTTAGACATGGACTATCTAGTTTTTTTGGTAATTCTTAGCTTTTTGGTCTTCATTTTCAACCTGTCATATGATATGGCATGCCAATGGCATAAGAAATTATGGACTTGTATGGACTCATTGTCACCTTGCCTGCACCTTGCCTGCAAAAACAAGATTATCAGATTTTTCATCCCAAAATTCCATCTCAATGCTCATATTCAACCATGTCAAACAATGTTTTCATTTAACTGTAGCAAGAACGTCAGATGCACAGATGGGAAAGCACCCAAGAGAGGATGGGCAAACATTAACTGTGTGGCATCAAGTACCAAAGGGTTAGAGGGACCAGGAGCACATCACGACATCTTGGATGACCATTTTGGAGACTGGAACTGGAAAAAAATTACAATGCTTGGTGGGGATCTTGCATTGCTAATATTAGCTTGATCTCACATTTTTCTAGGTGAATGGATGCTCCACAAAATCAAACAAGCTTCCAGCAGATCCAAGCTTCATCGAGAGGAGCTGCATGAACTCGGACATACGATACCAGCACTATCACTGTCTGCATGGAGATCAGAAATAATAGCATGGGAAGAGGACCACACAAAACCCAATCCATTCAGGAGCAGGGTTGTTTGTACATTATTATCTACTTATCTGTTTGAGCAAGACTGATGGTTTTATCTGAAAGCCATCACACAGGCTGCTATTTGATGTCAGCTAGCCAAGAAGGATGCTGCAGACCTACAATCTGGTGCAGATATCTTGTTGCACACTGAAATATCCCCAAGTATCCTGATTGTGTCAGGGATTGATTTGCAGGATCAACAGTGAGTATCATGACTTGGACATCTACTGAACTATTGCTCACAAGAGAAACACCAGACAATGTTTGGCTGTGGATGCATCAGCACTGGGCCAGCATGCGACTGACACACAAAAATGAAGATATATAATCAAAGCAACACTCTTCAATGCCAACTGGATAATTGGGTTCACATCTAGGTCCTTTACATGCTTGCAGTCACCCCCATCTGTTCTGCCAAGGAAGCTCATCAATCTCAACATACCACAACACTGAAGCCAGAGGACTTCAAACTCTGGCCACCATCTGAGCTCAACCTACACATTCCTTGCCACCAAAAGCTTTATGATTGTGAATGGGAACTTTGTTATGCTCAGGCCTGTGATGCATTGAATGATGTTTGACAGAACATCCATTTATTCACTCATCTCAACATATTCAGGGTTAGTGAGTGTACGAGGTCAGGGTGCATCCACTCATGCCTGCACTGCTCTCAATCTTGCGACAGCAAAAATACATGCTGGTAAAGCTAAGTATGATGCTGCCCAGGCTGCACTTGTTGCCCTCACACCACAGCTAGGAAAAACTGGCTGGAGCAATATTTTGCACCCTCTTTTAGTGTTGGATATGAGACCTATGGGCGACTTCATTCAAGGGCAATCTGAAGGTACATCCCTAACTCTACAGAGTAGAGAAAGGGTTCTGTAGCATTCAAATGTCATTTTCTCTACAAACTCTTGTGCCCCGTTTTCCCATGAATGTTGCTTAGGGTTTCACAGAACCTCCCAACATGTTGAACAAATTTTCATTTGTTATTCTTGTTCTCGACCTCAGCCATTCTGTGCTCTACTAGGCTGTACACTGGTGTGTGTGATATTTGACATTTTGCTGCTCTTGGACCCTGTGATGTGAGTTCAGTGTAATTCTCATTCTTCTTTGCATTCTGAGCCTTTTTCAGGACCTTTATAGTCAAGGCTCCATGTCACATTGCTCAAGTTCTCGACGAGCGGGACTGCCCACCACTTTTGATCATGCGTAACATTACTGAATACCCTGTATACTATGATGCACTTTATTATTTGCAATATCACACCTATAACTTTGATACCCCTGATAAATTTTGTGCATGGCTGTTGAATTCACTCATATCTCATCATCATTCCTGTTGCACTTGTTCCTTTGAATTTTGTGGTTGTGTTGCATTCAATGGTTTCTCCGTTATCGTTACTGATGGCCACAGATCTCTGTCCCTCTGTCCAAGTGAGTTCAAGTCTTCAGGTTATTGCCACTGTGTACTTCTGCGCAGGTTCAGCATGTGTGGTTGTGACAGAGTGGCTTTCTCGCTTGCAAGGAAGATTGATTGTCTTCCTGCTTGAATTGATCACGACAAGCAGACCATCGTCACTCACCTTTTGGACCTTCTTGTGTCGGTGCTTTCGAAAACTACCCAGGCCCTTCCAGGCACTAAACTTAAGCCATGTACCAAGGGGGAACATGTGAATCTTATTGTGTGACACTATCTTCGAGCCTGTTCAGTGTTTGCTGATTTGCCCCAAATGGGTATTGACAAGATTCTTTCAGCTGTAGTCCTACCTTCTGGATGTGCACACCACTTGTTACCTCTCTTGTCTGCTCACATCTTCAGCATGTATGGTGATGAGGTTGCTCAGTCCCTTTGTTGACCGCCTCCCAGCTGTTATGCATCCTACTCTCTTGACTGTTTGTGTGTCCCTTGGTTGGCTCTACCGATTGAAGTGCTTGTACGTTGTCTTTGCACTTTATTGCTTGATGTGCTATCACAATGCATATGCAGTCTACCACTGGATGGGCGTCCTGTGTTGAATACTTGGTCTCATACCAAGACTAGCAATAGTCTGGCTTGTCACACCCATGAATGTGCAATGTATTTACAGGCTGTGGATGCGGATTCCTTGAATGTGGTGTGGTTTGCACATTTTCCTTTTGCCTCTCCTTCTGATTTGCTGGACACTCATTACCTCTCAGCCGTTCTTGAATTTGAGTATGGTCTGGATGTCCTTCGTTGTGTGGCCACAGAACCCTTGTCCCTGGTTGAACGATGGAAGTTACAGCGACACAAGGACAAAAAAATTAAGATTCAAGAGGATGAACATCTGCTGGAAGAGTATTGCCATGCATGGCCAGTTCCCATCCCTCAGACAACTGTGAACTCATGTCTTAATAACTATTATCAGGCTTCTAAGTGGAGCATTTCTCCCATCTGCGCTGTGTGTGCTCGCCATCAACAAGATTCCAAGGTTGGGGTCATTTCTGCCACTGGCAAGCCAGTCTTCCATCTTGAAGCCCTCCATCTCACTGACCAATTCATTATTCAGAAGTGTGTTCTTCAAGGGTTGTCCAATGCATTCTATTTCAATTGTCCAATCATCAATGGTTTGATGCTTGATCACACAGGTATTGTGGATTGCACCAGTGACCAGGTGCATCTGTTTCTGTGTGCTTCATGTCGTGCCTCCTTATCCAAGCCTAACAGTGTACCTCACTTGGCATTAGCTAACAACCTGTATTGAGGACAACTGCCAGTTCATTTGCAAGATATATCATGGGTTGAGGAGAAGATCTGTGCTATCTATTGTGTTACGGCTCATGTGACATGATTGTTTCAGTCATCTGATCCCACCCAGCCAAAGGTTTTTCATGGTAATACTTGTGTGCACGACATGAACATTGTTTCTACAGCTTCTGTTCTGCCCTGCATGCCATCTGATGTCAATGGTCTCCTCAGCATCATCTTCATCAGACCCAGCAAATTCAATCTTAATCAGCTGGGCATGGTCTTCCGTGTGCGTAAATGAAAGATGTGGACTTGCCTTTTGTGTCTTGAGCATCACAACCATCTGTACTCAACAATCCCTCTGGACTCTGAAGTGATGTCCATGTACCCTAAAGACGACATTCTGCTGAGACTGTCAGATCATGTGATTGAAGACCACAAACGCGATGCATGTACAGTTTTTGAGGAAAAAACTGCCAGGTTTTCCACTCATCCTGCTGAGTTGATGTGTGATGATCCTGATCATGGCAAATCCTCTGGTGAGCAAACTGAACAAGTTGTTATGTTGGAGAAAATGGGAGTTTCTGATCCCAAGAGTGACAAGATCAATGGGCAGATGTTCACTGCTGCTGTGCTCCATAATTTATACTCACATTCAGGTTCTCATCCAGATCTTGTCATTCTCCAAGGCTCACAAGCAATAACAGAGTATCACAATCCGGATCTGCTTGTCAGTATGTATCCCATGTTGTTTCCCTGTGGAATAGGTGGTTTTGAAGATCCACAGAGACCAACCACTCTATCATTTGAGGCTCAAGCCCATTACTACTTGGAGCTGGCCGACTGGTCGTTTCGTTACCATCATTCTTACCTGTTTGTGGCATTGAACATGACTCAATGCTGGGCTGCACATTTACAGACATTCTTCACAGTTTGCAAATCAAACTTTGATGATGTTGCCCGCAAACTCACTCAGGTCTCTCTAGCAGTTTTGGACAATCTCGCATATTGATTAGAGCGAGAACACAACTATTTGCAATTAAGCAGTGGGGAGCAATCAGCCTTGAAGTTGCTGAGGCAGGTTAACACCATGTCTGCTCGAATACCTGGCTCACAAGCTTCCAAAATTTATGTGCATAATGAAATTCGTAGTTACTTCAGTTATTTTGGTCTGCTCACTTGTTTTTCACTTTCAACCCAAGCACTGTTCACAGTCCCATCTTTCAGGTGATGTTTGGTGACCATACTGTAGATTTGTCTGCACGTTTTCCTCGCTTCATCTTGGCCCATGACTGTGCACTCTGGCTGGCCCAGGATCCTGTTGCAGCAGCAGATTTTTTCGAGTTTTCATGGAGGTGTTGCTTTGAGCATCTTCTGGGATGGGACTTTAAAAGCAATTGCTCAAGCCCCATGGGCAGAATTTTCGGATGATTGCAAGCTTTTTATGGTTCATCTGAATACACAGAATGAGGCTCTCTCTATGGTCACTACTTGCTTTAGGGTGGTTGGTGGGTCCAATCTATCTGAAATTCATCTGATGTTGTGTGATGAAGCTTACCAGAAGTGGTTCTTTGCACTCTTCGACAACATTATACACCATCATCTGCCTGATGTAGAAGTCAAAATTGATCACAAGTATGACTCTCATGTCAAGCGACCTCCTCTGCCACCATTGATGAAAGACATCAACTGTGGCAAACCTTCCCTCACTACTAATGAGGAGTGGTCCTCCATGTTTGCTACACAGGTTAAGCAGTGTGGTGAGTCTTTACAATGACACAGCTGTCAGCCAGTTTGTCACAAGTACAGTAATGATGACAAGTGTTGATTCCTCTTTCCTCATGAGGTCATTGAGTTGTCCCACTTTGAGCCGGAGACAAATTCAGTCATTTTCATGTGCAAAGATCTGTATGTAAACTATTTCAATCCTTACATCCTCATGTTCTGTCGGCACAATCATGATATTAAGTGTATTTTATCAGGTAAAGGCGCAAAGGTGGCAATGTTCTATATCTCCGATTACATTACAAAGATGGATTCAAAAACCTATGAGATGTTGTCCCTGTTGTCCCATGCAGTTGCCTGTGTTCCTATGCATGAATTTCAGACAAGCCTTGCTGATGGTGCTAAGCACATGTTACACAAGTGCCTTTCTCAATTCAATGGTCAGCAGCAGATACATGCCCAGCAGGCAGCACATTACCTCCAAGGACTTGGTGATGGCATCCCATCCCATGACACCGTACCCATGATGTCATCTCTGTAGCTCTCTTATGTCAAGGGTACTGTTGCAGGTGAAACACATGTGGATGATCCTGATGACCAAGACTTGGATTCCGAAGATTGTAAATTTGAGATGACACACAAGCAGACGCGTATTTGCATTGTGATGGACAAGGAAGGTAGAATTTTTGAAATGAACCAGATACATCATTATATATATCGTGCAGATTCCTTGGCAAATATGTGTTTCTATGAATTCTGTTGGTGTGTTCAGATCCAGTCAAAAGCTAAAAGCAAATGCTTGAAGAACACTCATGAGTCACAACTTGGTGTATTCCAGAGACACTCACTGAAGGGCAACCACCCGCTCTGTACCTCCCATGAATTGTTAGAGCATATAAATGAGGAATGGAGTGAGGGCAGTCATAAGTTGGTTCCAAGAGTGGTTGGCATGTCAATACCTCATTCAAACAAAAACAAGTTGTGGGCTCTCTTCATGCTAGCTCACTTCAAGCCATTCAGCAATACTACACCCCTCATCCCGGATAGCATTACAGCCGAATGTCTATATGAGATGTTTCCATTCTCACAATGTAGTAAGGCAATCATGCACCACTGGGAAGCTGTGCATGAGTGTGAGGATGAATGCAATGCAGACAGACTATGAAAACAAGCTCGACTCACCAGGCCAAGCATGAAGTCAGCTACATGGCCTCCGAGAGATGATGTGGATGAGATCAATTTTGCACTGCCAGATTGCTGCAAGGGGCAGTCATGAGTATTTCCACATCAACCAATTTATTCTGCTTCTCACACAGGCATGGTGGCTGGACAGCACCAGTACTGCATCCTGCCAGGTATCCCCTCCTATGGACTCTTCAGTGGGTGGTCGTCGAGACAACCTGACAGTGGATTGCAGCCCTAAACAACTAAAGCAATGGACAGATGAGGTAAAAAAACAGGAAACTGTGGTTGCAACTACATGTCACAATGCTTTGAACCCAAATGAGCAAGTTGACTGCTCTCATGCCCTGGTGACAAATAATTGTGATAGTGCGATGCTGGTTGATATGCACCTGTTTTTGGCCCAAAAAGAGTCTGAGTGTGTTGTGACATTGACTGATGTTTTGGATCCTGCTGCAGTGATAATGAAGATAGGGAGTGAGCATCAACTTAATGAGAAGCAGTGGGTGGCATACCATATAATTGCAGAGCACTTTGTGCACAGAATCATTGAAAAACGAGATGATCCTGCACTGGCTTTGACTATGTTGATGACAGGACCTGGAGGAACTGGCAAAACCCATGTTGTCAAAGCTGTACAAGCCGTCATGGAGTACTATGGCTATGGCCACATCATTTGTTTCTTGGCACTGATGGGCTTGGCAACAGCACTTATTGATGGCATGACAGTGCACAAGGGACTTGGCATCAAGATTAAGTCTAACTCAAAAGGCAAAGGTAACTGCAAACCTGGTGTAAGTAGCCAAGACTATTCTGTTGTCATCAGTGTTCAAAACAAGACACAGCTATGAGACGAATGGCGCCACATGCAGTATTTGCTGATTGATGAAACTTCCTTGCTTAGCCTCCAACTCTTCACTGAAATTGATCATGCATTATGGTATGCAAAGGAGAGGCCAGATCTGTGGTTTGGTGGTGTTGTTGTTATTTTCTCTGGAGATTGTTATCAATATCCACCTGTAGGGGGGAGCACACTGCATACATCTATCTCCCATTATGCTGGTCAGACTGATGATGAAATACAAAAACACTTGGGTTGCCTGGCATGGAAAACAGTAAATATGGTGGTTAGCCTCAATATGCAACAGTGTATGAAGTCCAATACTGAGTATGGCAAGGCTGTCCATAGACTGAGAGTACAGCAGTGCACCTTTGAAGATGTCGATCTGTTTAATTCTCAACTGATAAAATCAGCCAACAACCCTGATGGTGTTGACTTGGGTGATGCAACTAACCATTCAGCTTCTGCCATTGTAGCCATGAATGCGCTTTGGGAGGTTTTGAATACAAAAAAGGCTGAGGCATCCTGTGCCCCTGACTATTTGGTTCGAGCAAATGCTTTGGACAGATGTTCACATGAGACTCTTGATTTAGAGGAATGCCAACAACTACTTTGAATCGATTTCAGCCCTATCAAGGTGTTGGGGCGGTAGCTCCAACCTTAGTGAATGTGCGAGGCACTTGAATGGGATTGAGTCTGTGTCTACTGCCACGCCCTGAATGGCACACCTGGGCTGACTAAGCTACTCAAACCTCTGAAAAACTCCTGCCTCTGCAACCCCTTGACTAGGGGGTGCCCCACTCCAAGTGCCCCCCTTGAAAAAAACCTGGTGGTGTCCTCATCGCTCCCACACTGCTCTCTTCTGCTCTTGCCATCTCACCCTTGGCCTTCTTCATCTTCATCATTGTTTTCACTCTCCTGCTCTCTTGCTTCTTCTCCACTCCTCATTTCCTGGTTGTCATTGTCCTCTGCTTCTTCATCGTTCTCATCCATTCTGCATTCTCTTCCTCATATGTTTCTGTCTGTTTCTCCTTCACCTTGGTTCTCTTTCTCTTGCATTGACAGTTCTTCTTCAAACTTCTGTTGTTCTTCGGCTTCTGTTGTTCTTTGGCTAGTCTTGTTCCTTCTCATGGTACAAATGCATGGAGGTGGCATGTGTGCATTTCTCCTGCCATTGCTTCTCATTCAATGTCTCCAGCTTGTACAAGTTTCTGAGTCTTGTGGTAATGTGATGGGGTGGTGACCATTTTGGGAGTAGCCTGCATTTGCCGTCGAATGTATAGTCAAGTTTGCTATGATAGAATTGAACTAATTGTCCTACAGAAAAAACAACTTCACCTGGTGTGCATTCTAAGATGTGTTTGTCGAATGCAGCCTTGCACTTAATGGCATGTCAGACTGTGGCATCATAGCCATCCAGTTGTTGTTGTGCTATGTATGCCATTTGTGTGCTAACATCTGATATGCATATTGTGGAGGTACTGTTACTAAGGTCTGTGTGCGGGGTGTTGATTACTTGGCCTAGGAGTAACTCTTTGGGCAAGAACTTGAGCACTGGGAGCATGTGATGCTTCAGTGCTGTGACTGTGTCATCCAGGTGGTCTGGCCAGTTGAGTGGTAGCTCGTCCCATGAGAGTGCATTGGAGTCATCCTCTCCTAGGTTTGGTGCACATAACCTTTTCAGTACGTGCAGCAAGATCTTGTTTGCACCTTCAACTAAGCCATTGATCCATGGTGAGTATGCGGTGATAATGTGAGTATTACAAATCCACTTAGTGCAAAAGTTTTTGATGATGGAGTTATTGAAGTGCTTCCCTCCATTGGACATGAATGTCTCAGACACTGTGAAGTTCCTAAAGATTTGTTCTAGGCCTTTGACAGTTGTCTTCGCTGTTCCTCCTTTATGTTTGAATACCCACACATGTTGTGAACACATGTCTAGGTATACTCCTAGGGTGTTATACCCTTTCACCTTCAGTAACATGAGGTAGTCTCTTACCAGGAGTTCGAACAGATGCCTGCGCATTATTGGTTCTAACAGTGAGTGAAGGTGAGACATACCAAATTTCTTGCAACAGCTGCAGTCGCTTATTGCTGCCATGATAGATGCATCTAATTTTGGGCTGTAAATCTGATCAGTTAGTGCTATCTTGATTGCATCTCGTCCACAGTGACTGCCTTCACTATGCTGTTTTACTGCTCATGCCCACACTTCCTCTTTATTGATGCATTCAACTTTGCTATGAGCTCTGACTGTGGTTCTGCCTTGCAATTTCCAGAGTTTGCCATTTTCAATTAGGTACTGGGATGCTCTGTGTCTTGTGCATTTCTGGTTGCAGATTGCGGTTCCCCTGTTGATTTGTAGCATTGCTTCAATGACTTCCTGAAATACAGGTTCATCCCTGAATTGTTCTAAGAGTTGTGATGCTGTTGAATCCTCAATGTTAGTAGATATTTGAAGTACGTCATTGATCAAACCCGTATTAGCTTCCCAGTCCTTGCTAACCATCCATTCACTTCCATCAAGTAACCCTACGTCTTGTGAGTGCCCTTCCCATTGCCTACTGAGTCCATCTGCTATGACGTTGAGCTTCCCAGGTACATGTCTGACATCTACTATATTGTGGGCCAATATTCCATCCCTCCATCGCACATGAGCTGCATTTAGACAATTACTGATCAGTACATCTTTTAGTGCTTGGCAGTCTGTTTCGATCTCAACCGGGAACCCCCAGATGGTATCTGAAAACTTATCTAGTCCGAATTTCAGAGCTGTGAACTTGAGCAGGAAGGGTTTGTAATTTTGTTCCATTGATGACATGCATTTCGAGGTGAATGCAATTGGTTGTAAGTGTTCTGTCCATTTTCCGGATGGGCTTTTTATGCAGTTTCGTTGTGACAATACTGCTGCAAAGCCCTCTGCACAGCCGTCTGACATTACTACATAGTTGGCTCCATCGTACTTTGGTGCTTGCAGGACTGGTTTGGACATGAGTGCAGCTTTCAGGTCCAAAAAAGCTTTCGTGTGTTGTTCTTCCCAGAGATCCTGCAGTGTAAAGTTCTGTAATGTTCATCGATACATGTTCTTTGTGTAGGGTACTGTCAGTGGTGCTGCTTTGACAAGGTTCTGTAGTGGTCCTTCCTGTAGTGAGTAGCCTTGAATTAAATCCCTGAAGTGACTGGTTAGTCCTAAAAATGACTCAAGATTAAGTGCATCTGGTGTGAGCTAAGTACTGCAGTGAGCTTGGCTGCATCTGGCTGTACTCCTTCTGGGCCTACTGTGGCTCCCATGAATGTGGTCTCTGTCATAAATAAATGGCACTTTGTTGGGGAGAGTGAAATGTGACATTCATGGCACCTTTGAAAGATTTGTTTCAGCTTGCCCATCACTTCCTGGAAGTTGTTTTCTGTGCATCCTCTGTCATTGACAAACAGTTCCATAATGCTTTCTGCTAACAAATTGTGCAAGTTGTTAGCTGTCATTTCAGAGAAGGTAGAAGGTGTGCTTGTTAGACCCATAGGCATTCTCTTATACCAAAAATAACCTCTCCCTTTGATGTAGAACACTGTGTATGGTCTTGACTCTTCTGGGATTTCAACAGCATAGAATCCTGAGGCAAAGTCAAACATGGATACATACCTGTGTTCACTTAATCTTAACTGTTTGGCCCTAATGTTGCCTTGGGACATGGGTGCAATCATTGTGACTCGATTGACTTTGTTAAAATTTTGACAGATCCTCCATTTCTGAGGTTTCAGGGCTATGTCTGGCTTTCTCAGTCCTTCTGGGACTTCACATTCCAGTAGCTTGAATGCTGGTGTTTGGCCTTCTCATAAGCATTGTTCATTTACTGCATGTTGTAGTTCTTCCAGCATCATGCCTTCTTGTTCATGTGCCTTCTTTGCCAGGACTGTGTTTGCACAACACTTGACTGCTTCTGGAGGTGCGTGCTCAATGATTCCAGCTTTGAGCATCTCATTGATTTTCCCATGAAGGAATTCTGTCTGCGGAGGGTTAAGATGTCATTGTTGGACTCTAAGATTGAAAGTTGTTCCTTCTGGTATGTTCAATCTGTGAGTCACTCTTGGGACTGGTAATACTTCACCTAGGGAACATGTGAAGATATCAGCATATTCTGTGACCAGTACTTTTACCTGTTCAAGTTCTCTGGGCGTGAGGTCTTCCCTGTATTGAACATGCTTTACTATCCATGCTGCTCGCATCAGATTGTGCAGTTCTGTGAGTTGTGTGAATACTGCTTCATTGTTTGTTAAGATGTCAGTAGGAACTTCCTTCCAGGTGACATCCAGTTCTTCTGCCATGTCAGCCTTTCATCAGTCATCATACAGATTGAGGTTTCTTGCTTTCCTGTATGGCTTGGAGCTGTTTCATTGTCCTCAACCCTTGCTCTTGTTGCTTGTGTCTGGTTGTGTAACATTGTGGTGCCTCTGATTCCCATGACTTGAACTTCATCTACTTCATAGTTGTGAACCGCTTTGAATGCTTGTAGCAGTGGCTTTCCAAATAGGAACTTCCATCCTCCACTGCTCTGCAATACTTCGAATTCTCCTTGTGCTTGTATTCCTCCTATGCTCACTTCTCCTTTTCTGACTGCTTCTGATTGGACTATCACTCCATTCACCATTCAAAGATGTTTCGATGACAGTGTGACAATCATACTAGTGCTAGGCACATATGAGTGTCATAGGCATATTTTGCCTTGCCTAGAGGAAAAGAGTAAAGCGCTAGTCACCAGCACTATCAAACTCCCAAGCTATCTGCTTTTGAACCACTTTTCTCCCATAGTGCGCTACACAGTCCAACTTCTAGGTATTCCATCCTCCCATGTCCTGCCTATGTCCACCTACCTCTGCTGGTGCATTATTTGTCCTTAAATGTCACTACTGATCAGTTGCAGGTCTTATTACATGTATCCTTGTGTTCTGCAGCGCTGCATGTCTTATTACCTGTTGCTACATTGTGCCCTCGCCAGTGTTGCTACTATTCTTGCCTATGCATTCCCGAACCTTTATGCAGTATGATAAAATGACCTGTCGCACATACAGTACTTTACTTCCCTTCCCTGGACCTTTGCTGGTGTGTTGGAGTCACCTTAGTCACTATACCTCAGTCTTGGTGCAATTGATTCCGCTCTTGCCAATCTCTCTGATTGTGTGTCGCTTGACTTGCTTTAAGTGTGCATCACTAAGGTTCCCTCATAAGTTTGACTTTCGCAATGTTGGGATCGCTATTCGTAGTTATGCTACAATCTAGTCACTACCAGGCATTTCACTTGCACTGTCTTATCTTACTTTCCGCTCTTTCTCCCTTGGAGCACAAAAGCACAATGCTGGGCAGGGGTCCAGACCCATAGTCCTTGATCACTTGAGCCTGCCTGGATGTCAGAGAAAAAAAAAGAAGCTACATACCACAAGTGAACTGACCTGTGTTGTCAGATAAAAGTGGCTGTTACCTGGGGGAATCTGCTGGGCACCACTGATGATGGCCATGATCTGGGCAGTGGATGCCTTGAGACTGGTCAAAGAGTTGTCAACTGGAGTGGACATGATGATTGAGTTGAGAGATTTAAAGATCTTGAAATAGGGTTGAAATCAGTTATCACAAGGATGAAGTTTCAAAAGAAACAACACATTTGATGGACAATTGATAAAATCATTGATTGTTTGTCTTTGTTTGGTCCTGGTTCAACTTCCGGCAATCGCCAGTTTTGTGTTGAACTTTGAAGTTTTTTCAATTATCAGTCAACAAATCAGTAAGTTCCCCACACAACATGAGTCCACAGTCAGCCATTTGATTCAATGACCCTCTGGTGACCGACTACAATTCAATGGATGTGGATGAGTCCACTGTGTCCCAGGCATCACTAGGTGTGTTGTATTTTTATCATGCCTTATCTATTTACTGGGTATCCCTTAGATGATCTATACCTAGGGCTGGATGATGACATAGAATATGTTTCTCCGTCATCCAGATCACCGGATGTCTTGGCTGCAATGCCCAGTGAGTTTATCCATTCATTAGGATCAAGGATCACCATGGATGCTCACTAAGCCCTTGCAGATCAATCACCTCTGGCTCAAGCTGATCATCCAGGTTTCCTCATTGATCCAGACTTGTACCTTGGGCCTGAGGATGATATAATTGATGTGGATGAGTTGCTGGATTCTGCTGATCCTAAGATTGATGTTCCAGCTGCATCAGAAGTGTCTATGTCATGTGAGTCCATTCATTCCAGAGGATTATAGATGCTTATTGTATCTCCCAAGTGGATGACACCTCTAGTGAACTTCAGTCAGAGCAGCTGGAGCTCACTAACGAATATTTACATTCAATGGCCCAGGAGTTCCGACCATTCGGGTCATACAAACACACTGGGTGTGAGTATCTGACAAAGCAGATTATTTATCTCTGTGCTAATTTTTCTGCAAGTGCAATCCATTCAAGATCGACTTGGTGATTACAAACACCGTACCGGGGATCTTCCTGATCCTTCCATTCCACTGCTACTTGAGGCCAAGTGACCCTTCCGGATGGCTTGGGCAGAGACTTCCAACAAACTCAGAAGAGCTGATGCGGACCTCCAGAGGTTGCAAAGAGCCCAACAGATGAGCATTGAAATGCTCAAGGTAGTAGATTCACTGATCAATTGGTTTGAAGATCAGATTCAAATGTAAAGTACTGAATGTTTGATAGTAGTCAAATCACATATAAACTTCCAAATTTTCATTAACATACCTACATCATGTAAACAACCAAATTTGTGATGCATTCCTCTTCCATTTCCAATTGAGTTCCAGAGGCTCAGGAGTTCCCAGGTGTCTAACACGGAATTTTAAGTCTCACTTTGGCTCACTGAGTCCTGAGTGTCAAACACCAAAGTTCAATTCTCACTGTACAGAGGATCACCGAGTCCCAAGTTCGATTCGAAGATCGACCTCGGGACTTGGTGATCCTCTGTACAGTGAGAATTGAACTTCAGTGTTTGACACTCAGGACTCAGTGAGCCAAAGTGAGACTTAAACTTCCGTGTTAGACACCCAGGACTCCTGAGCCATGAAGATTGAATAACATTGATGTGTACATAAAGGCAGGCAGTGTAGTATCAGTCCATTACATCTTTCCCCTTGCTCTTGTCACTCAAGAGGTATTGTCTGATGGCTGTTGAGTTGATTTACTCTGGGTTGTCCTTGCTGATGGCTCAATCGCTGGTGTTTTTCCCCGCATGTTTTTTGGCACCGGAGACATGTGCCCTCCTTCCATTCCAACATCTTCCTCAACATTGCCGGTGACTCTGTCACTCATCCCAGCCAGGAGGTCACCCATTCGTGATGTCAGCAGTGCACCAGTCTTCACCAGCTTGACTGGGCAAGGCTTTGGAATTGCATGTGGGACTGCTGTCCCTTCATGTGCTGTCGAAGGACCTGGCTCTCTTCTGGGTCTCTTTTGTGGGGATCTACCATTGGCTGCATCATCATCAACATCATCCTCCATGTGATGAGAGTCACTCTCAGGATTACTCCCAGGATCGCTCTTGGTGTTGGTTGACGAATTCTGAGGCCTTTGGATCATCTGCTTTCTGACTTTACGAGTCCAATGAGAAGGTGGATTCCCAGACACAACTGATGCTACCATGTCTCCATCTTTGTTCTTTCATGCTTTGAACAGGAATGTTGGTCCTTTGCCTTTCTCCTGCTGAGCATGCCAGAAATTGAGTAAGGCCATAGTGTCCCAATTTTGCAACTTGGAAGGCTCCTTCAAGTCCACATCTGCTGGAACATACTTCCTTGCCACAAAGTCATCCTGACTTTGTATGATGGTGCTCCATGGCACAACTGCCTTGTCACTCCTGGAACAGATCCCTGTATCCATGCATTCAACAAATTCTCGGGTGTTGTGACGATAGACTCACGATAGTGCAATGTAAGAAATGCCCTCACTATGGCCTTCTTCTCCTCGAGTTTCATTTCAGTGATGTCTGGAAGCAACAGCATCCCATCTCCATCAGTTTCCAGTTCCAAAGCAGGCTTTCTGATTCTTTTTCGACCTCCCTTCATCTGTCATCCTCCATCCCGTGCCCCAGCACCTATCATCACGATGATCAACAAATTCCTTCTAGTAGCCAGAGTTCAAACACTCACCGAACTGTTCCTGCACGTACTCCTGCCAAACCAGCTCGATGTCCTCCCATGCCCAGATGAACAAACATTGGAGTTTGAAAATTTTTATCCATCAACTGGTGGCTCATATCTTCACATCCAAACCAACTGGCATTGTGATTGTGATTTCCAGCTTCATACTCCTGCATTAGGCATGCCTGTTACAACCATGTATGCCCCTATTCATTTTCTCTTCTTACTGTGTATTACGTCATGAGCTGCATGATGCCGCCACTAGACTTATCTCTTACCTTGTATTACATCACAATTGCTGTTGCCATTGCTAGATGACCTATTCTTGCTATTGCTTACATATCCTTTATCTCTGACTCATTCCATTCTCACGCCTGCCCTGAAGCACTGTAGTTAGTATAAATAGTCCTCCTGTACGCTTTAGTTCTTTACTTTAATCTTACTAGGTTTTACCTGAAATATCCTTCGCTTGAGACCTCCAATCTCTTGTCATCTGAATTGTACTTTAAGTTAAAAGCACTCCTTCTAACTTAGCTTACACTGAATGCTTGACTTATCATCTTGCGTAGAATCTCAGCAGAGGTCCAGACTCTTATCGAGTTGTCTGTCATTAGAACTATCCTAGTTCATAACAATGCCTGTATTGCAAACTCCTCCTGCATCCCCTTCTGATGCCGTGGATTCTGGCAATGAATACTGACCCCTCACACTCAGTCTTGCAGATATTGCAGCCACAATGTCAATGGCTGCATGGCGCATCTGAGCAGCAATCTCCCAATATCAGACAGAGGCTGCCAACACTAAGGAGCCTTCCACTGCTCAGATCATGCACTTTAAAGCCAGGCTGCAATGGGAGATTGCTGTAAGAGACTGATGACTGTGGTGGTCAATGCTGAGATTTCCAACAGACTTTTGTGACACCCATCCTGCAGTACTCAGCTGCAAGGCACATCATCTCAGTCATTCCAAACCCAGTCACCCATATTCTTCAGTTGTTTCCCCAGCTCACCTGGAACACAGTTCCAGACCACATCTTTTCATCCCACTTATGTCTCTTTCATGATGTCACAGATCTGGGAGATCCCTCCAGGATTATATCCGGCTATGATACTGCATGGTGGATCGGACACACTGCAATCCCAGATGAATTATGGCAATGGGACCAGGTAATGGGTTGCTGTATCTTTCACTACCAGCATTGGCTAGTAAGAACTATGAACAATTTCCTTGTGTGATGATTAATCTGTTCTAGGGTGGCATTGTGGACGATGGTCTGATTCTTCCTGAGCAGGTGGATAACACCTTGGTTCCATCACTGATGGGACTGAGGTGGCTTAGAGAACGCCTCTAGACATTGGTTGAAGAGCAAGAAGAGGGCATCAGTGAAAAGATGGCAGAGATTGATGTGTACACCGGCATCCTAACCAGATTGAAGAGAGGCAGAGGAGAGTAGTGCTATTCCTTGAGTTTAGAATGTTGATGTCCAAACTCCATGAAAATGACATACAGTCTTCCAAATATCTAACCTAACATTATGTGCTGAGTCCTGAATACTGAATATTGAGTATTGAGTACAGACAATTGTATATTGCATTGTGAATGTGGACTCCCAAATATTGAGACCTGAATGGTGAATATTGAGTATTGAGATTCAGATATTGAGACCTGACTATCAAATATCAAGTCCCCAATACCGAGTCCCAAATATGGACTACCGAATCTTGAGACCTGACCATCGAATATCAAGTTCCAAATACCAAATACCAAATACTGAGTCCCTAATATCGCAATAGTGGACATTCAGAACTTAATATTTGGAATTTGACATTCCATAGTCGGGTCTCAAATATCAACACCTGAATGCCAAATACTGAATACCAAGTCCCTAATATCAACACCTAAGTACCAAATACCAAATACTGAGTCCCTAATATCGAATATTGAGTCCCTCATATCGACCCCCGAATACCAAATACCAAATACTGAGTCCTGACTAGTGAGTATCAAATATCGAAACCCAACTCAATATTTGGGTGTCAATATTAGGGACTCGGTATTCGGTATTCAGTATTCGGGGGTTGATTTGAGGGACTTGATATTCAATATTAGGCACTCGGTATTTGGTATTTGGGTGTTGATATTAGGGACTTGGTATTCGGTATTCAGTATTTGGGTGTTGATATTTGAGACCTGACTATGGAATGTTGAATTCCAAATATTGAGTTCCAATTGTCCACTATCAAGTATCGAGTCTTGAGTTCTGGATATCGAGGCCTGAATATTCCAGATCCTGATATCTAATATCTGGTATTTGACAGTAGGTGCTAACATGGGTAACTACACTTTCCACTTGTGTCATCTTTCACTGTTTGTAATCCACCCTAGCCCATCCACATGATGGAACCCTGGCATAAACATGGATGCCCAGTACTGGAGAGTCTCTCACATCTTCAGCAGTTCCTTGCTTTCTGCCTTTTCTCTGAGGCTCAAAAAGGCTCACAAACCTGCCCAGTACTGCTCAGGATGCATCACCCTGAGTGCCGCTGTTGCAATGGCTGCTGGCCTCACAATCTGTTAAGAACCATGCTCAAAGGAGAGAGAGACTGACTCAGAGGGGCTTGGCCTCAGCTCGTATGCTGTGCCCCTTACCCGAGTATGTGCCCTTCATTTCAGAGAAAGTCTGGTGATGGTCCAATGAAGTCTGGAGGACTTCCAGAGGCTGGCTACTCTGGTGGAGAGTGCAGGAGGACTTCCGGAGGAGCGCGGGAAACATCCGGAAGAGCGTGGGAGAGTTCCGGAGGAATGCAGGAAATGCTCAGGAGAGTTCCCGCTGCAAGGTAATACTTCTACAGGAAAACAGGATGGAAGGATAGGATGTCTGGGGGTCCGGAGTGTGGAGGACAGGAGGTCCAGAGGTATGGAGGACAGAACGTCTGAAGGTACAGAGGGCGGAACATCTGAAGGACAGGATACCCAGAGGTATGAGGGACAGGGCATCCAGAGGTACAGAGGACAGGAGGTCCGGAGGTCCGGAAGGAATAGGGGCTACATCGGACAAAGTCCGACGTAGAAGCAAACGGAGGTAGACTACCCTAAGGTAGAGTCAGAGGGACAGGAAGTGGACCTAAGTCCGGAAAGAGGGTAAGTGCCGGAAAGGCAAGACTCTAGCCTAGGGAAGCAATCCCTAGACTTGGGACAGAGACATAGGGGACAAATCCAGAGGTCCAGAATTCTGGCCTAGGGAATCCATCCCTAGGCCTTATGGAAAAGGACAAACTCAGATGGACTGAAGTCCGGAAGAAGATTGGGCAAGTCTAAGGTGAGAGAGCAGGAACTAAGATGAGAGAGCAAGAACTAAGATGATATTCAGACTGAGGACTCTACTGTAGTTGTACAGGTGTTATATACTAGAGGCTATCTGAGAGGATCAGTAAGCAAAGGAGTAAGGCTATGTATGAGCATGCAGAAACACATTGGTAAGTAAGACGGAACATAAGTAAATGAACTCGGAGATGAAACTAGTACAAGGATCAATCAGCAAGATGGAAACAGAGATAACCGAGAACCGGAAAGGGGGAGATGCCTAAATGGGGATAGGCGCAGGATCTTGGACAGAGGGTGGGAATGGGTCTGGAGATAGTACAGTTAATATCTGGAGGTCTGGAGATCTGGGGATCTGGAAGGCAGGACAGAAACAGGACTGAGATATGTGATGTGGTGGATGTAGTCCAGAATCTGAGAGGAGGTAAAGTCCAGATGTCTTGCTGGACAGAATGTGCATAGGGTGGACAGGATAGGGGATCCAGGAATGAGTTGGATATGGGGTCCGGAAACAGGTCTGGAAAGCATGGGAATATGATGGGATCTATGTCTGGCATACGGGATATGACATTGGGACTCGGTATTTGGGACTTGGTATTTGGGACTTAGTATTTGGTATTTGGTATTCAGTATTTGGTATTCAGGGTCAATATGAGGGACTCAGTATTTGGTATTTGGTATTTGGGACTCCATATGAGGGACTTGACATTCGATATTAGGGACTTGGTATTTGGTATTTGGTATTTGGTATTTGGGTGTTGATATGTGAGACCTGACTATGGAATGTCAAATTCTGAATTGAGTTCCGAATGTCCACTATTGCGATATTAGGGACTTACCGAATACTGAATACTGAGTCCCTAATATTGCAATAGTGGACATTTGGAACTCAATATTAGGAATTCGACATTCCATAGTTGGGTCTCACATATCAACACCCAAATACCAAATACCAAATACTGAGTCCTGAATACCAAGTCCCAAATATGGAGTCCTGAATACCAAATACCAAATACCAAATGCTGAGTCCCTAATATCAAATACCAAGTCCCTCATATCAACCCCCAAATACTGAATACCAAATACCAAGTCCCAACTAGTGAGTATCAAATATTGAAACCTGACTTGATATTTGGTATTTGGTATTCAGGTGTTGATATTAGGGACTCGGCATTGGGTATTCGGGTGTTGATATTTGAGACCTGACTATGGAATGTTGAATTCTGAATATTGAGTGCCAAATATCAAGTTCCGAATATCCACTATTGTGATATTAGGGACTTGGTATTTGGTATTTGGTATTCAGGACTCAATATTCAGAACTCAATATTTGATGGTTGGGTCTCGAGATTCAGTAGTCCATGTTTGGGACTCAGTATTGTGGACTCTGTACTTGATATTTGGGACTCAGTATTGGGGACTTGATATTTGATAGTCAGGTCTCAATATCTGAATCTCAATACTCAATATTCACCATTCAGGTCTCAATATTTGGGAGTCCACATTCACAATGCAATATACAATTGTCTGTACTCAATACTCAATATTCAGTATTCAGGACTCAGCACATAATGTTAGGTTAGATATTTGGAAGACTGTATGTCATTTTCATGGAGTTTGGACATCAACATTCTAAACTCAAGGAATAGCACTACTCTCCTCTGCCTCTCTTCAATCTGGTTAGGATGCCGGTGTACACATCAATCTCTGCCATCTTTTCACTGATGCCCTCTTCTTGCTCTTCAACCAATGTCTAGAGGCGTTCTCTAAGCCACCTCAGTCCCATCAGTGATGGAACCAAGGTGTTATCCACCTGCTCAGGAAGAATCAGACCATCGTCCACAATGCCACCCTAGAACAGATTAATCATCACACAAGGAAATTGTTCATAGTTCTTACTAGCCAATGCTGGTAGTGAAAGATACAGCAACCCATTACCTGGTCCCATTGCCATAATTCATCTGGGATTGCAGTGTGTCCGATCCACCATGCAGTATCATAGCCGGATATAATCCTGGAGGGATCTCCCAGATCTGTGACATCATGAAAGAGACATAAGTGGGATGAAAAGATGTGGTCTGGAACTGTGTTCCAGGTGAGCTGGGGAAACAACTGAAGAATATGGGTGACTGGGTTTGGAATGACTGAGATGATGTGCCTTGCAGCTGAGTACTGCAGGATGGGTGTCACAAAAGTCTGTTGGAAATCTCAGCATTGACCACCACAGTCATCAGTCTCTTACAGCAATCTCCCATTGCAGCCTGGCTTTAAAGTGCATGATCTGAGCAGTGGAAGGCTCCTTAGTGTTGGCAGCCTCTGTCTGATATTGGGAGATTGCTGCTCAGATGCGCCATGCAGCCATTGACATTGTGGCTGCAATATCTGCAAGACTGAGTGTGAGGGGTCAGTATTCATTGCCAGAATCCACGGCATCAGAAGGGGATGCAGGAGGAGTTTGCAATACAGGCATTGTTATGAACTAGGATAGTTCTAATGACAGACAACTCGATAAGAGTCTGGACCTCTGCTGAGATTCTACGCAAGATGATAAGTCAAGCATTCAGTGTAAGCTAAGTTAGAAGGAGTGCTTTTAACTTAAAGTACAATTCAGATGACAAGAGATTGGAGGTCTCAAGCGAAGGATATTTCAGGTAAAACCTAGTAAGATTAAAGTAAAGAACTAAAGCGTACAGGAGGACTATTTATACTAACTACAGTGCTTCAGGGCAGGCGTGAGAATGGAATGAGTCAGAGATAAAGGATATGTAAGCAATAGCAAGAATAGGTCATCTAGCAATGGCAACAGCAATTGTGATGTAATACAAGGTAAGAGATAAGTCTAGTGGCGGCATCATGCAGCTCATGACGTAATACACAGTAAGAAGAGAAAATGAATAGGGGCATACATGGTTGTAACAGGCATGCCTAATGCAGGAGTATGAAGCTGGAAATCACAATCACAATGCCAGTTGGTTTGGATGTGAAGATATGAGCCACCAGTTGATGGATAAAAATTTTCAAACTCCAATGTTTGTTCATCTGGGCATGGGAGGACATCGAGCTGGTTTGGCAGGAGTACGTGCAGGAACAGTTCGGTGAGTGTTTGAACTCTGGCTACTAGAAGGAATTTGTTGATCATCGTGATGATAGGTGCTGGGGCACGGGATGGAGGATGACAGATGAAGGGAGGTCGAAAAAGAATCAGAAAGCCTGCTTTGGAACTGGAAACTGATGGAGATGGGATGCTGTTGCTTCCAGACATCACTGAAATGAAACTCGAGGAGAAGAAGGCCATAGTGAGGGCATTTCTTACATTGCACTATCGTGAGTCTATCGTCACAACACCCGAGAATTTGTTGAATGCATGGATACAGGGATCTGTTCCAGGAGTGACAAGGCAGTTGTGCCATGGAGCACCATCATACAAAGTCAGGATGACTTTGTGGCAAGGAAGTATGTTCCAGCAGATGTGGACTTGAAGGAGCCTTCCAAGTTGCAAAATTGGGACACTATGGCCTTACTCAATTTCTGGCATGCTCAGCAGGAGAAAGGCAAAGGACCAACATTCCTGTTCAAAGCATGAAAGAACAAAGATGGAGACATGGTAGCATCAGTTGTGTCTGGGAATCCACCTTCTCATTGGACTCGTAAAGTCAGAAAGCAGATGATCCAAAGGCCTCAGAATTCGTCAACCAACACCAAGAGCGATCCTGGGAGTAATCCTGAGAGTGACTCTCATCACATGGAGGATGATGTTGATGATGATGCAGCCAATGGTAGATCCCCACAAAAGAGACCCAGAAGAGAGCCAGGTCCTTCGACAGCACATGAAGGGACAGCAGTCCCACATGCAATTCCAAAGCCTTGCCCAGTCAAGCTGGTGAAGACTGGTGCACTGCTGACATCACGAATGGGTGACCTCCTGGCTGGGATGAGTGACAGAGTCACCGGCAATGTTGAGGAAGATGTTGGAATGGAAGGAGGGCACATGTCTCCGGTGCCAAAAAACATGCGGGGAAAAACACCAGCGATTGAGCCATCAGCAAGGACAACCCAGAGTAAATCAACTCAACAGCCATCAGACAATACCTCTTGAGTGACAAGAGCAAGGGGAAAGATGTAATGGACTGATACTACACTGCCTGCCTTTATGTACACATCAATGTTATTCAATCTTCATGGCTCAGGAGTCCTGGGTGTCTAACACGGAAGTTTAAGTCTCACTTTGGCTCACTGAGTCCTGAGTGTCAAACACTGAAGTTCAATTCTCACTGTACAGAGGATCACCAAGTCCCGAGGTCGATCTTCGAATCGAACTTGGGACTCGGTGATCCTCTGTACAGTGAGAATTGAACTTTGGTGTTTGACACTCAGGACTCAGTGAGCCAAAGTGAGACTTAAAATTCCGTGTTAGACACCTGGGAACTCCTGAGCCTCTGGAACTCAATTGGAAATGGAAGAGGAATGCATCACAAATTTGGTTGTTTACATGATGTAGGTATGTTAATGAAAATTTGGAAGTTTATATGTGATTTGACTACTATCAAACATTCAGTACTTTACATTTGAATCTGATCTTCAAACCAATTGATCAGTGAATCTACTACCTTGAGCATTTCAATGCTCATCTGTTGGGCTCTTTGCAACCTCTGGAGGTCCGCATCAGCTCTTCTGAGTTTGTTGGAAGTCTCTGCCCAAGCCATCCGGAAGGGTCACTTGGCCTCAAGTAGCAGTGGAATGGAAGGATCAGGAAGATCCCCGGTACGGTGTTTGTAATCACCAAGTCGATCTTGAATGGATTGCACTTGCAGAAAAATTAGCACAGAGATAAATAATCTGCTTTGTCAGATACTCACACCCAGTGTGTTTGTATGACCCGAATGGTCGGAACTCCTGGGCCATTGAATGTAAATATTCGTTAGTGAGCTCCAGCTGCTCTGACTGAAGTTCACTAGAGGTGTCATCCACTTGGGAGATACAATAAGCATCTATAATCCTCTGGAATGAATGGACTCACATGACATAGACACTTCTGATGCAGCTGGAACATCAATCTTAGGATCAGCAGAATCCAGCAACTCATCCACATCAATTATATCATCCTCAGGCCCAAGGTACAAGTCTGGATCAATGAGGAAACCTGGATGATCAGCTTGAGCCAGAGGTGATTGATCTGCAAGGGCTTAGTGAGCATCCATGGTGATCCTTGATCCTAATGAATGGATAAACTCACTGGGCATTGCAGCCAAGACATCCGGTGATCTGGATGACGGAGAAACATATTCTATGTCATCATCCAGCCCTAGGTATAGATCATCTAAGGGATACCCAGTAAATAGATAAGGCATGATAAAAATACAACACACCTAGTGATGCCTGGGACACAGTGGACTCATCCACATCCATTGAATTGTAGTCGGTCACCAGAGGGTCATTGAATCAAATGGCTGACTGTGGACTCATGTTGTGTGGGGAACTTACTGATTTGTTGACTGATAATTGAAAAAACTTCAAAGTTCAACACAAAACTGGCGATTGCCGGAAGTTGAACCAGGACCAAACAAAGACAAACAATCAATGATTTTATCAATTGTCCATCAAATGTGTTGTTTCTTTTGAAACTTCATCCTTGTGATAACTGATTTCAACCCTATTTCAAGATCTTTAAATCTCTCAACTCAATCATCATGTCCACTCCAGTTGACAACTCTTTGACCAGTCTCAAGGCATCCACTGCCCAGATCATGGCCATCATCAGTGGTGCCCAGCAGATTCCCCCAGGTAACAGCCACTTTTATCTGACAACACAGGTCAGTTCACTTGTGGTATGTAGCTTCTTTTTTTTTTCTCTGACATCCAGGCAGGCTCAAGTGATCAAGGACTATGGGTCTGGACCCCTGCCCAGCATCGTGCTTTCATGCTCCAAGGAGCTAGTGTGCGTCCAGGGCATGACTCCCCAGGTCTGTGTCATATCCCGTATGCCAGACATAGATCCCATCATATTCCCATGCTTTCCAGACCTGTTTCCGGACCCCATATCCAACTCATTCCTGGATCCCCTATCCTGTCCACCCTATGCACATTCTGTCCAGCAAGACATCTGGACTTTACCTCCTCTCAGATTCCAGACTACATCCACCACCTCACATATCTCAGTCCTGTTTCCATCCTGCCTTCCGGATCCCCAGATCTCTGGACCTTCGGATATTAACTGTACTATCTCTGGACCTATTCCCACCCTCTGTCCAAGATCCTGCGCCTATCCCCATTTAGGCATCTCCCCCTTTCCAGTTCTCAGTTATCTCTGTTTCCGCCTTGCTGATTGATCCTTGTACTAGTTTCATCTCTGAGTTCATTTACTTATGTTCCGTCTTACTTACCAATGTGTTTCTGCATGCTCGTACATAGCCTTACTCCTTTGCTTACTGATCCTCTCAGATAGCCTCTAGTATATAACGCCTGTACAACTACAGTAGAGTCCTCAGTCTGAATATCACCTTAGATCTGCCCAATTATCTTCTGGACTTCAGTCTGTCTGAGTCTTGTCCTTTTCCATAAGGCCTAGGGAAGGATTCCCTAGGCCAGAATTCTGGACCTCTGGATTTGTCCCCTATGTCTCTGTCCCAAGTCTAGGGATTGCTTCCCTAGGCTAGAGTCTTGCCTTTCCGGCACTTACCCTCTTTCCAGACTTAGGTCCACTTCCTGTCCCTCTGACTCTACCTTAGGGTAGTCTACCTCCGTTTGCTTCTATGTCGGACTTTGTCCAATGTAGCCCCTATTCCTTCTGGACCTCTGGACCTCCTGTCCTCTGTACCTCTGGATGTCCTGTCCCTCATACCTCCGGGTATCCTGTCCTTCAGATGTTCCACCCTCCATACCTTTGGACGTTCCATCTTCCATACCTCCAGACCTCCTGTCCTCCGTACTCCAGACCCCTGGACATCCTATCCATCCATCCTGTTTTCCTGTAGAAGTATTACCTTGCAGCGGGAACTCTCCTGAGCATTTCCTGCATCCCTCCGGAACTCTCCCGCGCTCCTCCGGACGTTTCCCACGCTCCTCCGGAAGTCCTCCTGCACTCTCCACCAGAGTAGCCAGCCTCCGGAAGTCCTCCGGACTTCATCGGACCATCATCGGACTTCCTCTGAAATGAAGGGCACATACTCGGGTAAGGGGCACAGCGTACAAGCTGAGGCCAAGTCCCTCTGAGTCAGTCTCTCTCTCCTTTGAGCATGGTTCTTAACAGTCTGGCCCAACTGGCACAACATCAGGTATGACGATCCCCATCTTTTGATGCATGTCTGGTGCCCCAAGCTCCTTGCCTGGGAGGCCTTAGGTGACCATACCTTTGATCTCCCACTTGCTGCTCCTCCCTCCACAGGTCTGATTCCAGTGGACCTTCCCTCCCCACCCATCCATGCCAGCAATGTCACTGGTCCCTCCACCAGCACCACCACTGAGTTCTGGGACAAGGGGAAAGGTAAGGCCATTGATGCTGACCTGGAGCCCAAGGTGGAAGGGAGCTGGAAGAGGAAGTCTCCCATGATTTTGGGACTCTCCTCCCAACTGCCAAAGTCTGTGATGAAGACTCGCAAGCGTGCGAAGTCCTCTTGCTGGGTGACATCCAAGCCCCTAGTGGACTTGGAAGATGAGGAAGACATGGGTATTCAGGTATGTCATCTGGTTTGTCTTTGACTTGGCTCCCATTTTCTTGTAGCCATTGTTGGGTGGAGTGCCGGATGTCATCCTTCCCCGGCTCTCCAATTTGCCTAGATCACCCCGGGTTCAGATCAAAAAGCCCTTTGGCCCTGCTACAGTAAGTCACGTTTATGCGTCCAGGACTTGGGTGTATGCTGACAATGTACCAGGTGATTGCCAGCAGTCACCCAGTGGTCATCAAGCCCTCCCAGCCAACTCCTGAAAGCCTGGTGGAGGCACCCCCAGTCATCAATGGAGGTGATATTCTCATTCCTGGACCAGTGAGTACTTTGATTTATTTGAAAGTGTCCATTCACTAACACAATCCACAGAACAACCCATGCCAGGCTTGCACCAAGCTAAACTGGGACTGTACAACTCGGTTGGACAAGAGGACCAGGAATCCATGTATGTTGTGCATCCACTGCACAACAAAGAAGATCAAGTGCATCCCAGCGACCATGGGTACCCCACCAAAACGCATTCATGGGTCCTCTACCACCCGGAACACAAGGTCCAGGATGCCCTCCAAGGCTCCCTCCAAAGCTCCCCCCACCTCCCAATCCAAGGCCCAGACTCACAGTCAGTCTCATGGCAAGTCCAGAACTCCGGGTGTCATGGCTGTGACAACCCCCAAGACCCAGATGCATGGTTGCAGCAAGACCATCACTGCCATCAAGGCACCTGCACCTGCACCAGCTTGTAAGTCACCCGAGTTTTGTTTCGTCACCATCTGACCATAATTTTCCCTTGTAGCACCTCCATCTTCAAGTTCGGCAGTCCCTGCTGCAGCACTCAACCTGCCCATGCCAGATCTACATGCCATGGCAATTGCAATTCAGGATGGCGCAGCTCACATCACCATTCTCAAGGCTTGTGTGGCAGAGCAGGATAGTAAGATTGATACCCTGCAATGCCTCCATGAAGGCCTTAGGCACGAAATCGTCGACCAGCACCCCACATTCCCACTTCCAGAACCTCTGGCCAATGCAACATCCTTGTTGCTTGATCAATCCATCCCCCTGTCCATGTCACCATCCACATCTGCACTCCTCCCTCTCATTGATCTCTCAATTGGAGAGATGATGCCCGCACCCCCGAAATTTGAGGATGCCTCTGCCATTGAGGGCCTCCTGTTTGAGTACAACCAGGTTGTTCAACCAGAGCTTCCAGATACATCCAGTGAAAATGTGGACCCAGGTGATCCGGGCAACCTGGTCCCAGAATATGATTCTTCCAATGACATGGATGTTGAGGTGAAGGTTGAAGTGTCTTCTGAGGAGGTTGACATGGCTACATAATTGCATAGTGATAGACATATGTACAAGTTTTCCAATGAATGTTACCTCTGCCAGTCCATTTATTCAATCACTGAGTTTCAAGTACTGAGTAGCAAAACCCAAAAGTTAGAAACAAAGATCAAAACCCGAAACCCGACAGTTGTAACAATGTATGAGTTTCAAGTTTTAAGTCTTGAATCACTGAGTCCCGAGTCCCAAACATTGAACCCCTTATATTGAACCCCAAAATCTGAAACTCGAAACTCATCAAAATGTATCAGTTTTGAGTTTTGAGTGTTGAGTTTACAAATCAACACTCAAACCTCAAAGCTCATACATTTTGATGAGTTTCAAGTTTCAGATTTCAGGGTTTGATATAAGGGGTTCGATGTTTGGGTTTCGGGACTCAGGACTTGGTGATTCAAGACTCAAAACTTGAAACTCATACATTATTACAACTGTTGGGTTTCAAGTCCTGAGTCCCAAACATCAAAACCCAACACCCAAAACTCGAAGGTTGTACCAATATCTGAATTTTGAGTTTTGAGTTTTGAGTTTCAAGACTCAAATCACCAAGTCCCAAAACCCAAGTCCCGAACATCGAAACCCAACACCTGAAATTTGAAAGTTGTACTGATATCTGAATTTCAAGTTTTGAGTTTCAAGACTTGAATCACCAAGTCCTGAAACCTGAAGCCTGACACCCAAAACTCAAAAGTTGTAAAAATGTATGAGTTTTGAGTATTGATTTTCAAACTTGAAACTTGAAACTCATACATTTTTACAACTTTCGAGTTTCAGGTGTTGGGCTTTGGGTTTCGGGACTTGGTGATTTGAGTCTTGAAACTTGAAACTTGAAATTCAGATATTGGTACAACTTTTGAGTTTCAGGTGTCGGGTTTTGATGTTTGGGACTCAGGACTCAGTGATTCGAGTCTTGAAACTCAAAACTTGAAACTCAAAATTCAGATATTGGTACAACTTTCAAGTATCGAATCACCAAGTCCCAAAGTCCGACTACCAACACAACTTCAGGTGTCAGCATTCGGTATGCAGGCCTCAGTGATTCAAGACAGGAAACTCGACAGTCATACAAATGTTTGAGTTTTGAGTTTTGAGTTTTGATGTTGGTGTTTTGAAGTTTTGGGTTTTGGGTTTTGATGGTTGGGGTTCAATGTTCGGGTTTCAGGACTCAGTACTCGCTGTGTTGACTTTGATCAATGTTGACAGGATCTGAGTCTGAATGTCATTGATGACTTGGATCAAAACTAGTGCAACAGCATTGCTCATATGTCCATATAGTATACCAAAACCTCAGCCCATACATCTAAATGATATGTATTTGGGCATACCTGTTTATCTAATATACCCTATGTCAGCCCACCCATATATATAATACATATTTCCTGCCCCATTGGCCCACCCATCTATCTAATATACCCTATGTTGGCCCACCCATTTATATGACATCCCCCTCTGTCAGCCCACCTGTCTATCTAATATACCCTATGTCGGCCCACCTGTATATATAATACATATTTCCCTGCCCCATTGGCCCACCTGTCTATCTAATATACCCTACATTGGCCCACCCATCTATCTAATATAACCCCCACCTCAGCCCACCTGTCTACAAATAATACTAATATGTCAGCCCACCCATCTATATAATAATATCTACCATACATCTCTCTTCAGCCCAGCTGTCTATAATATACAGTGGCTCAAAAAAGTGTCTCAATGTTTGTGACTTTTCATGTGATTGCTGTATTATGAGCCAGGTTGTGAGAACATGACTAAGCCATAGGGAGGTGTGGGAAAGCTCTGCTTCTAAGCTTCATGTTTAATCACTATGGCATGGTAATATTATGACATCAAGTGAAGATATGGTTAATTTAATTTGGTGGCTCATTGAGACACTTTTTTGACTTTCAGTTTGGTCAACACAATCTCTATAATTCTAGTACTTGGTGATTCCTCCTGTTGCTCTAATTACTTCCACCACTCTTCTATGCATACTATCTATCAATTTGAGGCATTCCTCATCAACAATCTTGCCCCACTCTGCTGCAACTCTCTCCCACAGTTGAAATAACCCCTATTGAGGATCTTGATAGACTGCAAGTGATATCTTGAGTAATTACCAGGGTTGTTCAATAGAGTTGAGGTCTAAGGACTGGACTTGCCATGATAGCACACTGATGCCATGGTTTTCAAACCATTTTATGGTCAACTTGAAGTATGCTTAGGGACATTGTCTTGTTAGAAGGTAATGTCTTATTCAATAATTCTTGATTCTTGCATGCTTCTGAGCAGATACTTTTCCAAAATTGAAATGTGCTGCTCTGCATTCATCCTCCCCCTCACCTCATAGAGAATTCCTACTCCATTCCACCTCATACAACACCATACCATCAAGTTTCCTACTCTACATACTTTAGTATTTTCTTGATTTTTTTTTGTTCTAGTAGTTTCTCTGCCTTTCATCACATATATTCCTAGCCATCTGACCCCATCCTATTGATTTTTATCTCATCTCACCAGGTAGCCCTATTCCAATCCTCAACAATCCAATATTGAGGCTTTAAAGCCAAGGCTGGTCTCCCCCTTCTGTAGGCTGAAGACAGGAAAGGCTTTTTCTGCCTATTTACAGCTTTCAGATTGGCTGCCTTAGGAGTATTCTTGACTATTTGAGTGGAGAGAGCAGTGTAGATGATGTAATTAATAAATTTGGTGGCTTGAGTAGCATTGGCAACCTGCCTAGTTGGAATATTATGAACAAGAGATTTTTTGTTATATAGTGTAAGCTTGAAAGGACAATCTAGTTTGATATTTTTCTTATCTGGCATGACTTTGTTATGATCCTAATGATAGTAACCCTGCTCAGACCATGTTTGGTAGTAATCTGCCTGGTATACAGATTAGAAGAGCTGAGTATAATAATAGGGGCTATTTCAGCTATGGGAGAGAGTTGCAGCAGAGTGGGGCAAGATTGTTGATGAGGAATGCCTCAAATTGATAGATAGTATGCATAGAAGAGTGGTGGAAGTAATTAGAGCAACAGGAGGAATCACCAAGTACTAGAATTATAGAGATTGTGTTGACCAAACTGAAAGTCAAAAAAGTGTCTCAATGAGCCACCAAATTAAATTAACCATATCTTCACTTGATGTCATAATATTACCATGCCATAGTGATTAAACATGAAGCTTAGAAGCAGAGCTTTCCCACACCTCCCTATGGCTTAGTCATGTTCTCACAACCTGGCTCATAATACAGCAATCACATGAAAAGTCACAAACATTGAGACACTTTTTTGAGCCACTGTATGTCTATCCTACTCTACATATTGCCCAGATGGGCCCACCCATCTCCATCAGTAATAATATTTTGTCCAGCCCATCCACCATTGTCAAGGATATTTATAACATTGGCATAGATGGGCCCACCCATCAACATTGAGGATATACATAACATTGGCCCATAGTCTGCTGGCCCGTCTTATACAGGATATTATGTAGGTCAGGTGACCCATATAATATGGAGTTTGTCACTGAAGGGGCTCTAGGAGACCAGCTGGTACTGTGGTCAAATTTATTGTGGGCTACTGCAGATACTAACCTATTTTCCAGCTGTCATATCTTGAGTACATCCACTCACATGACTTTGTTCATGGGGATATCAAACCACATAACGTTTTGGTGGACAATTCGAGGCAAACTGTCTACATCATTGACTTTGGTATCACAAAGAAGTACTGGAACAATGCAACAAAATCCCACATCCCATTTCACCAAGGTCAACATCTCACAGGCACCCCTGCCTTTGCTTCAATCAATAATCACTTGGGATTGGAGCCAGGTCGCCATGATAATCTCGAATCACTTGCTTACATGTTGGTATATTTCTTGTGTGGCTCCCTTCCTTTGCTAAGTAGTGACCATGAGAGGCTGTCCAGCTCCATGATACTCAAGCGCAAAGTGGATACCACCATTGCTGATTTATGTGGTGGAATTCCTGCTACATTCGCAAATATCCTCATCTACTCACGCTCTCTCTCATTCTCAGAGGATCCTGATTATGACCATCTTCATTCTTTACTTCATGATCTTTGCACTGCAGGGCCCACACCAACTACACACTCCTTGAATTTTGATTGTCACATTGCACCTTCCCCTCAATGTCCTCAAGTCTCTGAATCAGTGCCCCAATGTCTGCCAAAGGTGCCTCTTCATAGATCAACCCATGTGTAAGTAGTTTGATTTATCCTTACACATCACACTCATGATATATGAACTCATCATTTGCAAGGTTACACCCACACAATGGTACCCTAACACCTGCAACTACTCCCACTTTGCATTGAATAAAGAAAAGAGTTGTATAGCCTACTTATTCTCATTCTTCTTTTTTTCAGTACTACATCTGTGCAGTGCACATGTTTGTGATGTTGTGTGATAGGTATCTACATATGTATATATTGTACATGGTCTGTGCGCACATGCTGTGTGATTCCCATGTTGCTTTTTATCACACACTCAATTGAACTCAAATTGTATCTTTAATCATTCCATCAAGAATTGCAACCACAACTTGACCACAACTGTGTGTTCTATTCAATCAGCCAGTCTCCCACTCCTCAGCAGGGCTCAACCCTAATATCATCTTAATGTTTCTACTTGCATTCTGACTCACAATAAGTACTGATATATATGCCATTTTTCATCAGATGCTCAATTGAACTCAAACTTTATCTTTAATCATTACCTCAAGAGTCGCAACCATGACTGTGTGTTCTATTCAACCAGCCAGTCTCTCCCACTCCTCAGCAGGGCTCAACCCTAATATCATCTTAATGTTTCTACTCATGTTCTCCACACAGAAATCCTCACCTAATACACCATGATTCCGCATGCCATCACACACATCAGTATTTTCCTTGGTCTCCCCAGAATGAAGGTATATATAGACAGTTGAGTCTCTCATTGGATCTCTAGCCTCCAGCACTACTAACATGAATCGTCGTGGCTGTCATCACAAAAACAACAATATCCCCCAGGTTGAGGGCACTCCTGCTGCTTCCATACTTGTCACTCCTGTACCTTCTGTACCTGTCACTCCTGCACCTTCTATACCTGTTGCTCATACTCCTACTCCTTCTGGACTGGCCACACCTGTTCCTGCTGCAATTGCCACTGCCCTTCACCACCCTAGGAGGCAATGACAACTTCCTCAGAGATACAGGGCCGACAATGCAGCTGCTCATCCAGACGACAGCAAGTATATCAATATCAATAATGTCAGCAGCAATGAAGATGATATCAACCCACCTGAAGCCATAGCTGATGAAAATGTAAATCTGAGCCCACTACAGACAGTGACTAGCACTCTCCCCACCAATCCCTTTGCCACAAGAAAAAGAGGCCTCAAGACCACTTCTGATGTCCAGTTTTTCTTTAGGAAGGACTCGGGCACTGGCAAGCACATTTGTGTACTATGCAAGTGAGTAACATCTGAGAGTCTTTTCTACTCTTTCTCACCCCCTTTACCAGGGATTTCCACAAGGTTGACACATCCTGTCCCATTGCCATTTACAGTCCATCCACGAGCAATAGTCCTCTTCACTCTCATATATACAAGTTTCATATCAAACTTTATCTCCAGGAGTCTGAGAAGCAGCAATGGCCAATTGGCATACATCCTGTAGGGACCTGCCTTAGTGAAGGCTGGACCTTAGCCAAGATTCTGGAATGACTCAAAGATCCCACTTGCACAATTGAGACGCTCAGCCCTCCCCCTAGTCATGACGATGGTAGTTTGAGGCCCGCTGTTGGGATGTCAGCAGTTTCAGAGCATGGCTTGCCAAGCTTCTCCATCAAGGAGATGTATAGACACATAGTGAAGTTTATCATTGCTGACAACCAAGTGAGTACTGTCTACCATTTATGAACTCTTGTTAATGACCATCTCTAGCCAATCGGCATTGTTGAGTGTCCCGAGTTCTGCCGGCTGCTCCGCCTCTTGTGGCAAGACCTAAAGGAGTCTGATATTCCCCATCATTCAAAATTCCAGCAACTGATTATCGAAGCTTGGCATGAATACTTTACAGCCATCAAACTTGACCTTGCTGTAAGTGTACAACTACCAATCACATATAGTTTCTCATATTTTGCAGACCACCCAAGGACAAATTTCATTCACATCTGATATCTGGTCCAATTCTAAGCTTCGTCCCTTCCTTGCCTTGACTGCGCATTGGGTTGCAAAAGAAAGCAAGAATGTGATGCTTGTTTTGAAAGCCACTCTAATTGCTTTTCATCATATCCCTGGTAGTCATACCGGGAAGGCACTCGGTTCAGTAATATTGAAGCTGATTGATCATGCTGAAGTGAAACATAATGTCAGTGTCTCTTTGTACTTCATCACATGCTCTAACTTTGTGTAGATCAGACACTTTACCTTGGACAATGCTAGCAACAACAGGACTGCGATGGATGAACTCTCACATTTATTGCAGCATGATGGGATCGAATTCAACACAGTCAATCACTGAATCCCATGTTTTCCTCATATAGTGAATATATGTGTCCAACACATCCTCGATGAATATTCTACTGTAGACTTTTCACATTTGGCTGACATATTTGTAGCTGGCCCTTACACTTTCAAGAAGGTGGAGTACATTGAGACTCTGCAAAGCAAAGTGATTGATCAGGCCAGCACCGCGATAGTTTTTGAGCTGCCATTACTTCTGGCAATGCAGAGGGATGGTTCATAAATGATAAGAATGAGTGTATGGTTCTTCCAATCATTGAATTGCTATGTGATGAGCCTACTCATTGGGATTCAATGTACATCATGCTAAACCATTTGAGAATTCTACAACAGGTAACATTTCGTCTCATTAAATTTTTCACATTGCCTGATGCTTCCCTAGGCTATTGATCATTGGATTGATCTTTCTGCTCAACACAGCATAGTCCAGCATAAATTGAGCCCCATGGATTGGCAAGTCCTGCAGGATCTCAAGGTTATTCTAGAGGTTTGTTTTTATATATCTGAAATTCATATCATGTTTACTGTTCTACATTAGGCACTGCACCACGCTCAACAATGCATGTCCAGTGAAACAAGTCCTCTACTGGGCAGCACCATTCTGGCCTTCAAAGGGTTGATTCAAAGATGGAAGCTTGTGGCAGACCTTGTCCCACATTGTGCACCTTTGGTTGACATAGGTTTAACTTGGGCAGCTAAGTATGATGACTGACTGTGCCTCACAGGAGCATATGCTGTCACAATGTGTGAGTCCCATGTGTTTTTATGAAGGCAAATCCTCATGTTGTGCACAGTCGTCGATCCCACAAGACGTATGACATGGATGAATGAAAATTGGTCAGCCCCACAGATCACAGAGGCTAAAGAGTATATTCTCAAACTGGTACATCTTCCCAATGGTAATAACAGCAAAATGTGGGCTGATATGTCCCACAGATGCAGAACAAGAGAGTGACAAATGTCTCCACACCATCCAATCAGTCAATTGATCAGCCACGTCCTGCAACATTAGGCTCGACAATCTATGGACTTCCTGAGATAAATATACTGCTGCATCACCAGGGTGGCCCTCAATCAGTCAAAGATGAGTTCAATGCTTATAGTATGGGTGTCTTTAGCCCCACAGGTACAGATATACTATCTTTTTGGACAGTAAGATCCTTTGTCTTTGTAACAGGTTTTATTGATGACAAGGCATCAATGGTGGGCTAGGTTTTGAAACCCATGTTTCCAACACTCTACAAACTTGTGATGGACTTTCTGCCAATTCAAGCCTCTGCCATTCTGTGTGAGTGTGTATTCTCCTCCAGAAGTGACACATTTACCAAGAAGCACAATCATCTCAGCCCATACTTGATGGAAGTCCTACAGATTGTCAAGTTCTCGCTGAAAAAAGACCAACTTCACTTTGCCAAGGGTTGGGCAGCATCCCAGAATGACATGGAGCATCACTTGATGTGTGTCACAGGCTCTTCAAGCCATGAAGATCTCTTGATGTCTGGCTCTGATGATCTACTGACATCTGCTGTCAGTGGAACTACTTCTGGTGGTCAGAATTATGAGGCCCTTCTCAGAGTCATCACAGAGGATGAATGTGACGATGTTCTAGATGATATTCCAGACTTGTCTCTTCTCATCTCATAATTCTTGCCTGTTTACTGTTATGAACTCGGATAGAGCATCATTCCAATAAAGGAATCAGGATCAGGGTCAATCAAGGACTAAGCCTTATTGAGTCAATGCCTCCCTCAGGAGCAATCACTTAGACTCCCGCAGGATCTAAGGTTCAAATGGGACAATGACTAGCCTCCTTCCCAAGGAGCTAGAGTTTGAGTATCAAGGAGAACTGAGTAGATTCAAGTTAGAGAAAACACAAGCAGTAACTAAGGCTTTATATACATAAGGGAATCGTGCACAGACCAAGCTGGGTGAAGGGTAACTACTACTAGGAAAGGAAGGTTCATGGGAAGACAAGGTATGAGTCAAAGATAAGGGAGACCATGAGGAAACAGTACAGTGAAATGGAAGCATTAGAAGTACAGCCATAAGGTGTCTGCAGTGATGATGAGAAAAAGAGTGGGGCACTGTAACATTACCCCCCTGTCAACATCTAAAGTCACTGACTTTAGTTACTGAGATTCTGATAGTCATTAGGGTCGAAGTCAGCATCTTTTGCAAACTGCTTCTCATGCTCCTCTTGTTCAAGATCTTTTCTATCTTTGTAGATCTTAAGCTGATGATGGAAGGCCCATGAGCCAGGTTTGGCATTAATGATGCGATGTCCTCGAAGAGTAGGACAGTAGGCAGTAAGGTGCTTGGGAGCATAATGGTGGCATTCTCGGCAGAAGTAGTGAGGGCAATGGACCTGACGATGTCCTTCCTGCTGGCAGTATTGGCAGATGATGTCATAATAGTCTATGCCATTCCTATCACATCAAAAAGTTTCTTCAGATGGGGCGTGAGAGTCGGAGGAAGAGGCAGGTTTGTCCTCATCGACAATAATGGGTGGAGCAGGGGATGGTGTGATGGGACAAGAAAGGCCTATTCCAAAGGC